AGTATTTAAGCTTTTTTAATAATTGCATTTTCATGTAGATCACTGCAAACACAATTAGCAAATGTATCAGTTAGTTTTTTGTTTTATCATTGAAATATGTGAGTTTAAGTGCCAACCGGTGTCAAAGAAAGGCCCTGAAAATGAACTGACACGAACCTGTCATGACATCAAACACATGAATATTTCATAAAGCACAAAAGCATAAAAAATGTCTCATGGTAAACAGAAAGTTTCATGAAACACTAAAACTTTCACAAAATGTGAAATACTTGATCTTTAGCTCCAAAGTGACTTTTTATAGTACCATTGGGTTGTGCCAATTAAAATTAAATAGATAAATGAATGACCAAGCAAATAAATATATTTATTCTGTTGTGAATTGAATAAGAAAAGGGGGGGAAGGGAACCAGCTCCTAAACTGAAGTTGGCTCATATTATTCATGGACAAGAGTGGGCGCTCAGAGCCAAGTTATTTGTGATCAAAATGTCACCCGTCAGGAGCATAGGAGCCTATACAGTCTATGATCAGGAAGCAATGGGGTAAGAGAAATACAAAGAGGTGAAATTGGTGCTGAAAAGGTTCGATTTACAAAAAGAGAAGCCTGTTGTGTCTTAACGCGCCAAAGTCAATATGATTAAGTGAAACAAAGTCATGGCTCACAGTAGACACAAGCCCTGATGACACAGGTAGGCAAGCATTTTTAATTCACGATACTAGATGTGCATCTTAAAACGCAAACAACTGTTAAGTTGATTTGTAGATGTATTTATGAGTTAGTGTGTTACATAGCCGAATGCATATGGATATGAAAGTTCCCTGCACATGGTATGTTACAACAAGAGCTAACTTTGAAACACTGCCATGTAATCCTGCAACAGAAGCAGCAGCAGCCTCTCAAACGATGAGCTGCTGACAGTGAGAGTGAGGAAGAGCCGCTACAAAGTCATGAGCTCATTACTCCAGAGTGGGCGGGTCCGATTCTGTCAATGGTGATATAAGAAAGAGCACAGTCTATGAAACGTGCCTATAAAAACAGTAACTCAGTTCAAACAAAACTTGACTTAATGATGATTGAAAAAGAAAATGTTTGTTTGGAGAGAAAAACTCTGCAAACTGTAAAGAACTTGTGGTACTGTAATTTTTAGCCTAGACAAAAATAATCCCATCGTAAGGAATCACAAGATAGTTACAAGGATGTACCACAAGTGAATAACTTACTAATCCTGACTCTTTACTTCATAGAAATAAGATATTTGATGAAGTACAACATGAACAACACATGATTTACATACCAGCAAGGCCAAAGTTACTAATTTCCAGTAAATGTTGGATATAAATTTACCACAAAATTTACTGTATAATGACGCGCAGGACCTGAGTGGCCCTGCGTCATTGTGTAGTCAAAAAAATAATAATAATCAGCCATTCTTAAAAGCAGTTATTAATCATATGAGGAGATCTGCTTTGCCTGTACTCACAGCCTGGCCTTGTCAAGTCTCTAACACAAAGCATGCACAGTAACATCATCCAATACCAACTACGATCACAGGAAGGATTTTCCAGGCCAACGGGGGCGGCAAATCAGAAGGGAAAGTAAGAGGGGAGAAAAGAGCCAGAGCTGAAAACAAATCCAGGAGGAGATGTAAGGACACAAAGGGAGGAAGGCCAAGTGCTCACTGTCATACTTATTGATTGGAGTGACTGGTCAGAGGCATGCACAGCACCTGTTTTACATATGCACTTTCTCTACAGATGTTAAGGTGTCTGACCCCGCATTTGGATCTCTCAAGGCATCCCTCTGGAAAAAATAATGTAGAGAAGTACCAACAACAGCTGTGCAGTGAGCATCAGCTCGGCCATAAAGGATCATAAAGTTAAATTATGGATCTAAAATTTGTTGTTGTTGAAAAACACAACCCAAATTTTGAACAAACTGAATCAGGGTTAGTCCTCTAAAGTGTTTGATTGCAGCAATTTGTATCAGATTTGTATTCAGTAAAGCTTCGTGAGGAACTCTCAGTTTGGGTGCACAGTGAGCATGATGCATTCTTATGCACAGATGGGGTCAAAAATGATCAATTTCTCTTCTGTCTTGACCATTTTAAAACTCATCTTGTTTTATTAAAAAATCGACAAATATTAGATAACTCATTCGTAATCTTTTATGAGGGAAATTTTCGGTTGTTTCTGTAGCGTGTGTGTAATGGTGTAATGGCGTGAAGTGGTTGCTATAGGATGAGGAGATTAGATAAAATAGATATAAGATATAAAAAATTATTTTCCCTGACTGACATATTAGCTTTGTTATGTCATAAAAAGGCATCTACCTTACCTTGAATCTTTTCCATAACCAGTTATAGACTCCCAACATGAGCTTTAAGTAAAACAGACTGATCTCCAGTCTTTTGTTTTGGCTTGTTGCAGCACATCATTACAAAGTGACGAATATTCAAGAAAAAACAAACCAATTCTTGTTTTGTAATCTCTTCATTCAGACAACTGTTTTGATGTTACAGCACAGCTTCATCAAGTAACCAGATGTGCCAAGGTGAAGTCAAAGCAGAACTGCAGTACCTTGCGTGTCCACTTGGATGAAAACATTAAAGAAACCCCACCAAAACCCATGTTAAAATGCCTACTTTTATAGCAGAAATAAGCACGTTTAGAACAGTTTGATATAAAAACATGTACCAAGCGTTTTAGTCCAGGTTCAAGATTTCCTTTTTTGGACTATTAGACATTAAAACCACAACTGACCAGAAATATAACCCACAGTCTGTACAAACAAACTTGAGCTAACCCTCCGTCCCCTGTGTCTTTCCTCATCTGCGTTTCCTTGGATGTTTAACGTCATGTGGTTTCAGACCTCATAAATCAGCTTACTGCCTCAGAACATATTCACGCATTGGCTCCCCACATCAATAAACTGTGGGCTTTTAAACAAAATGTCCACAGAGCCAATAGGTGGATTGTAATTCAGGGTATTGTGGGATTGATCAAGACAACCTCACCCAGTTTACAAATCAAAACCATGCATGCAAATACTTTATTAAAGAGAGTATCCTTTCCAGCCAAGGACAATTTACATCCACTTTATTTTCTGAGATAATGGGATTTTACTGAATGATGACATTTGTCTTCTTGTAGGCACTGGATTCAATTCAAAAGATGACATATGTACTGTGGTATTGACTGGTATAGAGACAAAAACTGACAAATAACACATCTATCTCCAAGTTTTACATTGAACAGATGGCCTAGAGTTTTAGACCTTACACACGAGTTACATCTGTTCTTGATATTTAAACAATCGTGTCTGTTTTGCATTCCATCTTCTGCCATAGGCACGTCAAAGAAATCACTGCATTGTCTTTTGCAACCCATCAACCACCACGCTATGTGTTTTTGTACGCAGCTGCATCTGTTTCTTTGAGGTTGGTGAGTCTCTTTAACAACCACAAATGTATTAATGCTATTAATCTTCATGAATCTCCAATTAGACGCAGATATTTCACTTAGTACAGACAGGGATTGATAAACAGCAGAGTGATTTGCCCCTAGTTCAGTGGAAATTTGGCCTCAGCCTCACCACAAACAGCAGCTGTGGTGTCTAGCGCATAGTGTGAGCCCATTTTTACATGTCTTGGATGTGGAATGCAGCCGCATGCATCCAAGACATCTGTAATAGTTACAGCCTAAGTGTAAGTCCACAGGGAGCCTGGGGGAGATGTTAATGTTAGAGATTTTTAACTAAACTGTGCACTGTGTGTTTATCTGAAAGAAAGCAAGATCAGTGTTCAAAACGTGAATATTATTGAGAAAGTGAAATAATGAAAAACAATCTTTTCCAGGTCAAAGCTGTGTGAACAAGTCCTTCTTTGAGGTCAGTTGATCTTTATTAGGATCTGGTAGTCTGTGAAGTTTGTTCAGTTTTTATTCGGTTGAGTTTCAGGCCAAAGTTTTTGGTCATTAAAGATCTTCCTGAAAAAATGTACCTATGACATTAATCAGGTCAGCTCAACACCTGCAGATGAAATAGGTGGAGGGCAAACAGGGCTGAGAATGTTGATAATCTGGATTTTGAGTTTCGTCACGTCCAAAAGAACTTTGAGCAAACATTTTAAATGTAAAAATCTCAAAGTTCTTGAGTTCAGCCAGACAGGACACCATCAAAGAAATATCAGAGTTGCCTGGTTTTAAAAGGGTATAGAGCTTAGTGTCATCTGCATAGCACTGATAGTAGAAAACCATACCCACATAGGATGTGTTCCAAGGACAGCAATCAGGGATTAAGAGGGGACCCAAGATAGACCCCTGAGGAACCCCACATAAGAGAAACCCAAGAGAAGGACATATTTCCAAGCTTTAAAGAACAATACCTGTTTGACAGAGAGGAAATGAACCAACCCAGCACTGCAACACCAACAGTGTATTTCAGATGACTGATAAAGACAATGTGATTGATTATATCAAATGCTGGGCTATGGTCGAGCAGATTTGTCATTGAGCACAATTTGGAATCAGCTGCAAGCAATATGTCAACTAGGGCTTTAACCAGGGCAGTTTAGTGTGTAGGATAGGGGAAAGCAGGCCGATTTTTTTAAGATCTGATTGTTTTTCAAATAAGAAACCAGCTGTGTGGGCACAAAAACTGCAGTTTAGAGATGTTCAATGATTACAAAAAACAGAGAAATGACCAAGATGATAGTTTCGTTGTTGATAGTGCTGCACAATATGTTCAAATCACCAGAAAGGACAAGCCAGAACCAAGCAGGTGGACAACATAACCGCACTTAGCATTCCTCGACTGAACACAGTACTGAGTGATGATAACAGGGAATGCAGCACCAGGGAGATATATCTCAGCTGCTATGATAAATCTGACTCCTTGGATGATAAAGTTTGATAGTACACATTACTTCATCAAAAGACCATGGACTGATAAATTCTTCATTAACTAGAGTTGAGTTGAGATAATTGCAATAATGAGGTGAAGCAGTAGTTTAAAAGTTTGGTTTTATTGCAAGAAAGTTACAGAGTCATGTTTAGCACCAGATATATATCAGACTATATTACCATATCCCGGTACTATAAAGCTAAAGTCTTTAAAACAAAACAGTTTACGACTTTTGCTTGATTTTTATCATCACCAAATCATTTCAAGGCTATTTGACTACACAATAAAGTAAAATACAATAAATGAAATAGCTTAGGAAACCAGTTTCTGATCTAAAGAGAAAAAAAAGGAATGTAGAGAACTTGTTACATGTGCACTAATATTCAATATAATAGCCTGGTTGGTCCCAACAACTCAGTTAATATGGAATGGTCATTAAAAAGATCCATCATTGCAAGCCAGGGGGATACTGAATGTTGTTGTGGTTGGATCAATGTCCATGAAAATGCTTGATCTGATCATATCATTCAAAATTAGGTCAAAGAAAAAAAATGTCTTAGTGTGCTTGTCTGGTCTACATAAGATATGTCAAGATCTTTCTGCACACCCCTTCTGTATATACTCACCGCATACAACCTTTGGTGTAAGTCCATTTTAGACAAGCAAAGTTAAAATTGAATAAAATACAGACATCCAAAGGCACAGACACATGAGAGAGGAAGAAGGACAAGCGGAGGTGGAGTATTTGGTGTTGTGCGGCGACAGGGTTGTTTGTGAAGGAACAGCTCGTTCTTCTTCTGCTATAAATAGCAGAAAACACTGGTTGAGCAACACTGCACTGGTCTTGATGATTTGATCCTAGCTAAATGCACATGCACAGCTCATTTGGACTAATTGCTTAAGCAACCACATAAAGAGTGAAGCTCTAATGTCGAATTGGAATGATTTTAATAGGACAGAAGAAATATAAACATATGGCTAGTGTTGCATATTTCTTGATACATTTACCCCCAATCAGTGTAACTTGGATTTAGTCTTTCTTCTATGTCTGCAGCAAAGGAACCTAAAAAGTGCAAACATAGAGTACAGCAGCACAGTCACCACAGTCATCATGAAAAGCAGTACATCTAATAAGTAGTAGGAATACCAGGGCATCTTATAGGCCTCTGTACGAAGATGTGGAGCCCCTTTATGGCGTATCACGTATTCTACCCAGAATACGGCCTGATCCATGGGTGCCATTGGCTGGTCTCGGTGCAAACGTGACAACCTCTGAATGTTCTGTCTGTAGCTGTCTTGATGAAGCACTTCATTGAGGGCTTGCTCAAAACTGCGGCTGTTGGTGTAAGCCAACTCCAGAACCTTTGCTGCTCCTCTGTCCTTCAGGCGCAACAGGTTGTCAAACTGGTCAAAGAACAGCGGTATGCCAAGTACAGGGACACCGTGGTAAATGGCCTCCTGGACTCCATTGGTGCCTCCATGTGCTACAAAGACTTTGGTCTGTGGGTGGCCAAGGAGGTCCTTCTGCGGCATCCAATCCACTATCAGGGTGTTGTTGCCCAAAGAAGAGGGTCGCTTCCCTTTGTGCCTCCATATCACCTGACCAAAAAAATGGAATGAAAAATTATGAGCTGACAGTCTAACTGCAGGTTATTCAATAAAAGAAGAAAGTAGGGTGTCTGACATACAACTTTATAACACATTTTCAACAATAGAGCATGAACACCATTGATGACACTCAAACATGCTTTTCATGACTTTCCGTCATGTAAACACACCAGTTTGCGCAGATGCAATCATCCTGGATTCAGGAATTGGCATATGACCCTGTTTTTACTGTGTCAGAGTGTGCTGTGAGTTCACGCCAGAAATTTATTTAACTTGGCAAAGGAGCTTTACAAACTGTGATCAACTCACATGAGCTCTGCACACTGCAAACAAATGATCAAGGGGTATTTTGGTCTGACTTTCAAATCAGTCAGGTAACTCAAATGGAGGGACAACTTGATCAATATATGATTTTGAATTGCATATTTTAGTATTTTTATTCATCTTCTGTCTTTGTAATGAATCACTAATCAAGTCTTACCTTCTGTGGCATCTTGGCAAACACACTGGCAAATTCTTCAGCAAGGTCTTCAGGGAGAGCATTAACCAAAGTTCCTAGAGTCATGATGATCACTCCGTGCTCTCCGGCACTTTGAACAAACTTCTCCAGGTCTGCTGGCAGAGGCTGTGCTGGTTTGCACTGGAAGCCTCCTATGTAGACCACATTTGGCATTGTTGGTCGTGGAAAGTCAAATACAAAATCTGACCTGTACAGCCAAATGTCTGCTTCCTGAAGAAGTGACATCAAGCTGCATCCACCTTCAATGTATCTTCCACAGAGGTCATTATATGTTGGCCAAACCTTATGTATCTGGTACATGTTAACACTGTAGAAGAAAATGTTTTTAATCCTCTGGATGAAGTCCATTTTGTCAGTGAGGCCGGATCCTGGCGATGGGACATAAGAGAGGGGTGTTGGGGCAGTCACATAGTGACCTTCGCCTGCAGGGATCCAGCGAACATTTAGCACCATGGGCAGCTTGAGATACTTAGCTAGCACAACTCCTGATGCAATGGCTGGGTCTGTGAGAACTAGATCATATTTGGCATCCAGTAAGTTTTTGACCATCTTCTCATCATCAAAGATTCGAGCAACAGCATCAACCCACAATGCATGAATTGTTGAAATCCTTGAGAGAAAATCCCTGATGAGAAGAAAGACCGTGAGTGATGAAGCGCCCTCTCTCTGTATCTGGAATTAAAAGTTAGAATAGTGGTGTAAAATCAGGTTTAGTTGGTAAATAAATGCAAAGTATTCAAACGGACTTACCCTGATATTTTCCTTTGCGAACACATCAAAAAAGTCCTCCATACCCACATCCACATGGAAGTTAATGGATGTATAGAGTGGAGACTTTTCATCAATGTACCAGCTGTTGGAGGCTCTCATCACGGTCAGGTTGTGTCCCCTGGCATGGAGCTCCTCCAACAGGATCTTCATATTGATCCAATGACTCCCATCCACAGGGAACACCAAAATGTTCCCTCCATTGCAGGATGGCGTGAATGATATCAGAAATCCACTAAATAATACAAATATTACACACACACGCTGAAGTGGGACAGTTCCTAAATATGAAATCAAGCAGAAAACACCATAAGATGAATATTTTTATCAATTTGCAGCAAAGTGCTCTCACAGGATATTGATGTTTACTCACCCATGATCGAGAGTTGCTATAGTAGCCTTCTATACCACAGTCTGATGGTTTGATGGTTGATCCAAAGAGACCTCACACATGAGCTCAAACTCCAAATCAGATGTGTTTTCACAAGTAAATGAATTACCCTGTATTTGGCCTGTATCATCTAAGCTGTGGTACTGCAGTCTGTAGTCAGTACATAAAGTGATTGTTTCTTCTTTGTCTTGTATAGTAAGTATGTAGTTATGTTGTTTATCTCCTGGAAGTACCCTGAGAAGTGAAGTTCAGCGGATGTGTTTCTGTCTACCAGGCGGGAAAAATGTTCCCCTCAAAAGAATCTGTGACCTCTTTTATAAGGTTATTCCAGGAAGTTACGCAATGATGGCCCGCACATGTTGAGCCAGAATGTGCTGTTATTCATTCAACATGTAATTCAGCTTTTTCCTGGGTTTCTGACTAGGAGATACCTTATGCCTTATGCTTATTCTCAAATGAGATCAATGTAGGTCAGAGGTCGCACAAGGAATGAACTCAGTTGATATGATCATTTCCTTGGTCACGGAGCCCTATGTCTAGCACAGAGGGCTCTAAGTTCCTAAAGGCGTGGTGTGGGTTCAACACTGCTGAGTCCAATCACACCAGCTCCTCCCCTCACCTTGAAATGCGCCACAGGTCAAATCAAAATCAATACCTCCATACTACACAAACACACATACACACACACACACACACACACACACACACACACACACACACATACACCTGCACACTCTCACTACTGACAAGGGACGAAGGGACCCCGGGACAGTGCCCCCAGCAGCATGCCAGACACAGCTCCCAGTGTGGAGGACCCCCCCTCAGGACCCCCGTAAGGTCCCCAGTGTTTCCTCAGGCAAGGACAACAGTTCAAGTGTGTTAACAAATAAAAGACAGGATCTGATGTCCTTGAATTGGTTTTGAAGTGGTCTGCAAAGTTCTCGCAAAGATCATCTGTTGATGTCATAAAAACTTGATTAGAATTATTGTATGTTAAAATATCGCAAGTAGAGAAAAAACACTCCATTTGAGGTCGGCATTTATGACGGATACCGTCCCGCCTCCTCTTCTACCCTCCCTAGTAAAAAATTAAAAAAAACATTTGGTAGGGAAGCCTCAGTGAGAACAGCAGGTGCATCAGTGCTAACCCATGTCTCGGTTAAAAGAAGACAGTCTGACTTGTTATATAAAATCCCATAATTCATTAAAAAAGTTATATTTAAAAGAGAACAAACATTAAAAAGTGACATGTTGATGGTGACAGATAGCTTGTTGACTGGAGAGGTGGACTGTTTTGTGATTGGTCTAAGATTGTGAAAGTTCTCAGAATGGGTATGGCAGTGTCTGATGTGGTGATGGAGGGTAATGATTACAGGAATGGGTGAATGGGTGATGTGTTGGTGTGAATATGAGGTCCAAGTCAGGTGTTGTGTGTATGGTGGTCAGAGGTGGAACTGAGCAGGTCTAGACCACGCTCATAGTTTGATGATCAAGAACCAACCTAAGATGGGTTTTGGCCCATCTCAACTAACATGAGTAGCAGTGGCAAGGAAAAACTTCCTTTTAACAGGCAGAAACCTTGGGCAGGACCAGCCTCGTGTTAGACAGCCACCATGCCGCTGCTGGGTTGGGGAGGAATGTAGAGAGATGGCGGGAGAGAGAGGAGAGAATATTAAATATTAAATACATGAATATTAAAGTCACCAACGACGATGATTTTGTCTGTGAGAAGGACTAAATCAGATAGAAACTCTGAGAATTCTGACAAAAACTCAGAGTATGGGCTCGGAGGGCGATAAACTATAGCAAATACCAGTGGTCTCATGGTCTTTGAGGCTGGATGCGGAAGACTGAGAACAAGACTTTCAAAAGAGTTATAACCCAGTTTTGGTCTTGGGTTAATTCCAAGACTGGAATTAATGCCATTGAACAACACTGCACTGGTCTTGATGATTTGATCCTAGCTAAATGCACATGCACAGCTCATTTGGACTAATTGCTTAAGCACCCACATAAAAAGTGAAGCTCTAATATCGAATTGGAATAATTTTAATAGGACAGAAGAAATATAAACATATGGCTAGTGTTGCATATTTCTTGATACATTTACCCCCAATCAGTGTAACTTGGTTTTAGTCTTTCTTCTATGTCTGCAGCACAGGAACCTAAAAAGTGCAAACGTAGAGTACAGCAGCACAGTCACCACAGTCATCATGAAAAGCAGTACATCTAATAAGTAGTAGGAATACCAGGGCATCTTATAGGCCTCTGTACGAAGATGTGGAGCCCCTTTATGGCGTATCACGTATTCTACCCAGAATACAGCCTGATCCATGGGTGCCATCGGCTGGTCTCGGTGCAAACGTGACAACCTCTGAATGTTCTGTCTGTAGCTGTCTTGATGAAGCACTTCATTGAGGGCTTGCTCAAAACTGCGGCTGCTGGCATAAGCCAACTCCAGGATCTTTCCTGCTCCTCTGTCCTTCAGGCGTAACAGGTTGTCAAACTGGTCAAAGTACAGTGGTATGCCAAGTACAGGGACGCCGTGGTAAATGGCCTCCTGGACTCCATTGGTGCCTCCGTGTGCTACAAAGACTTTGGTCTGTGGGTGGCCAAGGAGGTCCTTCTGTGGCATCCAATCCACTATCAGGGTGTTGTTGCCCAAAGAAGAGGGTCGCTTCCCTTTGTGCCTCCATATCACCTGACCAAAAAAATGGAATGAAACATTTTGAACTGTGAGTAACTGCAGATTATTCAATAAAAGAAGAAATTAGGGTGTCTGACATACAACTTTATATCCCATTGAATACCATTGATGACACTCAAACATGCTTTTCATGACTTTCCATCATGTAAACACGCCAGTTTGCGCAGACGCAATCATCCTGGATTCAGGAATTGGCTTATGACCCTGTTTTTACTGTGTCAGAGTGTGCTGTGAGTTCACGCCAGAAATTTATCTAACTTGGCAAAAGCAGCTTTACAAACTGTGATCAACCCACATGAGCCCTGCACACTGCAGACAAATGATGTGCTATCAATGGTGGGGTTTTTTTGGTCAACTTGATCAACATATGTCTAACAGTCATGTGGTCTTATTGAGGTTATGTAAAACCATTTCTTTCATTTCTGATCTTTCATTATTTTCCGTCCCGTATTAGGAGTAAACATTGCTTGGAGTTGGATATTTTGAGGAATAGGTAAATTGTCACATTATCATTGACCCAGCATTTAAATCTTTTTATTCATCTTCTGTCTTTGTAATAAATCTCTAATCACGTCTTACCTTCTGTGGCATCTTGGCAAACACACTGGCAAATTCTTCCGCAAGGTCTTCGGGGAGAGCATTAACAAAAGTTCCTAGAGTCATGATGATCACTCCGTGCTCTCCGGCACTTTGAACAAACTTCTCCAGGTCTGCTGGCAGAGGCTGTGCTGGTTTGCACTGGAATCCTCCTATGTAGACCACATTTGGCATTGTTGGTCGTGGAAAGTCAAATACAAAATCTGATCTGTACAGCCAAATGTCTGCTTCCTGAAGAAGTGACATCAAGCTGCATCCTCCTTCAATGTATCTGCCACAAAGGTCATTATATATTGGCCCTGCCACAAGTCTCATCTGGTACTCAACAACACTGTGATAGAAAATGTTTTTAATCCTCTGGATGAAGTCCATTTTGTCGGTGAGGCCTGATCCTGGCGATGGGATATAGGAGAGGGGTGTTGGGGCGATCACATAGTGACCTTCGCCTGCAGGGATCCAGCGAACATTTAGCACCATGGGCAGCTTGAGATACTTAGCTAGCACAACTCCTGATGCAACGACTGGGTCCGTGAGAACTAGATCATATTTGGCATCCAGTAAGTTTTTGACCATCTTCTCATCATCAAAGATTTGAGCAGTAGCATCAACCCACAATTCATGAGCTTCCTTAACCATAGAGAGAAAATCCTTGATGAGTTGGAAGACTGTGAGTGATGAAGCGCCCTCTCTCTGTACCTGGAATAAAAGTTAGAGAAATAGTGGTGGAAAATCAGGTTTAGTTGGTAAATAGATGCAAAGTATTCAAACTGACTTACCCTGATATTTTCCTTTAGGAACACATCAAAAAAGTCCTCCATACCCACATCCATATGGAGGCTAATGGATGTATAGAGCGAAGACTTTTCATCAATGTACCAGCTGTTGGCGGCTCTGATCACAGTCAAGTTGTGTCCCCTGGCATGGAGCTCCTCCAACAGGATCTTCATATTGATCCAATGACTCCCATCCACAGGGAACACCAAAATATTTCCTCCATCGCAGGATGGTGTGAATGATATCAGTAATCCACTGAATAATACAAATATTCCACACACGTGCTGAAGTGGGACAGTTCCTAAATATGAAATCAAGCAGAAAACACCATAAGATAAATATTTTTATCAATTTGCAGCAAAGTGCTCTCACAGAATATTGATGTTTACTCACCCATGATCGAGAGTAACTATAGTAGCCTTCTATACCACAGTCTGATGGTTTGATGGTTGATCCAAAGAGACCTCACACATGAGATCAAACTCCAAATCAGATGTCTTTTCACAAGTAAATGAATTACCATGTATTTGGCATGTATCATCTAAGCTGTGGTACTGCAGTCTTAAAGGGGCCATGGCATGAAAAACTGACTTTGTTAACGGGAGGGGGGTGCATATCAGGGATAGAAAACCGCTACAATCCCCCCCAAGTTCGAAAAAATTCCATCCAGTCGTTTTTTAGTTATCTCCGTATTTCGGAACTGTGTGCTCAGAGCCGGCCGTTCTGAAAACTCCAGTGCTGGCGGGTTGATGGTACTGCCCATGGAGCCGCCCACTGCCCTGCCCCAAAAATTATCAAAACAGCGCCATTATTCCCAGCCGCTCGCTCGCATTGCTCCGGTTAGAACCATGGCGAAAGTATGATCTGAAAAAGAGGCAGCGTTTGCTCTGTTGTTGGCTGCACAAACGAGCACAAAACTCTTTTGAAAACTCCCTCGTCGGAGGATTTGAGGACTCAATGGGTGGATTTTATTTATAATGGGAATGTACCCGCGGCACTTCCATAATATCTGTACGTATGTGCGCACCATTTCACTCCGGACTGTTTTATCAACGAGGGACAGTTCAACGCTGGATTTGCTAGATGTCTGAAGATAAAAAATGGATCCGTAACAACTATCCGTGATCCTACTACAAACGTGGCGTCTGTAAGTGTGAACGTATTATTTTGACTTACTGTTTAGCCTAAATTCCCCCCGGTGCCTCAGCACGGCCACCACGTTTTGATAAACACACCGGATCCTCCCGTATTTTAGCCGCTCGCTTCTTTCCCGACAACTCCGCCGGCGGGGGGACAAAATCCCCCTCCGGAGCAGCATGTAGCTTTAGGATTTACCCGTGCGGCGACGCGCCTCTTTTGGCTCAAATACATGTAGTGCCCTAGTAATTTGAGTTCATTCTTAAAGTTGTTTGATTCTGTGATAGCGCTTATTTTCTTGTTGATGATGTAAGATATCACCTCATAATCTCAGGAATGTAATTTTTTAGTCAAAGTTTTCCAAATATCCCGCAGTTAAGGCAGACCTTGAGTGCCTCATGTCCGGTTGTCCCTGCGTGATTGACAGGCGTCACGAGCGTATCGCCAATCATTGTCAAGTTTGGGTGAGGAGTGGGACCTGTCAGTTTTTGGGAAGGCGGGGTTTTCATCTCGGTGAGAGAAGCGGTGATTGACAGAACGGAAAAATGCTGGACAGCGATGCCGAGAGAAGGCGAAATAATAGTTTGAAAGTTTGTTCTTTCGTTTGTTAAGTGTTAAATGAAGACCCAACAGGGTTGAGGCTCGGTGTGTTGGATCGGGGCGGGGGTGTGTGGTTGTTTCGAGACGTGCGGGTGAGTGTCGTTGGTAAATTCAGCAAGGTTCGTAAATGTGCTATATGCTAAATTGTTAGCTGACTAGCATTGACTGTGCAGGAGCAGAGGAAGACTGGAGTCAGGATGCACGTGTGCGGTCGGGTGTTAATTTCAAGTTCCTGAGTGAGTATCAGACTGCTTATTGTTATCTCAGGCACGTTGTGAGTGAGTACGTGTATGTGAAGTTTTGTTTTTGTGCTGTCAGTGTGCTTCGGATACTGGCCACTCGTGCTGCGACAGTAGAGGGACTTCGGCATGCGGACCGACTTTCTCTTTCTTCCATTCTGTGCTTCCATGAGGGTTATAACAACACACTAAATTTGCAAGGGACCGTGAGTACAAACGACTTTGAAATCACACCCACACAAGAGCTCCAACAGCGCGCCAATGTACGTGGTACCACTGACTGATTTATAAAATATAAAATCCCAGGTATTAACTATTTTGTTTCTTCTTCTTTTTATTTCATTATCCTGTGAATAAATGTGAACATTTGTGAATTTAAACGTGTGGTTCCTGTTGATTGATGTTGTGCACATTTGGGGGGCTATCTTAAGACATGCATGGGAGTTAACACTCACACAGACACATCACACAATTCCCTGGTTTATATTTTGTAGCATCACCAATTCCTCTCCCATGCAAAATACTGTGTGTATGATCCGGTAGGTTATAGAATTTAAAAAAAAATAGGAATTGAGTGAGGGGGCTACATACAGGACTTCCCATATTTGAACGCGGCTAAGAGTTTCTTATGTAGCCTCTCCCTCTGGGTCAGACTCTGGCTCAAACTGGTAGGGTTGTACGAGCGATCTTCTTGCAGCCATGACCGAGCCAGTGTAAACATTAGCACATGGCTATCGGAGCACAGCCACAGCCCCTTCCAGAGAGATGGGTGTAAAGTGGATGTGGCTTAGGTGTAGCTCATTTCATTAAAGAGACATGGCCCAAAACGGAGGATTTTGAGCGGAGCTGTTTTTAGCTGATAAAAAGAGCACTAAAATAATTGATCCAAATCGAATTTTGACCGAAGGACGTCACAGACATGCTTTTAACACACCAGGGGACTATTTTAAGTTGTGTGAAATTGGCATGCCATGGGACCTTTTAAAGAGCACTTTTCACTTTTCATGCATGGACCTGCAAAACAAAGTGCTTTACACACATAGAAAAATAGAAACATAGAAAAAACAATTACAATCAAAGCCCCTGGGTGAAGGCAATCAGGTTGGCCTCCCTGTCAGTGAGGTGTCCCTTTTTTTTCAGGGAGTTGGCAACCTTAGTCAGGAGAAACCTCATTAAATTTTTTAAAAGACCTGATTGCCATTCAATAAATCAGCTGTGTGGGCACTAAAAACCTTGCAGCTTAGAGATGTTCAGTGCTTACAGAGAATAGAGAGATGATCAAATTGTTGCAATAATGAGGTGAAGCAGTAGTTTAAAAGTTTGGTTTTATTGCAAGAAAGTTACAGAGTCATGGTTAGCACTGGATATATATCAGACAATATTATCATATCTGGGTCCTTTAAAGCTAAAGTCTTTAGAACAAAACAGTTTGACTTTTTCTAGATTTTTATCATTATCAAATAATTTCAAGGCTATTTGACTGATCAATAAAGTAGAAATAGTATAAATAAAATAGCTAAGGAAACCAGTTTCTGATTAAATAAAACACATCAGAGAACTTGTTACACGTACACTTACAATTAAAATAAATACTTAGTCAGTCTGAAGTGAACAACCCAGTTGAAAAGGACTGAGCCAAACTGTTCGTTAGAAAAGATATGTCATTGCAAGCCAGAGGGATGCTGCATGCTATTGTTGTGGTTGGATTAATGTCCATTAAAATGCTTGATCTGATTATATCATTCAAGTTTAGGTCAAAGAAAAAAATGTCTTAGTGTGCTTGTCTGGTCTACATAACATATGTCAAGATCTTTCTGCACACCCCTTTTGTATAAGCTCAATGCATACAACCTGATTAGCTAAACTGGCATCTGTCTAGCCTTGTTGGCCACTTTTTTGTACTGAATGTAGGACTCTCTGTAATCCTGTACCTCCGTACCTCGTCAAAAGGAGGATTATGTAGTAATGGGGAAGAAAAGTTGTTGGTTTTGCCGGCATGGTTGGTGTTACTTAGTATCAAAGCATGCTTTGTGCAGAAAATCAGTTGCGTCCAGTTCACTGTGAAGGGTGGAAATTTAATGTGGGAGAACGACAGAAACACAAGTACGATTTGCATAAATGGTGTAGGTCCATTTTAGACCAGCAAAGGTAAAAATAAATAAAATACAGACATCCAAAGACACAGACACATGAGAGAGAGAGGGAAGGAAATGTATGGAGCAAATTGAGGGTACAAGCAGAGGAGGAGTAATAAAAAGTGAAGCTCTAATGTCGAATTGGAATGATTTTAATAGGACAGAAGAAATATAAACATATGGCTGGTGTTGCATATTTCTTGATTCATTTACCCCCAATCAGTGTAACTTGGATTTAGTCTTTCTTCTTTGTCTGCAGCACAGGAACCTAAAAAGTGCAAACATAGAGTACAGCAGCACAGTCACCACAGTCATCATGAAAAGCAGTACATCTAATAAGTAGTAGGAATACCAGGGCATCTTATAGGCCTCTGTGCGAAGATGTGGAGCCCCTTTATGGCGTATCACGTATTCTACCCAGAATACGGCCTGATCCATGGGTGCCATCGGCTGATCTCGGTGCAAACGTGACAACCTCTGAATGTTCTGTCTGTAGCTGTCTTGATGAAGCACTTCATTGAGGGCTTGCTCAAAACTGCGGCTGTTGGCATCAGCCAACTCCAGGATCTTTGCTGCTCCCCTGTCCTTCAGGCGCAACAGGTTGTCAAACTGGTCAAAGAACAGTGGTATGCCAAGTACAGGGACGCCGTGGTAAATGGCCTCCTGGACTCCATTGGTGCCTCCATGTGTGACAAAGACTTTGGTCTGTGGGTGGCCAAGGAGGTCCTTCTGTGGCATCCAATCCACTATCAGGGTGTTGTTGCCCAAAGAAGAGGGTCGCTTCCCTTTGTGCCTCCATATCACCTAACCAAAAAAATGGAATAAAACGTTATGAACTGACAGTCTTACTGCAAGTTTTTTAATAAAAGAAGAAAGTAGGGTGTCTGACATACAACTTTATATCCCATTTTCAACAATTGAGCATGAACACTGTTGATGACACTCCAACATGCTTTTCATGACTTTCAGTCATGCGCAGACGCAGCACAGACGCAATCATCCTGGATTCAGGAATTGGCTTCTGACCCTGTTTTTACTGTGTCAGAGTGTGCTGTGAGTTCATGCCAGAAATTTATCTAACTTGGCAAAAGGAGCTTTACAAACTGTGATCAACCCACATGAGCCCTGCACACTGCAAACAAATGATCAAGGGGTATTTTGGTCTTGCTTTCAAATCAGTCAGGTAACTCAAATGGAGGGACAACTTGATCAACATATGATTTTGTATTGCAAATTATAGTATTTTTATTCATCTTCTGTCTTTGTAATGAATCACTAATCACGTCTTACCTTCTGAGGCATCTTGGCAAACACACTGGCAAATTCTTCTGAAAGGTCTTCGGGGAGAGCATTAACCAAAGTTCCTAGAGTCATGATGATCACTCCGTGCTCTCCAGCACTTTGAACAAACTTCTCCAGGTCTGCTGGCAGAGGCTGTGCTGGTTTGCACTGGAAGCCTCCTATGTAGACCACATTTGGCATTGTTGGTCGTGGAAAGTCAAATAAAAAATCTGATCTGTACAGCCAAATGTCTGCTTCCTGAAGAAGTGACATCAAGCTGCATCCACCTTCAATGTATCTGACACAAAGGTCATTATATGTTGGCCCTGCCACAAGTCTCATCTGGTACTCAACAACACTGTGGAAGAAAAGGTTTTTAATCCTCTGGATGAAGTCCATTTTGTCAGTGAGGCCTGATCCTGGTGACGGGATATAAGAGAGAGGTGTTGGGGCGATCACATAGTGACCTTCACCTGCAGGGATCCAGCGAACATTTAGCACCGTAGGCAACTTGAGATACTTGGCTAGCACAACTCCTGATGCAATGCCTGGGTCTGTGAGAACTAGATCATATTTGGCATCCATTAAGTTTTTGACCATCTTCTCATCATCAAAGATTTGAGCAGTAGCATCAGCCCACAATGCATGAAATGTTGAAATCCTTGAGAGAAAATCCCTGATGAGTAGAAAGACCATTAGTGATGAAGCGCCCTCTCTCTGTATCTGGAATTAAAAGTTAGAATAGTGGTGTAAATTCAGGTTTAGTTGGTAAATAAATGCAAAGTATTCAAACGGACTTACCCTGATATTTTCCTTTGCAAACACATCAAAAAAGTCTTCCATACCCACATCCACATGGAAGTTAATGGATGTATAGAGTGGAGACTTGTCATCAATGTACCAGCTGGTGGAGGCTCTCATCACGGTCAGGTTGTGTCCCCTGGCATGGAGCTCCTCCAACAGGATCTTCATATTGATCCAATGACTCCCATCCAAAGGGAACACCAAAATGTTGCCTCCATCGCATGATGGTGTGAATGATATCAGAAATCCACTGAATAATACAAATATTCCACACACACACTGAAGTGGGACAGTTCCTAAATATGAAATCAAGTAGAAACACCATAAGATAAATATTTTTATCAATTTGCAGCAAAGTGCTCTCACAGGATATTGATGTTTACCCACCCATGATCGAGAGTTGCTGTAGTAGCCTTCTATACCACAGTCTGATGGTTTGATGGTTGATCCAAAGAGACCTCACATATGAGCTCAAACTCCAAATCAGCTGTCTTTTCACAAGTAAATGAATTACCCTGTATTTGGCCTGTATTATCTAAGCTGTGGTACTGCAGTCTGTAGTCAGTACATAAAGTGATTGTTTCTTCTTTGTCTTGTAAAGTAAGTATGTAGTAATGTTGTTTATCTCCTGGAAGTACCCTGAGAAGTGAAGTTCAGCGGATGTGTTTCTGTCTACCAGGTGGGAAAAATGTTCCCCTCAAAAGAATCTGTGATCTCTTTTATCAGGTTATTCCAGGAAGTTACGCAATGATGGCCCGTACATGTTGAGCCAGAATGTGCTGTTACTCATTTAACATGTAGTGCAGCTTTTTCTTGGGTTTCTGACTAGGAGATACCTAATGCCCAAGTTTTCTCAAATGGGATCAATGTATGTCAGAGGTCCAACAAGGAATGAACTCAGTTGATATGATCATTTCTTCAGTCACGGAGCCCTATGTCTAGCACAGAGGGCTCTGAATTCCTAAAGGCGTGGTGTGGGTTCAACACTGCCGAGTCTAATCACACCAGCTCCTGCCCTCAACTTGAAATGCACCACAGGTCAAAGCAAGATCAAATCAAACTTTACTTAAAGAGCACTTTTCACTTTTCATGCATGGACATGCAACACAAAGTGCTTTACACGCATAGAAAAATAGAAACATAGAAAAAACAATAACGGATCATCTGTTGGAGTCTTAAAAACTTTATTAGAATTATGTTGTGTTAAAATACGAAAGTGGAGAAAAAACACTCCATTTGAGATCGGCATTTATGATGGATGCTGTCCCGCCTGCTCTTCTACCCTCTCTAGTAGAAAATAAAAAAATACATTTGGTGGGGAAGCCTCAGTGAGAACAGCAGGTACATCTAACTTGTTGTCTAAAATCCCATCATTCATTGGCATTCAATAAATCAGCTGTGGGAACTAAAAACCCTGCAGCTTAGAGATGTTCAATGCTTACAGAGAATAGAGAGATGATCAAATTATTTAAATAATGAGGTGAAGCAGTAGTTTAAAAGTTTGGTTTTATTGCAAGAAAGTTACAAAATCATGTTTAGCACTGCAAATATATCAGACAATATTACCATATCTGGGTCCTTTAAAGCTAAAGTCTTTAGAACAAAACAGTTTACGACTTTTTCTATATGTTTATCTTTACCAAATAATTTCAAGGCTATTTGTATGGAGCCAGCTCAGGCTCAAAAGTATTGAAAAAGTAGTGTAAGTGAAAAAATAAAAAGTGAAGTGAAAAAATAAGATTTGAACCTGAAAAAAATAAAATGGTACCTGAAAGTCTTGAATTTCGAAATTGAACTTTTAAAAATTCCCAGAATGCATGAAAAAAATCTGTTCAAATGTAACTTGATTCTGTTTTTTAATACTTTTGAATAAATTACTTATTTCTATTTTTCACTTCAATGTATATTTCGATCTTTGAGTACTTTTTTTTTTTCGATTGAATTTTATTTATTTATTTCAGATTCAGATCTTATTTTTACGGATTCAAAACTTTTTTTTCGGTTTCAGATTTTTTTTTTTCAGATTCAGATCTTTTTTCAGATTCAACTTGAAAAGTTTCAGGTTGACTTTTGAGCCTGTTTTTCCGTGGGGGCGGGCCTCGACTGAGAGGGGCGCGGTCTGCCATGAGTGACAGGCCTCCCCCTCCTTCCCCACCCCATCACCCTGCGTTCAGGAAGTGGCATGAATACACATTAGCTTAGCCTACAATTAGGCTGTATTGGCTGAATGAGATCGTGTTGGTTCGTTCCACTTTAGGGTGCAATATAAACTGTGATTCATTAAAAAGCTCTATTGATAGTAAGTACTAAAAAAAATATATCTTCTCATGCCGTCCTGTCGATTTTTAGTAATCAGTGTTTCGGTGTCGAACTATTTCCTTTCTGCGGCGTAGTGATACTTGCACACACGCAATCGAATATGCAGGGGGTGAAGCGATTTTTGTCACGTGGACCAATAGGAGCCGAGTCTCGTTGCCATAGTATCAGAAATACACAAACATGGCGACGACCGCATCTCGCAGTGAGACAAGCGAAGAGGAAGAAAGGAAAAGGAACAAAAGAAAACAGCCTTCAAAAGTGCATAAAAAGGAGCGAAACGATGCTATATGCATCTATCATCTGTCCAGAGTGAAGACGTTCTCGACTTTACAAGGACACGTTGGGAAACTTACAGAACTAGTATTAGAAAGTGGCTTTCTCTACAGGGTGAGACAAAGGACCTTGCAGAAACTTATAAACTTTGCGTTGATATCGACTTTGATAATGTTCCTGATGACGCTGGGTTTCACATAACATGCTACAAGCGATTTATTTGCAAAAGGGGTTTGAGAAACAAGAACGTGATGCAGCCGCGGGTCAGTCAAACCCTTAACGCAGCATCGCCGATGCATCCACGTCCACGGCATCTGAAACTCCGCGAAAGAAACTTGGCTTGAGGTCATAGGCTGTATTGGGACAAAGGAAAAAGTGCCTAGAAAGTGAATTTCGTTCAAATACGCTGGTGCTACTTATTCAATGCATTTTTGCATAGACAATACCATTCATCCATACCATCCGCGACTGCATCACGTTCTTGTTTCTCAAACCCCTTTTGCAAATAAATCGCTTGTAGCATGTTATGTGAAACCCAGCGTCATCAGGAACATTATCAAAGTCGATATCAACGCAAAGTTTATACGTTTCTGCAAGGTCCTTTGTCTCACCCTGTAGAGAAAGCCACTTTCTAATACTAGTTCTGTAAGTTTCCCAACGTGTCCTTGTAAAGTCGAGAACGTCTTCACTCTGGATAGATGATAGATGCATATAGCATCGTTTCGCTCCTTTTTATGCACTTTTGAAGGCTGTTTTCTTCTGTTCCTTTTCTTTTCTTCCTCTTCGCTTGTTGAAACACTGATTACTAAAAATCGACAGGATGACATGAGTAGATATATTTTTTTTAGTACTTACTATCAATAGAGCTTTTTTATGAATCACAGTTTATATTGCACCCTAAAGTGGAACGAACCAACACGATCTCATTCAGCCAATACAGCCTAATTGTAGGCTAAGCTAATGTGTATTCATGCCACTTCCTGAACGCAGGGTGATGGGGTGGGGAAGGAGGGGGAGGCCTGTCACTCATGGCAGACCGCGCCCCTCTCAGTCGAGGCCCGCCCCCACGGAAAAACAGGCTCAAAAGTCAACCTGAAACTTTTCAAGTTGAATCTGAAAAAAGAAGATCTGAATCTGAAAAAAAAAAAATCCGAAACCGAAAAAAAAGTTTTGAATCCGTAAAAATAAGATCTGAATCTGAAATAAATAAATAAAATTCAATCGAAAAAAAAAAAGTACTCAAAGATCGAAATATACATTGAAGTGAAAAATAGAAATAAGTAATTTATTCAAAAGTATTAAAAAACAGAATCAAAGTTACATTTGAACAGATTTTTTTCATGCATTCTGGGATTTTTCAAAGTTCAATTTCGAAATTCAAGAATTTCAGGTACCATTTTATTTTTTTCAGGTTCAAATCTTATTTTTTCACTTCACTTTTTATTTTTTCACTTACACTACTTTTTCAATACTTTTGAGCCTGAGCTGGCTCCATATATTTGACTAATCAATAAAGTAGAAATACTATAAATGAAATAGCTTAGGAAACCAGTTTCTGATCAAATATAACACATCAGAGAACTTGTTACATGTACATTTAAAATTAGAAAAAATGCTTGGTCAGTCTGAAGTGAACAACCCAGTTGAAAAGGACTGAGCCAAACTGTTCGTTAGAAAAGATATGTCACTGCAAGCCAGAAGGATGCTGCATGCTATTGTTGTGGTTGGATTAATGTCCATGAAAATGCTCGATCTGATCATATCATTCAAGTTTAGGTCAAAGAAAAAATGTCTTAGTGTGCTTGTCTGGTCTACAAAACATATGTCAAGATCTTTCTGCACACCCCTTCTATATAAGCTCAATGATTTACCTGATTACCTCCGTACCTCGTCAAAAGGAGGATTATGTAGTAATGGGGAAGAAAAGTTGTTGGTTTTGCCGGCATGGTTGGTGTTACTTAGTATCAAAGCATGCTTTGTGCAGAAAATCAGTTGCGTCCAGTTCACTGTGAAGGGTGGAAATTTAATGTGGGAGAACGGCAGGAACACAAGTACCATTTGCATAAATGGTGTAGGTCCATTTTAGACCAGCAAAGGTAAAAATAAATAAAATACAGACATCCAAAGACACAGACACATGAGAGTGAGAGGGAAGGAAAGGTCTGCAGCAAATTGAGGGTACAAGCGGAAGAGGAGTCATAAAAAGTGTAGCTCTAATCTCTAATTGGAATGATTTTAATAGGACAGAAAAAATATAAACATATGGCTAGTGTTGCATATTTCTTGATTCATTTACCCCCAATCAGTGTAACTTGGATTTAGTCTTTCTTCTTTGTCTGCAGCACAGGAACCTAAAAAGTGCAAACATAGAGTACAGCAGCACAGTCACCACAGTCATCATGAAAAGCAGTACATCTAATAAGTAGTAGGAATACCAGGGCATCTTATAGGCCTCTGTACGAAGATGTGGAGCCCCTTTATGGCGTATCACGTATTCTACCCAGAATACGGCCTTGTCCATGGGTGCCATCGGCTGATCTCGGTGCAAACGTGACAACCTCTGAATGTTCTGTCTGTAGCTGTCTTGATGAAGCACTTCATTGAGGGCTTGCTCAAAACTGCGGCTGTTGGCATCAGCCAACTCCAGGATCTTTGCTGCTCCTCTGTCCTTCAGGCGCAACAGGTTGTCAAACTGGTCAAAGAACAGCGGTATGCCAAGTACAGGGACGCCGTGGTAAATGGCCTCCTGGACTCCATTGGTGCCTCCGTGTGCTACAAAGACTTTGGTCTGTGGGTGGCCAAGGAGGTCCTTCTGTGGCATCCAATCCACTATCAGGGTGTTGTTGCCCAAAGAAGAGGGTCGCTTCCCTTTGTGCCTCCATATCACCTAACCAAAAAAATGGAATGAAACATTATGAACTGACAGTCTTACTGCAGGTTATTCAATAAAAGAAAGAATTAGCGTGTCTGACATACAACTGTAAAACCCATTTTCAACAATTGAGCATGAACACCATTGATGAACCTCAAACATGCTTTTCATGACTTACAGTCATGTTAACACGCCAGTTTGCACAGACGCAATCATCCCGGATTCAGGAATTTGCTCATGTGAGTTATGTAAGTCATTTGAGTTCATGCCAGAAATTTATCTAACTTGGCAAAAGCAGCTTTACAAACCGTGATCAACCCACATGACCCCTGCACACTGCAACCAAATGATGTGCCATCAAGGGTGTTTTTCTTGGTCAACTTGATCAGCGTGTGTCTAAAACTCATGTGGTCGTATTGAGGTTATGTAAAACCATTTCTTTAGTTTCTGATCTTTCATTATATTCCGTCTTGTATTCGGAGTTAACATTGCTTGGAGTTGGACATTTTGAGGAATAGGTAAATTGTCACATTATCATTGACCCAGCATTTAAATCTTTTTATTCATCTTCTGTCTTTGTAATGAATCACTAATCACGTCTTACCTTCTGAGGCATCTTGGCAAACACACTGGCAAATTCTTCTGCAAGGTCTTCGGGGAGAGCATTAACCAAAGTTCCTAGAGTCATGATGATCACTCCGTGCTCTCCAGCACTTTGAACAAACTTCTCCAGGTCTGCTGGCAGAGGCTGTGCTGGTTTGCACTGGAAGCCTCCTATGTAGACCACATTTGGCATTGTTGGTCGTGGAAAGTCAAATACAAAATCTGATCTGTACAGCCAAATGTCTGCTTCCTGAAGAAGTGACATCAAGCTGCATCCATCTTCAATGTATCTGCCACAAAGGTCATTATATGTTGGCCCTGCCACAAGTCTCATCTGGTACTCAACAACACTGTGGAAGAAAAGGTTTTTAATCCTCTGGATGAAGTCCATTTTGTCAGTGAGGCCTGATCCCGTTGACGGGATATAAGAGAGAGGTGTCGGGGCGATCACATTGTGACCTTCACCTGCAGGGATCCAGCGAACATTTAGCACCATGGGCAGCTTGAGATACTTAGCCAGCACAACTCCTGATGCACTGGCTGGGTCCGTGAGAACTAGATCATATTTGGCATCCAGTAATTTTTTGACCATCTTCTCATCATCAAAGATTCGAGCAACAGCATCAGCCCACAATGCATTAAGTGTTGAAATCCTTGAGAGAAAATCCTTGATGAGTAGAAAGACACTGAGTGATGAAGCGCCCTCTCTCTGTACCTGGAATTAAAAGTTAGAATAGTGGTGTAAAATCAGGTTTAGTTGGTAAATAAGTGCAAAGTATTCAAATTGACTTACCCTGATATTTTCCTTCAGGTACACATCAAAAAAGTCCTCCACACCCACATCCACATGGAAGTTAATGGATGTATAGAGTGGAGACTTTTCATCAATGTACCAGCTGGTGGAGGCTCTCATCACGGTCAGGTTGTGTCCCCTGGCATGGAGCTCCTCCAACAGGATCTTCATATTGATCCAATGACTCCCATCCACAGGGAACACCAAAATGTTCCCTCCATCGCAGGATGGCGTGAATGATATCAGAAATCCACCGAATAATACAAATATTCCACACACACACTGAACTGGGACAGTTCCTAATTATGAAATCAAGCAGAAAACACCATATGATAAATATTTTTATCAACTTGCAGCAATGTAATCTCACAGGATATTGATGTTTACTCACCCATGATCGAGAGTTGCTGTAGTAGCCTTCTATACCACAGTCTGATGGTTTGATGGTTGATCCAAAGAGACCTCACACATGAGCTCAAACTCCAAATCAGCTGTCTTTTCACAAGTAAATGAATTACCCTGTATTTGGCCTGTATTATCTAAGCTGTGGTACTGCAGCCTGTAGTCAGTACAAAAAGTGATTGTTTCTTCTTTGTCTTGTAAAGTAAGTATGTAGTCATGTTGTTTATCTCCTGGAAGTACCCTGAGAAGTGAAGTTCAGCGGATGTGTTTCTGTCTACCAGGTGGGAAAAATGTTCCCCTCAAAACAATCTGTGACCTCTTTTATCAGGTTATTCCCGGAAGTTACGCAATGATGGCCCGTACATGTTGAGCCAGAATGTGCTGTTACTCATTTAACATATAGTGCAGCTTTTTCTTGGGTTTCTGACTAGGAGATACCTTATGCCCAAGTTTTCTCAAATGGGATCAATGTAGGTCAGAGGTCCAACAAGGAATGAACTCAGTTGATATGATCATTTCTTCAGTCACGGAGCCCTATGTCTAGCACAGAGGGCTCTGAATTCCTAAAGGCGTTGTGTGGGTTCAACACTGCCGAGTCTAATCCCACCAGCTCCTCCCCTCAACTTGAAATGCACCACAGGTCAAATCAAAATCAAATCAAACTTTACTTAAAGAGCGCTTTTCACTTTTCATGCATGGACATGCAACACAAAGTGCTTTACACGCATAGAAAAATAGAAACATAGAAAAAACAATAATGGATCATCTGTTGGTGTCTTAAAAACTTTATTAGAATTATGTTGTGTTAAAATACGAAAGTGGAGAAAAAACACTCCATTTGAGATCGGCATTTATGATGGATGCTGTCCCGCCTGCTCTTCTACCCTCTCTAGTAGAAAATAAAAAAATACATTTGAAGGGGAAGCCTCAGTGAGAACAGCAGGTACATCTAACTTGTTGTCTAAAATCCCATCATTCATTGCCATTCAATAAATCAGCTGTGGGAACTAAAAACCCTGCAGCTTAGAGATGTTCAATGCTTACAGAGAATAGAGAGATGATCAAATTATTTAAATAATGAGGTGAAGCAGTAGTTTAAAAGTTTGGTTTTATTGCAAGAAAGTTACAAAATCATGTTTAGCACTGCAAATATATCAGACAATATTACCATATCTGGGTCCTTTAAAGCTAAAGTCTTTAGAACAAAACAGTTTACGACTTTTTCTAGATGTTTATCTTTACCAAATAATTTCAAGGCTATTTGACTAATCAATAAAGTAAAATACAATAAATGAAATAGCTTAGGAAACCAGTTTCTGATCAAATAAAACACATCAGAGAACTTGTTACACGTACATTTAAAATTAGAATAAATGCTTGGTCAGTCTGAAGTGAACAACCCAGTTGAAAAGGACTGAGCCAAACTGTTCGTTAGAAAAGATATGTCACTGCAAGCCAGAAGGATGCTGCATGCTATTGTTGTGGTTGGATTAATGTCCATGAAAATGCTTGATCTGATCATATCATTCAAGTTTAGGTCAAAGAAAAAATTTCTTAGTGTGCTTGTCTGGTCTACAAAACATATGTCAAGATCTTTCTGCGCACCCCTTCTATATAAGCTCAATGATTTACCTGATTACCTCCGTACCTCGTCAAAAGGAGAATTATGTAGTAATGGGGAAGAAAAGTTGTTGGTTTTGCCGGCATGGTTGGTGTTACTTAGTATCAAAGCATGCTTTGTGCAGAAAATCAGTTGCGTCCAGTTCACAGTGAAGGGTGGTCATTTAATGTGGGAGAATGAGAGAAACACAAGTACCATTTGCATAAATGGTGTAGGTCCATTTTAGACCAGCAAAGGTAAAAATAAATAAAATACAGACATTCAAAGACACAGACACATGAGAGTGAGAGGGAAGGAAAGGTCTGGAGCACATTGAGGGGACAAGCGGAGGAGGAGTCATAAAAAGTGTAGCTCTAATCTCTAATTGGAATGATTTTAATAGGACAGAAAAAATATAAACATATGGCTAGTGTTACATATTTCTTGATTCATTTGCCCCCAATCAGTGTAACTTGGATTTAGTCTTTCTTCTTTGTCTGCAGCACAGGAACCTAAAAAGTGCAAACATAGAGTACAGCAGCACAGTCACCACAGTCATCATGAAAAGCAGTACATCTAATAAGTAGTAGGAATACCAGGGCATCTTATAGGCCTCTGTACGAAGATGTGGAGCCCCTTTATGGCGTATCACGTATTCTACCCAGAATACGGCCTTGTCCATGGGTGCCATCGGCTGGTCTCGGTGCAAACGTGACAACCTCTGAATGTTCTGTCTGTAGCTGTCTTGATGAAGCACTTCATTGAGGGCTTGCTCAAAACTGCGGCTGTTGGCATCAGCCAACTCCAGGATCTTTGCTGCTCCTCTGTCCTTCAGGCGCAACAGGTTGTCAAACTGGTCAAAGAACAGCGGTATGCCAAGTACAGGGACGCCGTGGTAAATGGCCTCCTGGACTCCATTGGTGCCTCCATGTGCTACAAAGACTTTGGTCTGTGGGTGGCCAAGGAGGTCCTTCTGTGGCATCCAATCCACTATCAGGGTGTTGTTGCCCAAAGTAGAGGGTCGCTTCCCTTTGTGCCTCCATATCACCTGACCAAAAAAATGGAATGAAACATTATGAACTGACAGTCTAACTGCAGGTTATTCAATAAAAGAAAGAATTAGGGTGTCTGACATACAACTTTAAAACCCATTTTCAACAATTGAGCATGAACACCATTGATGAACCTCAAACATGCTTTTCATGACTTTCAGTCATGTTTACACGCCAGTTTGCGCAGACGCAATCATCCCAGATTCAGGAATTTGCTCATGTGAGTTATGTAAGTTATTTGATTTCATGCCAGAAATTTATCTAACTTGGCAAAAGCAGCTTTACAAACCGTGATCAACCCACATGACCCCTGCACCCTGCAAACAAATGATGTGTCATCAAGGGTGTTTTTCTTGGTCAACTTGATCAGCGTGTGTCTGAAAGTCATGTGGTCGTATTGAGGTTATGTAAAACCATTTCTTTCATTTCTGATCTTTCATTATTTTCCGTCTCATATTAGGAGTAAACATTGCTTGGAGTTGGACATTTTGAGGAATAGGTAAATTGTCACATTATCATTGACCCAGCATTTAAATCTTTTTATTCATCTTCTGTTTTGTAATGAATCACTAATCACATCTTACCTTCTGAGGCATCTTGGCAAACACACTGGCAAATTCTTCTGCAAGGTCTTCAGGGAGAGCATTAACCAAAGTTCCTAGAGTCATGATGATCACTCCATGCTCTCCGGCACTTTGAACAAACTTCTCCAGGTCTGCTGGCAGAGGCTGTGCTGGTTTGCACTGGAAGCCTCCTATGTAGACCACATTTGGCATTGTTGGTCGTGGAAAGTCAAATACAAAATCTGATCTGTACAGCCAAATGTCTGCTTCCTGAAGAAGTGACATCAAGCTGCATCCACCTTCAATGTATCTGCCACAAAGGTCATTATATGTTGGCCCTGCCAAAAGTCTCATCTGGTACTCAACAACACTGTGGAAGAAAAGGTTTTTAATCCTCTGGATGAAGTCCATTTTGTCAGTGAGGCGTGATCCTGTTGACGGGATATAAGAGAGAGGTGTCGGGGCGATCACATAGTGACCTTCACCTGCAGGGATCCAGCGAACATTTAGCACCATGGGCAGCTTGAGATACTTAGCTAGCACAACTCCTGATGCACTGGCTGGGTCCGTGAGAACTAGATCATATTTGGCATCCAGTAAGTTTTTGACCATCTTCTCATCATCAAAGATCCGAGCAACAGCATCAACCCAAAATGCTTGAATTGTTGAAATCCTTGAGAAAAAATCCTTGATGAGTAGAAAGTCCCTGAATGATGAAGCGCCCTCTCTCTGTACCTGGAATAAAAGTTAGAATAGTGGTGTAAAATCAGGTTTAGTTGGTAAATAAATGCAAAGTATTCAAATTGACTTACCCTGATATTTTCCTTTGTGAACACATCAAAAAAGTCCTTCACACCCACATCCACATGGAAGTTAATGGATGTATAGAGTGGAGACTTTTCATCAATGTACCAGCTGTTGGCGGCTCTGATCACAGTCAGGTTGTGTCCCCTGGCATGGAGCTTCTCCAACAGGATCTTCATATTGATCCAATGACTCCCATCCACAGGGAACACCAAAATATTTCCTCCATTGCAGGATGGCGTGAACGATATCAGTAATCCACCGAATAATAAAAATATTCCACACACACACTGAAGTGGGACAGTTCCTAAATATGAAATCAAGCAGAAAACACCATAAGATAAATATTTTTTTCAACTTGCAGCAATGTACTCTCACAGGATATTGATGTTTACTCACCCATGATCGAGAGTTGCTGTAGTAGCCTTCTATACCACAGTCTGATGGTTTGATGGTTGATCCAAAGAGACCTCACACATGAGCTCAAACTCCAAATCAGATGTCTTTCCACAAGTAAATGAATTACCCTGTATTTGGCCTGTATCATCTAAGCTGTTGTACTGCAGTCTGTAGTCAGTAGATAAAGTGATTGTTTCTTCTTTGTCTTGTATAGTAAGTATGTAGTAATGTTGTTTATCTCCTGGAAGTACCCTGAGAAGTGTAGTTTAGTGGATGTGTTTCTGTCTACCAGGTGGGAACAGTGTTCCCTTCAAAAGAATCTCTGACCTCTTTTATAAGGTTATTCCAGGGAGTTACGCAATGATGGCCCGTACATGTTGAGCCAGAATGTGCTGTTATTCATTCAACATGTAATTCAGCTTTTTCTTGGGTTTCTGACCAGGAAATATCTTATACCCAAGTTTTCTCAAATGAGATCAATGTAGGTCAGAGGTCACACAAGGAATGAACTCAGTTGATATGATCATTTCCTTAGTCACAGAGCCCTATGTCTAGCACAGAGGGCTCTAAATTCCTAAAGGCGTGGTGTCGACCCTGCCGAGTCCGATCACACCAGCTCCTCCCCTCAACTTGAAATGCGCCACAGATCAAATTAAACTTTACTTATGGAGCACTTTTCATGCATGGACATGCAACACAAAGTGCTTTACACGCATAGAAAAATAGAAACATAGAAAAAACTAGAAAAGCCCACGGAGAGCACAGACCTCCGCCAAGCAGCTCATGTCCCCCCTTATATTGTGATTCACACCAAAACTTTTACTGCTACGTGTCTTTTATTAACGTTTCTTTGTGTTTAAACTGGTATGTTCACTGTTCATAATGTTCCTAAAACAAGCAATGCCTTGACTGGGAATCAAACCCAGGACCTTCTGGTTGTGAGGCGACAGTGCTAACCACTACACCACTGTGCCACCTATTTACACCATTGTGCCGCTCATTGGTTATCTTTCAGCATTGAAAATTCCGACAACACCCTTATTTTTGTGTGTTCTGGATCACAGTATCCAGAATTTTGTCCGGATCACCACCAACATTTAATGGGATCCTCCTGGGGCTGAAACGCACCTCTGGAGAAAATTTCAGGTCAATCCGTCTTTTACTTTCTCCGTAAAGTTGCTAACAGACAAACAAACTCACAAACAAACAAACCAATGCTACCAAAAACATAACCTCCTTGGCGGAGGTAACAATTACAATCAGAGCCCCAGCCTCACACCCTCCATACTACACAAACACACACACACACACACACACTCACACTCACACCTGCACACTCTCACTACTGACAATAGGGACCCACGGCTTGACACTGAGGATTGAGAAAGCGCCATCTTTGGGGCCATCCACACTGGAAGAAGTCGCAGGCTGTGCCACAGGGGGCACCAGCGCCCAGGCCCCCCGACCCCAACAGACAACAGCCAGTCGGGCTGAAGGGACCCAGAGACGGTTCCCCCAGCAGCAGCCCAGACACAGCTCCCAGTGTGGAGGACTCCCCTCAGGACCCCTGTAAGGAAACTCCCCAGTGTTTCCTCAGGCAAGGACAACAGTTCAAGTGTGTTAACAGATAAAAGACAGGATCTGATGTCCTTGAATTTGGTTTTGAAGTGGTCTGTAAAGTTCTCGCAAAGATCATCTGTTGGTGTCTTAAAAACTTTATTAGAATTATTGTTGGAGGAGAGCATACAAGCATATATATTTAAACCTGGTGTGACAAAGGTGGGTTGTGTGCACCGATCACAACATAAACAAATGCCATGCGACATAGGATTCAAATCGGAACAACCTGTGCATCATGCTCCATGACCTGGCTCTTTTTTCCACCAATGATTGCAGGTGAAATGAACTTGGCTCAGGCAATTGGATGTTATAATTAGGGTTGGGTATCGAGAATCGAGAATCGATGGGAATCGAGACTAAAACTTCGATTCTTCTGGTATCGTTCAAATATTAAAATTTCGATTCCAAGTTTCGATGCCGGAGTCCGCCGACCGGAAGAAATAGCCGCCGAAAATCAACGAAGAAGAAGCCGCTTAACACCAACGAGGACGGAGCGTATGAGACAAAGCCACACAGAAAGTGAAGAGAGACAGAGAGAGAAAGTACATTGCAACCCACAGCAATGCAGCCGCTGTGGGTTACAATGTAATCTCTCTCTGTCTCTCTCCTCTCTCTGTGTGACTTCGTCTCATACGCTCCGTCCTCGTTGGTATTCGGCAGCTTCTTCTTCGTTGGTCAAAAGTTTGGCTAACTTTAGCAAGAAGAATGAGCTCTTATTTCAATGCAACATTAGCAATACAGTTATATCATGCAAAGGAGGGTAAACGACAAACATGATTAAACACCTCAGGATTCATGGAGGAGAAATACCCGAGTGCTCGTCTTTGACGCGCTTCGCCGGTGTTATGCCATAGAATGCACCCCTGCTGTTGAATGCACCCCTGACGGGAGCGCGGTTGAAAGTACACAACAAGGCGAAACAATCCAAGTTTTTCTTACCGTTGAACGGAATCTAAAGCGTGTGCCTTTAATGATTTCATTCAGGCTATTCAGATATGCCGAAAACAACAGCCCTCTGATTCTGAATATTTACTGTCTGGAAAATATAATGTTCTCTACATTAACAGCTTACTCTACAGTTTATATACCCAAGTACACCTCTATGTGTGCGTTTCTGAGACACAGAAAAACGAAACGAAAGTTTACTGCTCCATTTGACATGTTGTCATGATCTAATACTCGTGTTTTTTTAAATATGAGATCATTGTCTTCCACTTTAAGAAGCTAATCAGTGGAGGGGAGGCATTCTACAGCAGGGGTGCATTCTACAGCACAACACCTGTCTTCCGCTAACCAGTCAGGATCAGATAAGTGAAACAATAAATTACTTCTATCCTCTGCTAACTTTGAAGCGGTAAACAAATTGCACTGAGTACGGTGGGTCAACTTAAATATCCAACTAACGTTAGCCCTTGTGCTTTTTCATAGACAAACGACCTGACAACAAAAAATGATATTTATATACTGGTTGAAAATGTGAGAAATTCATAGTAAAGTTCCTAAAAAGTTAATATGATTTAAAAATTCATGGAGAAGTTCAGAAATTACATCCAAAAAGAAGAGCTCCGGTTAGCGCCCTCATTCAAACCATGCTTTTTTTTTTATGATATCCTGCCTTTTAAAAGAATCGAAATAAAGAATCGATAGGAATCGAAATCGAAATGAGGAATCGAAATCGGAATCGGAATCGTTCAAAATCAAACGATACCCAACCCTAGTTATAATATAGGCATGTAGGCCTAACTCCTGAATATGTGAATATGGGGGAGAATTTATTTTTAATTTAAACATTAACATTATTGTGAGAATGAAATAATGAAAAACAATCTTTTTCAGGTCAAAGCTTTGTATCAGGTACAGTAAACTAGTCCTTCTTTGTGTTCAGTTGATCTTTAGTAGGATTTGGTAGTCTGTTTAATTAGTTCAGTTTTTGTTAGGTCGAGTTTCAGGCTAACGTTTTTGGTAATTAAAAAGATCTCTCTGAAAAAATGTACCTATGACCTTAATGCTGTCAGTTCAACACCTTCAAATGAAATAGGGTAAAGGCAAACAGGATTAAGAATGTTAAAAATTTGGACTTTGAGTTTCGTCATGCCTAATGGGGCAAAAATGTTCTTTTGAATTAATAAAATTTATTCATGGATGACTTTTTCTAAGTCAGCAGGAGACAGAAAATACCCAATTTCAGTTATGAAATCGTGTCAGATATAAAAATGGTATTCCATTTCTAAGGCTTTTGTGATTCTTATTTTATTTTTGTGCTAAAGCGCTTGTGCTCTTTTACTTTCTGTCAAAGAACTTTGCAAACATCTGTTTTTAAAAGTGCTTTACAAATAAAGTTATTATTATCATTATTATCATTATCATTATTATTTTCTGCATGGATGTGATAGCAAAACAACGTGCCTACATAAGATTTGCCCCAGAGCCAGTACACAAACAGTGAATAAGAGGGGACCCGAGATGGACCCTTGGAGGGCCTCACATAAGAGAAGCCCAGGAGGAAGAGACATTTCTAATCATTACAGAACATTACAGTGAGAATAAACCATCTCAGCACTGCAACACCAACAGAGTATTTCAGATGGCTGATGAGGACAATGTGATTGATTATATCAAAGGCTGGGCTAAGGTAAAGGGACATTATCATAGAGTTAATGCTAGAATCAACTGTGAGCAAAATGTCATCAGAGGCTTTAACTAGGGCAGTTTTAGTGTGTAGGTTAGGGGTAGGGTTGCCAACCGTCCCTTAAAAAACAGAATCGTCCCGCATTTAGAAACAAAAGTACACATGCCGTATTGAGGGTGAAGGCGATCAGGTTGGCCGCCCTGTCAGTGAGGTGTCCCTAATTTTTTGTCAGGGAGTTGGCAACCTTAGTTGGGAGGAAACCTCATCGAAAGTTTTAAAAGACCTGATTGCCATTCAATAAATCAGCTGTGTGGGCACTAAAAACCCTGCAGCTTAGAGATGTTCAGTGCTTACAGAGAATAGAGAGATGATCAAATTATTGCAATAATGAGGTGAAGCAGTAGTTTAAAAGTTTGGTTTTATTGCAAGAAAGTTACAAAATCATGTTTAGCACTGCAAATATATCAGACAATATTGTCATATCTGGGTCCTTTAAAGCTAAAGTCTTTAGAACAAAACAGTTTACGACTTTTTCTAGATGTTTATCATTATCAAATAATTTCAAGGCTGTTTGACTAATCAATAAAGTAGAAATAATATAAATGAAATAGCTTAGGAAACCAGTTTCTGATCAAATAAAACACATCAGAGAACTGGTTACATGTACATTTACAATTAAAATAAATGCTTGGTCAGTCTGAAGTGACAAGCCAAACTGTTCGTTAGAAAAGATATGTCATTACAAGCCAGAGGGATGCTGCATGCTATTGTTGTGGTTGGATTAATGTCCATGAAAATGCTCGATCTGATTATATCATTCAAGTTTAGGTCAAAGAAAAAATGTCTTAGTGTGCTTGTCTGGTCTACATAACATATGTCAAGATCTTTCTGCACACCCCTTTTGTATAAGCTCAATGCATACAACCTGATTAGCTAAACTGGCATCTGTCTAGCCTTGTTGGCCACTTTTCATACTGAATGTAGGACTCTCTGTAATCCTGTACCTCCGTACCTCGTCAAAAGGAGGATTATGTAGTAATGGGGAAGAAAAGTTTTGCAGAAAATCAGTTACGTCCAGTTCACAGTGAAGGGTGGTCATTTAATGTGGGAGAACAGCAGAAACACAAGTACGATTTGCATAAATGGTGTAGGTCCATTTTAGACCAGCAAAGGTAAAAATAAATAAAATACAGGCATCCAAAGACACAGACACATGAGAGAGAGAGGGAAGGAAAGGTCTGGAGCACATTGAGGGGACAAGCGGCGGAGCAGTGTCTGGTGGTGTGCAGTGACAGGGTTGTTTGTCTGGAACAGCTTGCTCTTCTTCTTCAATGTTGTTAAGTCAGTGTTTTAGCAGAAAACACAACACTGCACTGGTCTTGATGGTTTGATCCTAGCTAAATGCACATGCACAGCTCATTTGGACTAATTGCTTAAGCACCCACATAAAAAGTGAAGCTCTAATCTCTAATTGGAATGATTTTAATAGGACAGAAGAAATATAAACATATGGCTAGTGTTGCATATTTCTTGATTCATTTGCCCCCAATCAGTGTAACTTGGATTTAGTCTTTCTTCTTTGTCTGCAGCACAGGAACCTAAAAAGTGCAAACGTAGAGTACAGCAGCACAGTCACCACAGTCATCATGAAAAGCAGTACATCTAATAAGTAGTAGGAATACCAGGGCATCTTATAGGCCTCTGTACGAAGATGTGGAGCCCCTTTATGGCGTATCACGTATTCTACCCAGAATACGGCCTTGTCCATTGGTGCCATCGGCTGGTCTCGGTGCAAACGTGACAACCTCTGAATGTTCTGTCTGTAGCTGTCTTGATGAAGCACTTCATTGAGGGCTTGCTCAAAACTATGGCTGTTGGCATCAGCCAACTCCAAAATCTTTGCTGCTCCTCTGTCCTTCAGGCGCAACAGGTTGTCAAACTGGTCAAAGAACAGCGGTATGCCAAGTACAGGGACACCGTGGTAAATGGCCTCCTGGACTCCATTGGTGCCTCCATGTGCTACAAAGACTTTGGTCTGTGGGTGGCCAAGGAGGTCCTTCTGTGGCATCCAATCCACTATCAGGGTGTTGTTGCCCAAAGAAGAGGGTCGCTTCCCTTTGTGCCTCCATATCACCTGACCAAAAAAATGGAATGAAACATTTTGAACTGACAGTCTAACTGCAGGTTTTTTAATAAAAGAAGAAAGTAGGGTGTCTGACATACGACTTTATAAACCATTTTCAACAATTGAGCATGAACACCATTGATGAACCTCAAACATGCTTTTCATGACTTTCCGTCATGTAAACACGCCAGTTTGCGCAGACGCAATCATCCTGGATTCAGGAATTGGCTTATGACCCTATTGCCTGTTTAACTTGGCAAAAGCAGCTTTACAAACTGTGATCAACCCACATGACCCCTGCACACTGCAAACAAATGATGTGCCATCAAGGGTGTTTTTTTTGGTCAACTTGATCAGCGTGTGTCTAAAAGTCATGTGGTCGTATTGAGGTTATGTAAAACCCATTTCTGATCTTTCATTATTTTCCGTCTCATATTAGGAGTAAACATTACTTGGAGTTGGACATTTTGAGGAATAGGTAAATTGTCACATTATCTTCGACCAAGCATTTAAATCTTTTTATTCATCTACTGTCTTCGTAACGAATCACTAATCACATCTTACCTTCTGTGGCATCTTGGCAAACACACTGGCAAATTCTTCTGCAAGGTCTTCGGGGAGAGCATTAACCAAAGTTCCTAGAGTCATGATGATCACTCCGTGCTCTCCGGCACTTTGAACAAACTTCTCCAGGTCTGCTGGCAGAGGCTGTGCTGGTTTGCACTGGAAGCCTCCTATGTAGACCACATTTGGCATTGTTGGTCGTGGAAAGTCAAATACAAAATCTGATCTGTACAGCCAAATGTCTGCTTCCTGAAGAAGTGACATCAAGCTGCATCCACCTTCAATGTATCTTCCACAGAGGTCATTATATGTTGGCCCTGCCAAAAGTCTCATCTGGTACTCAACAACACTGTGATAGAAAATGTTTTTAATCCTCTGGATGAAGTCCATTTTGTCAGTGAGGCCTGATCCTGGCGATGGGATATAGGAGAGAGGTGTCGGGGCGATCACATAGTGACCTTCACCTGCAGGGATCCAGCGAACATTTAGCACCATGGGCAGCTTGAGATACTTAGCTAGCACAACTCCTGATGCAATGGCTGGGTCCGTGAGAACTAGATCATATTTGGCATCCAGTAAGTTTTTGACCATCTTCTCATCATCAAAGATTCGAGCAACAGCATCAACCCACAACTCATGAGCTTGCTTAATCATAGAGAGAAAATCCTTGATGAGTTGGAAGACTGTGAGTGATGAAGCGCCCTCTCTCTGTACCTGGAATAAAAGTTAGAGAAATAGTGGTGGAAAATCAGGTTTAGTTGGTAAGTAAATGCAAAGTATTCAAACAGACTTACCCTGATATTTTCCTTTAGGAACACATCAAAAAAGTCCTCCATACCCACATCCATATGGAGGCTAATGGATGTATAGAGTGGAGACTTTTCATCAATGTACCAGCTGTTGGCGGCTCTGATCACAGTCAGGTTGTGTCCCCTGGCATGGAGCTCCTCCAACAGGATCTTCATATTGATCCAATGACTCCCATCCACAGGGAACACCAAAATATTTCCTCCATCGCAGGATGGCGTGAATGATATCAGAAATCCACTGAATAATACAATTAATCCACACACACGCTGAAGTGGGACAGTTCCTAAATATGAAATCAAGCAGAAAACAATGTAAGATAATTAATTTTGTCAACTTGCAGCAATGTGCTCTCACAGGATATTGATGTTTACTCACCCATGATTGTTATTGTAGCCTCCTAAACCACAGTCCGATGGTTTGACGGTTGATCCAAAGAGACCTCGCACATGAGGTCAAACTCCAGTTCAGATAACCAGTCCTTTCACAAGTAAATGAATTACCCTGCATGTGGCATGTGTCACATAAATTGTGGTACTGCAGTATGTGGTCAACACATGAAGTGATTGTTTCTTCTTTGTCTTGTAGTAAAAGTATTGAGTAATGTTGTTTATCCGCTGGAAGTAACCCTGAGAAGTGTAGTTTAGCGGATGTGTTTCTGTCTACCAGGCGGGAACAATGTTCCCCTTGAGAAGAATCTGTGACCTCTTTTATAAGGTTATTAGAGGGAGTTATGTAATGATGGCCCACACGTGTTGAACCTGAACGTGCTGTTATTCATTTGAGATGTAATGCAGCTTTTCCTTGAGGAGATTTCTTATGTGCAAGTTTTTCAGATAAGATCAATGTAGGTTAGAGGTCGCACAAGGAATGAACTCAGTTGATCCAATCATATCTTCAATCAGTGGTTACTACTAAGTGACTGAACTTATTTTAACTTACTTAAGCACTTTGCACCACTGCTGCGGGTGACTTTGAAATAGTTCTTGGCAAACTGAGAGGTAGTTTAAGGTGTGATTATTCAATGTGCTTGACTGCAACACAGTGTGATATGAATGTGATGAATAGAGGTTTAAAGAGACAGCAGCTGAAACAAATCATTTTAGCTGCTGTCTCTTTAAGTCCCCCACCCCTCCACCGCTCTCCACAGGTCTACTTTATTTTGAGCATTACTCCGCTCTGCTCTGGATGTCACCTCACACATTTTTGGAGGCAGGCCAATCCGCTGTGTCTGAAGCACAGATGACCTAGTAAGGAAAGCCTATTGCAGTGACGTTATTAGTTAGTTAGTCTCACTGAGATTTTGTGAAGTTTTTCAACAAACTGTTTCAAACAGTTTACATCTATTTGCTAGGATTATTACAACATACATTTACTGCAAGATTTGAACGTTTACATTCTTTTAGTATGAACACTAAACAATATAACTTTGCATTTTTTGTTGTGAATGTGGCAAAGCATAGTTTCATAGTTCATAGTTTTCTCTCTCCTGTGTCCCCTTTTGCCTTCTGTGTTTTTAATAGTTTCCTTAAACAGATGATGGAGGAAAACAATCCTCCTCTTTCCTTAAAGGGATAGAATCAAAGCACATGTTGGATGATGTCTATGCCGGGTCCTAATGCCTGCCCATATTCTGGTTGCCTTATTTTCTTCGTAGGGTGTGGGGTAGAGGAAAAATGTTCTCAGAGCAGGTGCAAAGAGACCCATAAATCTATAAATTGAACAGTGTTTGTTATTATGTGGGGAAGTTAACCCAGAGGAGGGAACAGTCAAAAGTTATTTGCTTCACAGTGTTTCTGGTTTAAAATCCATCATTCTCTACACGGAACAATTGGAGCAGCAGGCCAGTGTTTAGTCTGTGGCAAATTGGATGATGGAAACTAAATCTTATAATATATAATCACATGAGATGAAGCAGGTTTCCATATTGAGATCAAATTTGCAAAGTTTTGCAGCCACAAACATTAATTTCCAGCACTTAGGTTTTATTTACCAAAGTGAACTTTCATTCCTGGGAGGATAAAGAGAGGGTCACTGCCAAAGTATCAGAATGGGGAAAGTTTAATATGAATTTTCCATATTCATGATTCAATCGGTTAAAAACACAATGACACCAGGCTGACAAGAACACCGCAGAGACAGAAAAAGAGACGGCACATGGAATAACCAATTTCCAAGCCCACATCCAATGTACAGTCATTGGCAAATCCTGTAGCTGTTTTGTTCCAGTTACATCAGGCTTTTCAATGAAAAAAACAAAACATTTCATCATTAAAAAAGGCTTCTCTCATGTATGAGTCGAAGAAGTAGTTGTAAGTCAGCTGGAGCGGAATGAAATCCTAGAATAATTTCTTCCATGACAAATTCTGCCTTTAGTTTGTCAAAGGTGGAAACACTCTCTAAGGAGGGGCTTTTAAGTGTCAATGATTAGATACAATGGTTGAAAGAAACAGCTTCAGATTTTCACTTTTAAGAAAACACTGACTAATGCAGCTGCTGGATGCACATGAATGCTTAAATGCATGGCCATCAGTACCTCTGCGATAATAAATTACATGCTTTATAGGACTTAAATGATAGCTCATAACCACTTTGTGCAGGCTGATGTTTGACTCCCCCCGGGGGCAAAGAGCAGACCCTACAGGAAACTGCTCTCCATTAGCTTTTATAGTGTGTGTTCCTTATTTTTCCAGGTGTTTCCTTGATTTCGGTAGTATATCAAGGAAGGAAGGTACACCCAGTGCGGCAGACAGCAGTCTGTTACACAGTAGGTGTTAACCATCCTGTTCATCATCAGCTGTCAAATCACTGAAAAGACAAATCTGCTTCAAAAGTGATTTAAGGCCAAATGTATACAATCAGAAAAGGCATTAGAGCTCAAACCTGCTCAGCCATGAAGGAGCGTGACACCTCATCTATCTTCTACAGCAGCTGAAGTCTGAATAAATAACAGCCGCTGTTACAGTATTGAGAATTATTTTTTTAGTTACAGTGTGTACAAGCCGCTTCCATTTTTCAGCATGGATCTGGACAGGATAATGGTCATGTGGAAACCCCGGGATGTGTGACTCATGCATCACAGAGGAGTCCCTGCAGCCCCACACCAGAAGAATGGGACAATGGATGGAAACACAGAAAGTGGAGAGTGTAAGAGCAGATGGAAGAAGAGCTCAGGAAAAGTTTTTCACCTGCAGTTTGTTTTTTCATCTCACTCAATAACTGTCCTGTTTTTGCTTTCCAGCCTGAGACAGTGATGGCAAAGCATTAATATCAAACAAGTTTTGTCCTGTTTGTATTTTCATTTATTATGTTTTTAATCCAGGCTTTTATAGAAGATTTAATCAGCTATTAAGCTGCTTTGTTGAATTCATGTAAATTAGTCTGAGAGAACAAATACAGAAGAAAAAAGTAAACAAAAATGCTGGCGGCTGCTGAATTTGACAGTCATTGTAAGTATTAACATACTGAATAAACTGAAATTAGATGGCTTGGAAGTTTCCCCTTGTGGAACTAATGAAGGATTATTTTATCTTATCTTATCTCATAATAGATGACTGATTAATGTCTGGATGAAAAGATGAATGAAGGGGCATGGATGGATGGATGGATGGATGGATGGATGGATGGAGTGTAAGAGATATTTTATTCAAGGAAGCTTTAACTCAAAAAAACAAATCCTTAGGTGTACATACTTTTGATTAGCCCAGAGTACGATGCAATGCAAGATTTTTTTGTGTTTTTGGCTGGAAATGGAAAATATTTTTCACGAACCCCTGCTTTATAAGTGCCAAGGCCCTGTGCCAAAGCCTGGGAGGGCCTTTGGCATAAGGGTGACTCACTGGCAACCAAAACTGGAAAAGATGTGCAACCTGAGCTAAAGTTAAGCCTGGATTTGGATCAATTAATGCAGACTGTCTGTTTGATAAATGGTATCGCCAAAGGCAAAAACAAATAGAGATTTTATGGTTCACAAAAAAGACACTCCAATCTATGAATAGCACATTCAAAAGAAAGGTATTTGGCTATCAGAGAATAGAAGTAATAATTTGATAAAATAAGGAACCATTTTGCTCATAAGTGAACAGCTGCAGCATGAAAGCCTTTAAAAATGAGCAGAAATCTCCGGATTAGCAACAACATATTTAGCTTCTTGATGGAAGGAGGAGAGCATTGTGTTCGACTTGATCAGTCATAACTGGATTGATCGATTTTAACTGGAAATTACTTGGTGCATACTTAAAACACCAAATATGGACACATCAGTCCGGACAGACATGCAGAACCTCTGTTGAACAATCTCTCACACGTTCCCCTGTGGCCCTTTTTTCCATTTTTCAGATGAAGAGAAAACAGGTATACACTTGCCAAATAACTCACCCATTATGGTGACATTTTGTGTGTGTGAAAGTGTGGGCATGTGTGTGTGCGTTCAGCTGTTGAAGTTTCCTTGAGGTGGGGATGATGATGATCTCAGTGTCTTACAGCAGCTGACAGATGAAAACTTCAGAAAACAAGCGCTGCTCCAAGATACACCGTGATGGAGTTTCTCTCTCATGTGCCAACCTGCTCGGAGGAGAAAGGCAGAGCAAAGACAACGCCGGTGTGTCAGTGATGGATAGTGTGTTAGGAAAACTGTCAAACTTTCTTCTTTGTGAACAAAACTTTCCCCAGGAGTAGGAAGTTACACTGGTGGACTCTGGCGGCTAGATAAACGTCTAAATCAACATGAAGGCTTCAGACTTTTAATTTTCTGGCTTTCTATACACAGTCTTAATTAAGGAATAAATCTGTCTTTAGTTACATAATCTAAAGCTGATTACAGGCTCCTTTGTGGACAAATCTCTTTGATTTGACCTGTTTTTGTTTAAGGGGCTTATTCCCAACACAAGATTCAAACTTCTTTGTAAATGGAGCTTTTTTATCTCAAAATTACAAGGTATCACCCTGATAGCCAGGTTTAAAAAAAGGAGGGAGAGGACTGAGATACATTCAGTTCACTTCAGTCAACCTTTTAATGATATTCTCTCTAAAACTGTTTCAAAACCTACAAATTAAATGTGAAAAAGGTAAATCTACTTTTTGTGTGACTTATCCCTCTGTTTCTTTTTCTTGTAATCCTGAAATTCTTTGGTCCAATTTAGAAAATTGCTGGTTTGAGAATCACATCTTGTTGATCTGGAAAATATCAAAACAAAAAAATTCCACTTTAATTCAATTTTTTCTGTCAGGCAAGTATCTCACTGTGAAATCTACTTTCAGGTGTGCCTGAAGATATTTTCCTTCCATTCCTGGTAAATCTTACCAAAAGACCTTGACACGTTATCTGATGTACTGTCATTCTTATCTCAAAGAGATAACTTGCCTTTACAAGGTGGATCTATAAAAAGTGAACAAGGAAACCTGCTTGACTTAGCGTGAACAATGTAGTAAACAAATCTTGCTGACTACAAGAAGATCTCAGATTCCCTCTCATGCTCATCAGCTCATGACAATGGTTAGAAAATAAACTTCTCTCACACAGCTGATAGCCTGTGGTGCAATTCACAAGAAAGTCATTTACATAAACAACGGTACGACCTTTTGGACTGTTTATGTAGACCCCACAGAGCGCTGACGCCAGCTGCATCTTTTACAAAGTGAAATTTGTGTTGCTTTTGGCTCAGTGCTGACTTGATGGATGAATAGTAAAATCTATTTCAGTCACAAATAAAAGCAGAAGAGAAAAAAGTCCTCAACGTTAACAAGCAGAAGGCTTAACTTTGCGTCATGAACACTTCATTCTCTAAAAGGTCTGCGGATCAGAAACTTCTGACTTCATCAACTTTTGCATGTGGAGTCAGTTCATTCATCTTGAAAAGATCAAAGACCTCACAAGATTTATGATTTCACTCTGTTTTTCCATCTTCATCTTCCTCTGTATCACCTCTTAATGACCCCCTGCATGTGTACACAAATGTAAGGTCACCTAAACACGTGAGCAGTCGTCTTTTTTTAACTTACAAGGTTAAAGCTGTCCTATTCTAGCACTGATAGATCTGAGGACATTCAAATGCACACATGCTCTACAAATGCACTGCACACTCATACTAAAAGTGATTGATTCTGAGAATATTTGGTAATATCTAATTTGTTCCAATTTCTGAATCTTATAAACAAACAGTAAGGTTCCTTCAGTGTAGAGTCAAGTCGGACAGTTGTTTCCATAGCTGACCCAGAAGTGTGGTTACTCTTTGGATCTTGACAGTCAAGTTTACATGTGCAAAATTTCTTGATCCGATTAAAAATTTGAGGGATCGGATAATCTGAATCCACAATTTATATGGGCGCAAAATCAAATAATCCGTTCATGACGTGCGTATACATGCACCAAGCTTTATTTGATATGCGCAGAGTTTTCTTATTTCACATAAACAACCGCAGAAGAAGAGTTGTATTTCCGCCTGTGCTGTCAACAAACCAACAAACGAGGCAGTGGCTCACTTCATAAAATTCAGGAGTTTTCCCCTTGATTAATGTTGTCACTAGATGGCGCCCTTGCGTACTTATTTTACTGTTCTGTCAAAGGTTGCACTGTGCGTGCAGATGTGACATCATGACGTTGTATGTACGCCTTGTTCTGTTACCGGAAGAGCAGACACGCCACCTGTGTTAGAGTGTTAATAATGAAACCTCCTGTACTACCGGCCTCAACAAATAAGCCAAAGACTAAAGAATGAAGACCGAGTCAGGTAAGAGAGTCATGATCGGAATAAGTGTTTACATGGACGCATAAACCACCCCTCGTGATAGGAATACAATTTCTTTCCGATTAAGCCGAATTGGATCAGAATTTCCCGATCGATATGTTTACATGACGCATTTTTATTCCGATCGGGTGTTTATTCCGATTATTTGTGCCCATGTAAACTACTGTGTCAGATTTGGTGATCACAGAGTCATAAAACTGTACTGTGACTTGAACAACAGACTACACAATGGTTCACCGCCAATCACCTCGATACACGTGATGCTGCTGCTGAAAGACATGAGTGACAGAGACATGTTAAAGAATAGCTTTTCCATGCAGTTCAGTGTCTAAAACTCGTGATAGCGCCTCAGCTTGTTGTCCAGATATATTAGAGGGAGAAAAAAAACACAATTTGTGGGATTCAATTTCTTACATCCCCAAGAAAAACTTTACAGTCCCACTAAAAGAACTGGAGAACAAGTGGGAGAAACGTGTAAACTCTAAAGCCCTGACTCAGAATTAGAGTGAAATGCAAAAATAAACCAGACATGTTTTAACTGAGCTTTACTCCCTCTGATGATATCAAACACCCTTTACTGTAAGTGCGCTTGTCGCTTGACTTCACTTGACTCATGCAGCCAAAATCAGCCAACAATCAAGCCCAGGATCAGCTGAATAAGTGTTGTGTGAGTATTCCTGTGAATAGTTTGCGCAATTCACACAAACCTACAATTTATCCTTTTTTTTCTCTGGAACTGAGGTTGTTGGCACTTTAACACGAAAATGCTGATAGTGGACTTTGATAATAGAAATGCGAGGTTAATCATATCCCATTCAAAATACCAGAAAGACATTGAATTTGATTTTGTAGATATGCTTGCTATTATGAAGTGCAGTAGAGCCTAAATCACATGCTAAAACCAATTCTAAATTTGGGTCCCAGTGAATTTCACATCTTTGTTGCAAGGTAGTATTTCATGTACTTACTCACCTGCAACGAAAACAGATTTTTTTTTCTTTAAAGCCTTATTTTGTAGCTATTTTTCTTAGTTTAGAGAGGACAGGACAGAAGACAAAGTAGAAAACAAGGGGAGTGATTTGCAGGAAAAGAGCCACAGGCTTGAGGCAAATCCAGGTTGTACTTATGAGGCGCATGAGTAGACCACCAGGCCAGCAGTGTTCTCAAAGAGAAACTATTTTTATGTGCCGTCTGGGAAAAAAATTGAATATTAGAAATCAGTAAAATTACTTTGAGGTTACTTGAAAACTGATCAGACCAACGGCCCTCGAATTTTCCAGTAAAAGAAAGCGTTCTGAGCAGCTGTGCAGCTTGCCTTAAGTTCGATAAACCTTCACAGACACCAGTGAACCCTGAGGCCAACGCTTGCTGGCAAACACAGAGCATATGGAGGAAAAGGAAAGGGCATGTATGGCATGAGTCATTCCACATGGGGATATCTTGTTCTCAGACTGGTAAAAAGTCTGCTCTGTTGAAACAATTCGACCATTTGACTGTGTCAGTTTAGGATACCAGAGCCGGCATTTGAAACTCTGCAGCGCTCCAGCTGTCACACCTGCTCTGGGCATACAATCTGCATTATGCAATTAAGTGAACAGTATGTGGGTTTTTATACTTCTTTGTCTGCCATTTTTAGGGACAAGAATTATTGTGAAGTGGTTTGGTTTTTTTAGTATGTCTATATGTCATCAGTGGTCTTGAAATGCTCTGTTACGAGTTTGAAAGAGTGTGTGTGTGAGGCCAGGTGCTCTGATCTTAATGAACTCTGTGCAGAGATACCTGATATCCATCTCCTGTGCTTATAGCCTGAAAAAAGACTGATGTGTTTTATTTACTGTGCAAAAGTTAAACAGAGTGATTTATAACCCCCATAAACGAGCATATAGGACCCAAGCTAAACAAAATTGGATTCTGTCTCATGGGAGTCTATACAACACATAAACCCAGCATGTACTAAAAATCATGAATGTCATGTGTGAGACTGCGTTTAGGCACCAAAGGGTCAGGTTCATTTACAAAATCCAAGGTTACAGTCAGGAGTGTTTTTCATGAAACAGGCTTGTGTTTAGAAATGAGGACATCATGCAGAGAAAAGGGTAGTAAAGTCCCAGCATGTTCAAAGATCTCTGTGACTAACCAAAGCTTAAGGTTTACATTGGTGAGTCTTTTGTAAATATCCATAAACAGTGAAAAGGTTAAGGCTGCAGCGTGATGTAAGCAATGGAGAAATGAACTCATGATGGCTGAACCATCACCACACACAAACAAGGGCACCGCCGCTGCCTCACAGAAGAAAAACCATGTCTTCTGTTGTGGTGATTTTAAAAGTGTACAAACTGTTTGTACCAACATTTAGGAAGGGAAAACAATCAGAAAGTGAAACTTTAAAGAGTGAATTTTATAATGACTTCAGTCTCTATTTGAGCTCAGAAGTTCTGTTAAACAACTTCCCGTTTACGGAGACTTTATCCAGACAAAAATGTCTAAACGTGCAGAGACTATAAATTCCTTCTGCAACATCAGAAAGTTTTCACCTGTTAAGATAAATATCTATTTGGCCAATAGCAAAAAAATAAAATAAAACATTTCATGAATCTCATTTACATGGTAGACATCTGACTGGTCCTTCTGAGGAAACAGGGGGAGGTTGGGGAGTTCTGAGAGATTTCCAATTAATTTTGTGGATTTCCCCATTTTTACTGCAGCATGACTACATTTTGGTTTATGACTAAATTCCTAAAGGACTGAGCATTATAAGCTGCTTAACATCAGCCTGACAGACTTATCAATGTGGGGCATATTTGCATGCTGATGTTAGCGTATAGTTCACAGTAAACCCCCACAGAGAGCTTGAGTCATTTTTCAAATTTATGTACATGACTGCACGTCTATAAATCTATGACCTTTTAAATACTGTAATATTCAGCACTGAGGCCTTTTTAATTTAAAGTCTTACATTTCATATAAAGCCCTTCTCAGCTCTCCAACTACTCAACAGTTTAGCTGGTGCTAAGTAGTTTAACACAACACCATGAACTGTGCTACCTGTGCTTTCAACACACCCACCTTCAAATCCCACTCAGGATCAGTTTAAATTGTTATTTCATCCCCAGACTCGGACCTGTGCCTCCCGCCTCCATGTCTGATGTGGCGTATCATAGCCTGGACACCAGTCAAGCACCCTTTAACTTTCCAGCAACTGGCTCGAGCCAAGTATGTGACTCCCACTCGCAAGGAGTCTGAACTCCTTTCTAACACCCATAATCGTAGACCAAATACCTCACTTGGAATTTACTAAAAGATATCGATGTTGTTAAATTATTTTCCAGACTGTAAAAACAACCTCCTACACTGACCTACACATTCACAAGAAGGACCAGGATGCTGTGTTAACATTTTTCCTATTTAGCCAGTACTGGACATTATTTTTGATCAAAGTCAGCTCTTGTTATAGTCAATTTTAGGAAAATAGCAGTTTTTTACACATCTGGAAAAGTCTGGGAACTTACTTAGTTGATTAGTTGATCAGTACTTCAGGTATTCTCCATACTATCCTTCATCAAGCACATTTTAAAAAACAATTTGTTACAAAAAAGCACCAATGAATGCTGGTCAGCCTTTTGAGTAAACACGAAATGGTTTTTATCCACAATACAATACTGGAGATAATATGGATAAAATCTCTACCTCACCCTTTAGTGTAGTTTTGGTGAATTTTAATTTTTTTGTCTGAACCTTTAGCTGAGAAAAAAAAATTGGCAAACTTTGTAATTTTTTATTTATTTATTTTTTTTACACACTCCTACCTTTTTTATGTTTGTTCCTCTGGTGCATATACACTCACCGGCCACTTTATTAGGTACACCTGTCCAACTGCTCGTTAACACTTAATTTCTAATCAGCCAATCACATGGCGGCAACTTAGTGCATTTAGGCATGTAGACATGGTCAAGACAATCTCCTGCAGTTCAAACCGAGCATCAGTATGGGGAAGAAAGGTGATTTGAGTGACTTTGAACGTGGCATGGTTGTTGGTGCCAGAAGGGCTGGTCTGAGTATTTCAGAAACTGCTGATCTACTGGGATTTTCACGCACAACCATCTCTAGGGTTTACAGAGAATGGTCCGAAAAAGAAAAAATATCCAGTGAGCGGCAGTTCTGTGGGCGGAAATGCCTTGTTGATGCCAGAGGTCAGAGGAGAATGGCCAGACTGGTTCGAGCTGATAGAAAGGCAACAGTGACTCAAATAACCACCCGTTACAACCAAGGTAGGCAGAAGAGCATCTCTGAACGCACAGTACGTCGAACTTTGAGGCAGATGGGCTACAGCAGCAGAAGACCACACCGGGTGCCACTCCTTTCAGCTAAGAACAGGAAACTGAGGCTACAATTTGCACAAGCTCATCGAAATTGGACAATAGAAGATTGGAAAAACGTTGCCTGGTCTGATGAGTCTCGATTTCTGCTGCGACATTCGGATGGTAGGGTCAGAATTTGGCGTCAACAACATGAAAGCATGGATCCATCCTGCCTTGTATCCACGGTTCAGGCTGGTGGTGGTGGTGTCATGGTGTGGGGAATATTTTCTTGGCACTCTTTGGGCCCCTTGGTACCAATTGAGCATCATTGCAACGCCACAGCCTACCTGAGTATTGTTGCTGACCATGTCCATCCCTTTATGACCACAATGTACCCAACTTCTGATGGCTACTTTCAGCAGGATAATGCGCCATGTCATAAAGCTGGAATCATCTCAGACTGGTTTCTTGAACATGACAATGAGTTCACTGTACTCAAATGGCCTCCACAGTCACCAGATCTCAATCCAATAGAGCATCTTTGGGATGTGGTGGAACGGGAGATTCGCATCATGGATGTGCAGCCGACAAATCTGCGGCAACTGTGTGATGCCATCATGTCAATATGGACCAAGCTCTCTGAGGAATGCTTCCAGCACCTTGTTGAATCTATGCCACGAAGAATTGAGGCATTTCTGAAGGCAAAAGGGGGTCCAACCCGTTACTAGCATGGTGTACCTAATAAAGTGGCCGGTGAGTGTATATTCATGCCACTGTTCCTCTGAAGCACACATGGTTTAATGTATAACAGTTATTTGAAAAATATTAACTTAAATTGATTCAATGTTATCAAATTCTATTTGTAAATCTCACGGTGAGATCCAGTACCTATCATGACACTTTTTTGTAACAGTTTTTCACCACATACTTTTATAAGATATAAAGTAGAGAGCTGCAACTACATGAAATGTTCTAATACAGCTGTTCAATGCTTTAACTGTAACTTACAGATGATTAATCATAACATTATGTCCACCTACCTGATGTTGTATGAGCCCCCCCTGAGCAGGTAAGACTTGGACTCCACTAGACCTTCAAAGATCCTGGAAGTAATCAAGTTGAGCCTCCTAACAGTGGACATGTTTGTCAAACACATCCCACATGCTTGATTAGATTGAGATCTGGGAAACCGGGTGGCCAATTCAACACCTTGAACTCATTACCGTGGTCCTCCAGCCCCTTTTCTTTCATTGCTCTGTGGTCCAGGTCAGTTTTGATACATGTGTAATGCAGGCTCATCTGATGGAGAACAGAAAAGCACCCCATCCAGTCCGGGGCTACACAGCCTCATGTACAACACACTGTGGCACACTGCTTTGCAACATGCATGACCAAGTCCAAGTCATTACAGATGAGTGTTGATGATGTTATGGTTTATCAGTGTATGAGTATTTAAGGTTAAACTGCTAACTTAACTGCACAGGCAAAGAAGTCTGCTGACTTTCTCTGTTCATTGTGCAGGTGCTTCCTGAGGATCTGACTTTTTCCTTGACACAGACCAGAGGAGCTGTTCACTTATCTTATCCACAGTGAGTTCAACCTCTCTTACTCAACTTGAAAACAACTTGCAACAACATTACAAATAACAGAGCAGTGATTTTCCCCTCCAGGAAACACTAGTCTGTCTTTGTTTCCAATAAGTGTTCCCTTACTAAAAATAAAATATCAAGTCTCCAAGTGAAAACCCACACTTTAAACTCTTAGATTATTTTCAAGGCTGCATTAACAGATATACAGTATGTATATTTATGCTGACGAACATAACTAACTAAAGTCTTTCTTTTAAATGGTAGCCAGGAAGTAGACAGACCCACTGTTCAAATAAACTAACATCCTCAAGAACGTGACTTTGAATTTCCAAGTCAAGTTTATGTGGTTGATCAAGCCGAACTTGTAGCCAACAGCCTGAAACTTGCATGAAATCGCCTGCATGTTTTTGTAATATTATTCCGTCTGCAGACAGACCCATCAGACAAAGACCAGTGATATCATTGAACAGATGCACTCCTGTGATAATGTACAACTCTACTTTTGTTCTCTCCTGGGTGACTTATCCTCTTTCTCACTTTTTCCAGCACACGGTGTTGTTGACAGTTCTGCTGAGTGGTATAAGGTAAAGAATTCACCATTAATCCCCCTCATCGGTGTAGAGGAGATGGATTGACAGCTCTGACAGTCTCTCCAGAGGGAGGGTTAAAAACATCTGACAAACACTTATTGTCCTAAACACCCCTAAGAATTGAAAGCAGCTTTAAGATACAGTACAACCACACCCACACTCTGTGCCATCCTCTGACATAATCCAAAAAGAAACAAGAGCGCGTGTCATTCTTAACTTCCTTAAGCTGATGTTATGCTTTTACTTCACATGAAGGTACAATAGAGCAACTTACAGTAATAATAAACCAGTTAAAGTTTGTACTGTGGCTTAATCCAAATTTCCTTTATGCTTCAATGTAAAGATACAGCAGCTAATGTGTGTACTTAGTCCTCTCCATCACTTTTTTTCTTTACCTTCAAACTGTCACTGTGTCTGTGGTGAGGTGCCTGCTGGCTGCGATCCAAAACACTGCACATCCTCCGCTCCTACTGCTGTGTTGACAGACACATTTGTACTCACAGGTCTGTGTTTGGAGAGGCACTGTCAGATTTTTTTTTCTTACTATTCCTGCCGACGGTAGATGACAGTGATGCAGCATGAATCAAAACAATGGTTGCAGACATGGAGCGCATCCAGTAACAGATGTCTGCTGTGTTTTTATTATCCTTTCAATCATTTACACGTTCCTACTGTTTTTTTTACTGACCGGAGAGTGTGAATTTGAAGGTCTCATTCCTTGCATGTGAGGTACATTACATCTCTCAAGGTCGGTGTTATCCACTAGCTGTGCTTTTCTTGCACCGTGTTAGCTTGCCACTTAAGACCACAACAATGCACATCTGGTGAGGTTCAAGGAGAAAGTGCAGGTATGTGTATTTTGATGTGTTTTAACCATAGACTGTATATACTGTGGACAACTTTGTTCTGCCTGACGCTAGTATTTGGATTTGAAGCCAAAAAGCTCTCTGTAATTCTGCGTTTTCTCCCTACTTGCTGAAACCAACATTGCGCAGTGTCGTTGTACGCATTCGGCGGGAGAGTCGCAGAGAGTCGCTGTGATCAAACAGCGTATCCCCCGGGTGAGCTACACAATCTTCGTACGCCCACAGGCTGTATCAAGTGTCAATCATAGAAATCATGAACCCCCTAATAACTTTTAAAAACAGAGCTGTACAGAAAAAAGAGACTTGAGCACAAACCAGTCTTACAATAACTACATGTCAACATCACAAGCAGAGGGGAGAAAATTATATTCTGTGTAATAAATTTCTAAAGTTTGTCCACAGCCCCATAAGCTTTGCTGGCGGAGGCGAGATTTATGACCTATACTGCAGCCCATCAACAGAGGGTGTTGTTCTCAGAGTGGCTTCACCCAGCGAGGAGGCAGACTCTGTCCAATCTATATACAGTCTATGGTTTTAACACTGAAATAATCAATCAAAAGCTATTTGAAGTATTAGTATGAGAAAGAGGACTAAAATTCTTGGATCTGAAAGGGTGCTCTATTTGGAGGCTAGATTGTAAAAGCAGAAGAATGAGATACAGTCATCTATACCGAAATGAGAGAAGCAACCACGCTTGGATGAAGAATGAACAAATAAAAGTTAACATCTATACAACAGCCATGAGACTGTAGGAATTATAACCACCACAAAAGTATTTATATATCTACAAGATTCTTCATCAAGAGTAAAAACAACCCTGAAAGTAGTGACAGTTTCATAAGATAAAATAGATTAAACCATCTGTATTGTGGAAACAGCATTTCAAAATGATATTGAGTTTTGTTCTCTCGATGTAATACCAATTCACAGCACAGTGGTTTTCACTTTGGCTAAAGTATGTCATATATGAATCAGTTATAAAAATATTGATCATTTGGAATTTGTTGCTTTATCCTGAACATTAATTTGATGTTATTTCTAGTCTTACAATCCACACATCTAATCTGTTTCAAAATACTGATTTAAATATGCTAGAAAACTGACAGGAAACCACTGATATGGCTCAACTTGTCAGGAATATGACTTACAGTCTAACGCCAGCACAGTGTGTGTCACAGATTTATTGTCAGTTTCATATGTGATCAAATACTCATTATACTATACCACACACTTAATCATTGGACATAAAGAAAATGAAAGTATTTATTGCCTTACATTTCTGTCTTCATATACTACACTTTATTATAGTTAACACAACATAGAGTAAGAAATAAACCTGCATCTGAAGGTATTTTAATAGGAGTTGCGAAATCTGTGTTGACAGACGGATTGACGGATGACGTTTCCCTCTCTCTCCTAAGAGGACTATAAAAACAAAGTGTTGTGTTTAGGATTGAGTCATGGATTCCACCCGACAGGCTACAGGCTTTTTATGTCAGGGCTGGATTCACTGTTGTGTGTCTGTCTTGAAAAACGTGCGTCTTCGAAAAACATACGAGATGTATTTTCTCCAATACCTTTTATATACAGAAGTAAAGAACATAGATGTTGTGCAGACAACTCTTGTGACATACTCTTCAAACTGAGGACTATAATCAGTCTATGTCACTGGTAGTGTTCAAGTTTCTACATCACACTTGTGTACTGAGCCAAACTGGTTCTGATGTTAACAAACCATACTGCAGAGGATTTGACCTTTGCATCCCAGCTTGACTGACTGATATGGAGTATTGACGTAAGACTGATTCTAAGTGTCCAAATGCTTAGTAGCTGTCTCTGGTACAATTCCCTGCATGTCTTCTCCCACTGAGAGTAGTCTTGTGTCTTTCACGAACAATTTGTTCAAAAGAACCGAATCTTTTGAGTGAACATACTGAACCGAATTACTTCCTCGAGTGATTTGTTCATTTCTCACTTCAGTTGAGCTGAATTGAGAAACAGCATCTGAATCACTTGGTGAACAAATCACGCACTGAACTACATCCTATCATTGCAGCGGTTTGCAAGGGAACGGTGCATGTTCAGTGTGAATTCTTCTTAACGTTCAGTGAACGAATCACTCACTGACCCCAATTTACTGAGCAAACCTGATAAATAACGTACCATAGGACAGTACACTTAAAACATCATGACTTATAAACAAGTTCATTTTTACAAACCTGTTTGCCAAAGTAACACAGCCAAACACTCTTGTCTTCTGGTCCCAGAAACTATGAATTGAACTGAATCCTGAAACGTTCAGCTGTGTATCAGTTCAGGAGGTCGGAGTCGCAGGCTTCACCCGCCAAGCGCTACACGGTTCGGTGATTTGGTGAACGAATCGTTTTAGTGAACTGATTCTAGTGATTTAGTACATCTAAAAGAACTGCCGTGCCCACCACTAACTGAGAGTGGTCAACCTTCTGCTTTTCCCTCTCCCACTGATACAACATTTATTCTACATTGTCAACACATCTTCACAATGTCGGTCAGTATTATAATTTGGTCTGAGTTTTCCAAACTTAAACCTCAGATTTGGGTTGATACTGTCTTTGTTGACCTTGTATGATATTACACAAACCCATTCAATTGGCTTTCAGGGAACCACGCAGAGACTTTCCACTCAGCGGTTGAATGTTGAAACAGTCTTGAAGTGTAAAGCTCATATATTATTCTACATAAAGAAGATTAAATTGAAGTAACAATAAGCAATATATCAGCATTGTGGTTTTAATTGTAGTCAGTGGGAGAGGCTTCTTTCCACTGAATGACCCCACAAAGTTTTTTCTTTTAAACCTCCACTGTGGTGGCTTCTCTAACAGACTGTTGTGCAATGTTATATTGGCTTCCACATGTTTTTTCTTGTTTTCAGTGACAATGGGACTGCAGCCCGCTGGTTGTTCAAAGCTCACATTGGATGCAGTTGTGAGTGGTTATATAAAGTAGGAGGGGAGGGAGGGAGGGGGCAGAGCAGACCAGCTAAGTCCAGACTTCAATTGCTGGGCCCGCTCAGCATCATTACTCAGACTCTGGATGATGAAGCAGAATTGGGAACCATAAGACTACATCTGGAGGACAACCAGAGCCTGTAGCCAAATCTGATGTTATATCCTCGGCTTTCATGTCACTGATTTGAGTTTTCAGTTTAAAACACATTTTTATGGAGTACTTTAAATCACCATGTTAAATATTTTTTGGTGAAAGTGATAGATGGCTCTAAATTAGCACAATATGTAAGCTTTAGATTTTCAGTTATTTGGTTAAAAGTGATGTTTTCCTGTGTGTAATCCTGAAAATGCACATTACACAAGAAGACTATCTAAGATATCCTGATAAATGACTATGAAATCATCATCAATAAAGTAAAAATTTAACTTTTAATTCTTATTACGAAAACCCATAAAGCAGGTCTGGATCATCCTTTTTGTTGTACTGTCCACAAAGACCTCTAACATTAATCCATCATTAGAAAGCACTTGGCAACAGCACCAAGGAAAAGTTTGTCTGTAACCTTTATAAAAAAAAGAAAGTTTTAACAGAGAGAAAAGGAGACCGGGACCTGGTGTATGGAGTCCCTCAGCGTTTCTCGGCCTATGGCAGCACAACCGAAAGCTTATCCAAGGTCAAATGAGTCTAGCCTAATCAGTAAGCTTGGGGGAAAAAGAAGGTTTGAGATTGAGTTCAAAATTAGAGAGGAGAGATTCAAACAGGAAGGTGATCCCCAAGAGTAGGGTCTGAAAATTGAAGGCTCTGCCTCCCATACCCTGAGATTACTTGAAATTGTTCAAAGCATGTTCAACAAAGTTATAAACCTTCAGCAGAGCAACACACAATGGAGAACAGCCGACAAAAAAGCAATAGATAAGACAAACCCAAAGAAGCAATGGCAAAGATAACAGTGAAGTCAGTAAAAGGCCAGTGAATCAGCCTTTACAGTAAACTTTATCCAAAATGAAAGTTGTAGGCCAACTTTAAGTGTAAAGAAGTTTCTGCCTCCAAATTTAAACAATTATCAGCCCCAAGAGTGGGAGCTGATAATTCAACTCCTGAAGATGTAGGGTTATCTAACTTTGTTTTAAACATGTTCAACTGAGTAGGCATATTCAGGTAAGATCAAAAGTTTCTTTCCTACCAGAACAAAGAACATACATACAGTATTTTCTCACCGAGCTCAGCTAATGCTCAACGGAGCGGCGTTTCTTCTGAAGATCAGTAGATTTCAACATCGACCCAATACAGCAAGGGTCAATGAAAGTTTGTTTTTGGTGCTTAAAATGTCAAGACATGACTCACCAGTCCTAGAAACAATGACCCAGTTGTGATAAAGGTCAAGACCTGACTGTAGACATAGTTTATTGAAAGTACTTTCCACCTCTGTCAATACTAAGGTCTGGTGAGTGTTCAAACTAAATACAACACTGTTTGTGGAAAGAAGCTTTTCTGCCAAGCAATCTTTTTGAAGTGCAGGCATGGATAAACACCATTACAAGGACTGGTATGCTTGACCCAGGCTGATTAGGTGACTGTGGTTTAACTCTACTGGTTACAAACAGCAATGTATCGGTAAACCACAATTCTTTCAGTATATTGACCCTGTTTAACTTCTCATAACTTTAAATCAGCACAATACAAAGTTACACAATCCTTGTTTGAGTTATTTCACCGCACCACCACTTACCAAACACAGAGCCTATTTATGAGTCACAAGGAAACATGAACACACTGGTCGTCATACTCCATCCATGTCACGTTGGCTCTTGTAGCAGATTGTGTGGCTACTGTTACGACATGTTTGGCCAGTGAGGTTATGTGACAGCTGAGGTTAAGTGTATATGAGGGGTTCAAGGTTTGTTTACTATGCAAACAGGGCTTTCTCATTAATCCAAGTATGGTTTGATGTGGAAAAGCTCTGCACCAAACACAAAGTAAACACATGAGCCCCACACACACACGCGCACACACACACACACACTTGTGTTTTTGCTTTTTTGATCACTGTAGTGTATTTATTGCTTTGCCTGGACCTTTATTCTGTTGCTGTTTGGTTAGTAATTGCTTGGAGCTGATTTTTTTTCTCTTCTTCTCTGTGTCCATGAATCGTTTCATTTAATCTGAGCTGTATCTCCGTTGTGAAACTAGTTATGTAACAAATGTATTATGATATGTGCACTTTGTATAGAGCTAGTGGGAGCCCTTTCAACAGCCAACCAAAGCTTTCCAAGCATGACTTAAAAACAGAGGGATCAGCTCACTGCTGTAAACCTTGACACACACACAGACACAGACACAGACGGACGCCTGCAGGTTACATTCATGTCTGAGCCAGCCCACCTCTCAAAACACAAAGCTGGGAGGATTTATGCTCCGCAAAGAAAGTGAGAGACAGAGCTGGAATGCTAATGGAGTGTCACAGAGTTCAAATGACAAAGTGCAAGAAGTAAAAGACAGTAATGGGAACCTGAGCGTTTCCATCATTTCTGTGACAGTCGGGACTTTCCCCACCCTCGCTTTTGTCTACTTAGAGTATACGCTAGTTTTTCCTCACATTTCCCATTTCGGATCAATGTCTAATCTATAGCTAAGAAGCATCGTCCTCATTCCTCTTGTTTAACTTTAACACCCAAACTGTGTGTATGTTATCAACCAGCATATCAAACAACAAACAATTAAGCGTCAAACTGTAACGAAGCAATTTGAGAAGCTAAATACATAAAAAGCCCAGGCTTAAACTGTTCACTTTCTTTTGACGCTATTTTCTTCCAGAACAGATTCTGATACCTCTGGACTTGCTGCAGAGCGCTCATATAAAACCAGTTCTGTTCTCACCCCCTCTTTGTAACCTAATAACTTTATTGAGATTGAAAAAATACAATGGAGAAAACATGCATCTGTACTTTTTAAAAGAAAAATCACAAAAGCGACTAAGTCAATACAGACATGCCAACATTCATGAGTGATACACATGTCCGCTGCATAATCAGCATATGATTAAATAATCATATGCTGTGGAGAAAATTCTGCATGATGCATACAGTGTGCACTTTATTAAAGCCAGGAATTTTTTTTTTTTTTTTTTTGTAAAGAAATTATCAATTTATTTGCTTCACAAGAGGGTTATTCGTATGCATGTGCTTTTGTGAAACGTAAAGTGTATGTGACAGATTATCTGCACTGCCAAGCTGCCTATAAACAGGGAAGCTGCTACTTCCAGCTATGATTCATACGTAATTTTGATCTATATGGAAAGAACAACTAAAAGGATAAATGTCTTCTGTGGGGGGATAAGTGGTACAAAGTCTAAGCTTATGCAACAAACAGAGCTGATGTATCCTGTTTTACAATTTAAATAAAACAGGAATCTGTATTTATTTTGTTCTTCTTTCTCCTGGGTCCTCCTGCATCCCTTCTGTCACTTGCTTTTCCGATGGCACTTGTCCTACTGGATTCCACTGTACAAGCTCATGAGAGCGATACAAACATGTCATCAAATACGAACCAGACCGGGACTGAGGAGGCCAGCTGAGCTTTCTGGGTCATTTTGGCACTTGTTGGAGTGAAATTGAAGTAAGAACCATAACTCATTCCTTTGTAATCTTATACACAATGACACAACCCCCACAGATTTGTGAAAATGCGTCCATTCTGATATTCCCGAAAGCTGATCAGCAGTAAGCCATTATGTAACCAACTCAAAGTGTTTTTCAGTGTCATATATATAAAACTTGAGTTTGCCTCGAATCAGATTTATCCTACCTGCCAACATTGGACTTTGAAAAAGAGGGAGATTTTCTGGGACATTGGAAAAACAGCTTGTATCCAGCTAGCTCTGGACTACAAATTTATAAATTAAATAATCACATGTTCAAGAAAAAATACTTTTAATTTCTTTTAATTTAAGGTTCAGGTTAAAATAAATTAAAGAAAACATGCAAAATGGAGTGAGTGAGTGATTTAGTAAGTGCCACAATTAATAACAGACATGCTGTGACTCAATCTTGCAGTGTTTTGGCATCTATACAAGAAAAATAACTGAATTAGCTTATAGTCAAATGAGGGACAAAAACCAGAGTGGCCATTTTTTCACTAAGCGGACATGTGTATCACTCATGAATGTTGGCATGTCTGTATTGACTTAGTCGCTTTTGTGATTTTTCTTTTAAAAAGTACAGATGCATGTTTTCTCCATTGTATTTTTTCAATCTCAATAAAGTTATTAGGTTACAAAGAGGGGGTGAGAACAGAACTGGTTTTATATGAGCGCTCTGCAGCAAGTCCAGAGGTATCAGAATCTGTTCTGGAAGAAAATGTTGAACTGTGTATCCCCGCTCTTCAATTTTCATCCATTAATACTGACTGAAACTCAGCCAGACTGTCCTCCTCTCTGCTTATGTGTAAAAAAATATAAAAAATCCTGAGAGGATTAGGTTTTTGCAAGCTACAGCTCAGTGAATTTATCCAGCTTTTGTAAATCATCCATGTGTGGGCCAGTAGTTTTTGTAAAATCCTGTGCAGCTAAATAGTAAAAACACAAATCCACTAATTTACTGGTGAATTAAACAGTGGATCTCAGTAATATGTGGTTTCTTTGTGAGTTTTTTACAAGCTCAAATGTGCCATCCTACAAGTTTATTTCGCAAGTTATTGCAAAACTTTTGGCGAACCTTTGATGAACTTTTAATTGTGCAACAGAAATCTGTATGGACGTATTACACCACGCAGGAAATTTTCAAGGACAGCTTATAAGGTTTTACTCCCAGCCATGTCAGGACACTCAGTTCTTGATCAAGTGCTTCTTGAGATAACTCAACTCCTGTAACAATCTCATTGGTGCACTTTGGTCACAGGTTAACCTCTAAGTGCCTCATTTACCCTCAACATTCCCTTATAATCCAAGAGCTCTCACTTGAAGCTCTTTCCATTTGTCATTTTCTCCGTTTCCAACATGTGATTAAAAGTAATTCATTGTCTACTCCAGTAAAATCCCTCAATATCCAAATAACAGAACACTCTTTCCATTCAGGGTGGCAGACAATCAATGACTCTGCCAGTGTGTTAAACCAGGACATTTGTTCATGCATGAATGTATCTAATAATTTTAACACATTTCTCTGAGGGGGAATGCATATGAAAGGAGACATAGAGAAAAATTATTGTAATGCCAAGGACATTGAAATCCCACTCCAGCAGCTTGGCCTCTACGTTGCCATCACCTTGTGAAAGGCAAAGCATGGCCAAAACTACCAGAGGAAGAAAAATAACATCAAAATATGAGACAGAAAGAAAGGATCATTGATTTATGGAAATGTAGGACAAGGCTCGGCCCGGTTCCGACAAAGGTTCTATGATTGGCTTCTCTTTCACAGTGTACACTTATTGCAGGGTATTTGCAGTTTTGAGTTTTGATTAGTGGTGTTAGTGTTTGCGTTTGTTTAAGACAGTTGAAGCCAACGGCACACACAGAGATTAAAACTGGGATTCTTATTTTCATTTTGAGGAGGAAAATCTTCCCTCGAACCCTGACTGATTACGCTTGGCGTTATTCTAATGGAGAAAAATATGTTTTCCCCCTTAACGGATTTGTTATATTTGGTAATAAGATAGTATAATAGCAGTAATTCAAAATACTCCATCACTGTGCAGTAAATCAGCTGCTTAGCAGTGGTCTTGGACATGACAGTAGAGCAATAAATACGACTTCAGGGTCAAAACAACGATTTAACAGAAAAGAGAGTTCTGAAGTTTGGGTGGGAGTGAAGGCGGGTCTTTCAGCAGCTACAGGCAGCTGTACATTAGTTTTACGACTAAATACTGTGTGATTGAGCTGTCTGAGGCAGACAGACGGAGGAAGAAACACTAAAACAAGCCGCCTGGCTGTTTGACAGGCATTTAAGTTTCAGCTTTACGGTTGTGAGGTTGTCCTTGTGTGAACTCCAGCCTTTAAACTGGTTCATAAGCACTGAGCCAAATGCTCTTCTGGTGAGATATATTACGTTTCACGAGTCACAGTTCCTGGATCATAACTTCTGAAATGCTACAGTGATGTAAAAAAAAGGAAATCATCCATCCACTAGGAAGAAGTAAAACCACTCCTCAAAACTATAGCTGTTGTGTGTTTTTTATTGTTTTTCTTTATGGGGCATGAACACGTCGAATTCTTGTATTCCGTTGTATTTTCTTTTAAAGTCTTACTTCATTTTTGTAAAGACAAGTGGAACTTATTAGGGCAAATATTTAAGAAAGTACACACTATATTTGTTTGTTAATTTTGTTGTGACCATGTGCTCGACAAAAACAAATTATTGTTTGTAAGTTATTGCCTAGCAGTCACTAATTTACACATCAAGCAGATCGCGGGACACAGTATCTGTATTTTGAAAGGCTTATGGTGTCCATGTGACGTGTGTAAGTCCAGTTTTCACTATTTCTTAGCTCGGTTTTTGATTTCTAATAACTATTGTGGTATATCTATTTTTTGACACTTTCCCAGTACCTGCCACTAGCTAGTTGTGTACTGTATCTGTTTCGAGTAAGATGTTGAGCAGGTCGGCTGCTTGAGCAGATTCAAACAGCTATTTGGCCTAAACAGATGCTTGTTGTGAACTGAAAACAACTCGATAACAGCTGTGAGAGTGAATTTAAACTATTTAGCCGCTGGCCATACAGCTGATCTATGTGCTGAAAGTGCATAAATCCCCGAAGAGCCAAAAAGAAGCTACAGGCTTGTGAGTTAATTCACTGTCAAGCAGTGATAGTAGCTGATCAATACAAAGAAGAACATTTTGTCATGGAAAGACCAAATGGCATGATTGTTCAATTACGATTTAATATTTCCAATAAACCATCTAACCAGCATAAAAGCTGCATCAAACATGGTGATAATTACACCAAGGATACTGCTACATGAGGTGCCTGTGGATGACAGTCTTGTTTTATCAAAGCGAGAACTTCACTTCTGACTTTATGGGCACCAGCGGAGTTCTGGGTCTGTTACTCTTTTCCTAACTTTGCGGGGTAGAAAAGTTGTTGAAGAAAGTTCAAAGCGAGTTTCAATTTGGTATTCAGCATGCTGAAACAGGATATTAAAAGCTGATGTCACTGTGAGTCACTCTCTGTAAGACTCTGTCAGCTTCTTTCTTTTAACAATAGAAATGGGCAGGTTTGGGACAGGGTGAAAAAGTCAATGAGGTTAGGTAGAGGCAAAGGTACAATACTAACAGGTATTGGATATGTTCATATATAAATGTACATTTTGTTCCATTAAATAGTTCAAGAGAAATTTAAGCCAATATTGCTTTACTTCGGTGATGTATTTTGGGGTTTCGAAAGTCTAAATTAAATTACATAAATGACTCCAGAGCAATCATGAGCAGCTTTGAAATTGATTTGTACCCGCCTCCAAAGATTTCTGAACCTTTCCTGAGTTTAAAAGCCAGAGACTCCCTGCCATTTTGGTAACATGACAGCACTTTCCATCCGAATTTGCCACAGTTGTTTCCTGAATGTCCAACAAATCGATCCAGGCAATCATAGCAGGGCAGCGGGCAGGGCGGTAATGGAGTAAACCTGTCACTGTGTTGGAAAACAGAGGACATGCGCTCACTCGCTGGCTCGCTCTGTATTTCCCTTGGCCAGGACCTCATGCTGTGTTGTCCCATCAGGCCATTCCTGTCTGAAATTATTTCTGGCTTTCTTTCTCTGCCTTTTTTCGCTTTCGCACACAAGTTTACACCATCACACACAGTGTTACTCTGTTTCCAACTTCATGTGAGTGAAATGTTGCAATGTGTTGACACTAATTCAAGGGTTTACCCACGGAGAGATTTGATCAGTCATGAGGAAATATTAATCAAAACCATCTCCTAACAGTATGTACATAGATTTAAATTGAAGAGATGATGCACTTGATCAAATATTGACCGGAGGGGAACAGAGAAACCGGAGTCATCTCTGAATCCTGCACACCTGTTGAACTGCAATCCATCATAATAACTCAAGTTATCACCACCTTTAAAAATCAGATTCTTTGTTTTGTAAAAGGATTGGAAGCTCTCAGTCATCTGAGACAGAAATATTAAAGATTACCAGAGTAATTCTCCCCCTGCAAGGTGAGCAACTGCAGAGTTTGCCCGGACATGCATTTGCAGCTTTTATCTTTCTTCTACAATTCCATTTGTTTAATAAATGACTCCAGGATACGTTTGTATGGAGCAGCTTATCAGCTTTCAGTTAGATTAATCTCTATTTTCTATCACTCCAAGTCACTGTTGGCCGCTGACGCTTGTTAAGGCAGAGAATTTTTTTTTCTGTAATTATCAAACTAAAACTATTTGTCACCTTCCTTTAATGCAAATCTAACTAACCTCAGCCCTTTGCTTATTTGCACTTCCAAGAATTTCACAGCTGTCCCTTCAACATTTCAGGGACAGATGTGAAAGACTGAGGCACACTTGCTGCATGATATAAACCTCACCAACCCATGAATATCTACAGTTGCATTCCCACATCAGCTCACCTCAACTCCACTTCTTTTTTTTTATGTTTTTAACGTGCAGTCAGGAAGACATCTGGGTGAAATCAGCATTAGAAATTTGTGCATTTGCATTTTTACAAATCCAACTCTAAAGGTCCTTACACACCGAGAACGTCGCAAATATACGACGTGAAATTATAAAATATTCGGAGGCGAATTTTGACTTGCCTGACTGTACACATCAAGCACGATGCGATTTTGCGACTTTCCGGGGGGGAAAAAAGACATGTCCCGGGTGGAAGCGAGAAGACTGAAACAACAGCAGACTGAGTGTTGAGATGGCTGTCTGTCATGATAGCATATACTGAGTCAGGGCCAGTTCCAGATAAGCACATTAAACTATAATCAATAAACGTAAGGTAACAACCGAGACCTAATGGTGCTGTGACAGCAACGCGATTGAGTTTGAGACAGTGAAAATACATATGGTATGTTGTATCTGAACAGGTTAGCTTACGAGCTAAAGTTAGTTAGCACAGATGAAAGTTAAAACAAAGACGTTTAGCAAACTGTTAAAGCACACAAACCATCGTCATTTGAGAGATCCGACACTATGACTCTCCACAAGTTGTCCTTCAGGTCGTTATCTTTGTAATATTTGTGTTTTTTATCATAAAGCACTCTGTTCTCCAACACGTAAACAATCAGCCGGTCGGCCATGTTGGATATACAGGTGAATCTGACATCGCAACAACACGCAATCTGATTGGTCAGAAGTGGGCACACAGTATGCGAAACTTTTGAAAATTCAACCGTGAATTTGAACGCTTGTATTGACAGGATATGGGTTCGAAAAAAAATATTGACATCTGGATAATTGCACGAAAAAAAGCGTAAGGACCTTAATTCTTCTTGGAAATTTTCAGGTTTATTGCATGTATGAATAGGGCTTTATCAGCCCAGAGGAATTCCCCTCTTAATGGCTCTTCTTACACATCAGTTTCCATGAGAGTTTTATTCAAGCCGTGAATAAAAACATGTGAGGATGAGCAATTGTTTTTGCTCTTCTGTTGCAGACTCAACACTTCCACTCTATTAATTCATTGCACTTGCTGTGTTATTTTTGTGTCCATGACACTGAGGCAAATATTTTGGTCCTTACATGAGCGTTATTAGAAACAAACATAATCGTCTGAATCCATTTCTTTATGGTTACTCTGAGGGAACAAAGCTTCAGAGCAGCCTCTCTGTTAACATGCACATCTGGTTCTGCTTGTTTGACGGTCTGCTCACATTCACAAGGCGATGTTATTTAGATTTCTCATTGACTCAGAAGTGCTGTAATAATGGAAAGATGACTGGATCAAGCCTCAATCCGATTACCTTTGTAAATAAAGATTAAATGCAAGCATAAACATGGGGTCATGTGTGGTTAGTTAATGTGTTAAGTCACTGCAAACTGTCTTGAGTTTTATCGAAGCGATCTGCAGAGTCATGTGGGGAAACATTTGAACATGTCAGTTGTATGTCAAGAACTTTGCAACACGCATTATTCTTCACATTTTCTTAACCTGTCCTTAACGTCTGGGTTTACGTGTGCATGACTTTAAACCTCGGCCTAATTTTAGGTTAGCTATGTGCTCCCAGGGAGGTCAGAGGTCAGCTTATCTTTGCTCTTGTCAGCTGTTCGTCAGAGAAAGAAAAAATTGTGTGTGTGTGTGTGTGTGTGTGTGTGTGTGTGTGTGTGTGTGTGTGTGTGTGTGTGTGTGTGTGTGTGTGTGTGTGTGTGTTGTCTGCACTTTTGTCCTCTTGAGTTTCAACTGGAACCGCACAAACTGAGAAGGGAAGTCATAAACTTGCAGAATACAAAATCATGTGCAAGTTGCATGTGCATGAAGTTACATGTCGGTGTGTCTTTAGACAGCTTGTCTTCAGTCAGAGCTGAAACAGAGCTCTTGTAAGGGGTAGGTCTGCAGCTGTTAAGTTCAAGTGACGGAAAACAAACGTGACAAAGATAAGTGAAGGTTCAGTTCTATGTTAGCCGAAGAAAAAAAGTGTATTTCCTGAAAATCTCAGAGGGCAGTTATTTTCTCTGGAGGCTTTCTCGCTTCCAGTGGGCTCATGTTCAGACGGAGGAAGAGGAGCAGCCCACTTAACACCAAGCAATTTTAACTTGTTGATGTGATAATTGGATAATAGGAAGACATACGTAGGTCAAAGTGTAGTAAAATCCGCCAAGTTGGACGTTTTAAGCCACGTTTCCAGTTCTTTCTTTCGTTACTTTATTTATCCCCGTGTGTGTGAACATCCAGTATTTTTATGCCTTCTGGTCTTCTTAATGTTCCATAGAGTCACAATAGGAAGTCTCTTAACTCCATAAGAATTCAAAACCATTAGGATGATGAATAGTGCAGTAAGAAATCAGTGTATTTCTTTTATTGCACTGACAGTAAAATAAACAAGGACTAAACAAATGCCTGGTCCTTCAGCCAGCAAGAAGCTCATTACACCATATATCAATCCAGTCTGTTCTTTATTATGTCTTCACAGGGGAGATTGAAAACCACTCTTTGCTAACTAACTGAAATTAACAGTTTTTTTTTGTTGGTCTGGACAACATCCCTAACTTACCCTGCACTCCTCCGTCCCTCCCCCTAACATTTCCCCTTATCCCTCCTGCTATTTTAGGATAACGTCCAACAGTGACGCTCACCCACAACCATCCAGCACTTAAGTCTGTTCTCTACGAGTGAACTATACCCTATCTTGGCACAGAGTCAAGTGAGCTTTGGTATATAAAGATGCATTACGGGCGGTGCCAAAGTGTCACAGAAGGTCATATCACTGAAATGTATTCGCACAGTCTGTGTTAGAGCAGGAGTGAAGAGAAGCAGCCAGAGCACCAAACATCTACACCAAAGTTTTCTCTTCTCTCACTGCTTTTCATCTCTCAATGCAACTTAATGTTCTTATCATTTCCAGATATCGGGTTGGAAGCCCAGAGCTGCTGCTGTACAGCACCTTCAGCACACCAGCCAAACAAAAACACAATATTCACATAACTGCATTAAGGATAATTCACTCTAGTTCAACTTGAGGTTTAATTTTGTGGTTTTTTTTCTGTGTTTCTTAGAGTTCAGAAAACACTGAAGTCACCAAAAGAAAATTAGATTGCAGCACTCAACAACATTTCAAAAACCAAGTCCAGTAAAGCTAAATTCATAAATAAGCTTGGACAAGCCAACTGTTCCATCATTATTTCAAGTCTTACTTATCCCTCTTTGTTGTCATAGAGACAAAGGTTGTTGGTTTACTTTAGATGTATACAGGACTCAAAGCCAGGTTCCATCAGTGATGAGTCACCCATCTATAGCCTCGAACCCCAAGTGCACTTTGTCTTCTTTCTACCATGTTATCAGACGTAGTTTCTCTAGGAGTCTGATATGTTCGCCTACTAAAACTCCTGTGAAAATCTTTGTATCAGGTTCTACAGCAGACTGAAATGAAGACTCATGTGTCTTTATGGCCTAAAAGAGCAAACAGGCTAACTACTCCTAAAATTCTGGTGTAAGTTATGGTAACAAAGCCCCCTAGTGGCTGCAGAAGTTCTGTCACTCATTAGTCAAGTGTGGATCAGAAAATAAGAACGAGGGAGCTTGAGTTCACACAGGTCCAGCTCTGATCTAAAGTATTAGGTCTAACTGTGGCTCAGTATCTTCCAAAATCTCCAAATCTTACCCAAAGCAAAAGATGTCATAAGACCAAGTTTGTTATCTTTTTAGCCTTTTGGGGAAATTAATACTACAAATCAGCAAATTTTCTGATGATTTCTCTCTTTGGACTTGCATCTTTGTGTCTCACTCTCTCCACAGTCTCCTGAGTGTGATGGATGAGGTCAGTTTGGACCGCACAGAAAGAAAGACCACTGCTGCTGCTGCTGCTGCTGCTGCCGTTGGAGAAAAACAACATCAAAACTGAATTAATTTTAATATCTGTCCACAGAGAGTCCCAGAATGTGAGTGCTTTGAACTGAGAATCAGCTTTACAGTTGACATGTGGGTTTTTAGATATCTGACTCTTTTTCTCCTTTTGTTCCAACATAGTATATAATTATATCTTACCACTGCAAACTGTTCGAATCATGTGTTTGGGCAGAGTTGTTGATTCAAACCATATTTGATAGATAAAACGGCCTGAGAAAGAAAACATTGGATACAAGACAAAGAAACACAATGAACTTCAACAGAAAAGCTGGTATCCTGTTTTTTTCCAACCATTAATAAATGATTTAATCCAGGTTTCACGGACATGAAGAGAAAGCTGTTTGTCTCACTGCAGCTACTGGCCAACTCTCAGTGGGTCTCTCGCTCTTTTCCCATGCGAAATCATGAGATTTTTCTTCTGCGCTGTAATCCCATACTACACAACACAGCAGCTCATTGTTTGAAACAATAGTAAGTCACAAGCTCAGAGTTTGCGGAGTCTAGATACGCAGCCATAATCCCCTTGAGCGTACAACTGGACCCTATAAAACTGGTGATCAGCAGCCCTCAGCTACACAAAGTGGTGTGCTTTTCACAGATGTACTACGTCAATTTAAACTTTAGCTTTGTGGGTTTTTTCTTACATATGGGCAGGTGTTTGAACAACTCTTTCTTTTAGGAGTCAAAGTAAGAATTAATTATATGTTACAGGAAATTATTGGCTGACATATCATGATGATAAATAAAGTTTTCTCGGACTGGTGAAGAGGAAAGATATGTTTCTTGAAATAGCTTGGGATTAAAGCTACAGTGAGGAGTTTTTGAGGTTTATGGAAGTGACTGAAAATCACATTAATGTTTGTTTTAGGGCATAAAAAAGCAAACAAGGCCATCAGTGACAAGACTGATCATGTTTATAATGTAAGCTTTAGGAGATAGGGGGTAAATGTTGGTTGAACAGCTGAGGAAACAGTCCTGTTTGTACAATTTTCACACAAAATACTCACAATATATTGTATATCTGATCATGAAACAGTGGAAGGATGACAATTTTTCGTAAGAAGACAAACAAAGATGCCTTCAAGTATCAAAATTAATTCATGATATAAACTGGTATTGGTGTGATGGTGGTATTTTTATCATTTTTTATTATTACAATTATATCTGATTAGAAATGCCAAATAGAAGTTGTTTCCATGTAAACAAACCTAGTAGTGCTTCCCCAGAAGGTGATGGTTTCTGATCCACCAGTTCACACAGAGAGGATCAGGTGAAGCTGCAGCAAGCTGACCAAAAAGTAAAGCTGGCATACATGGCATGTTTGGTGTCACAGTTTCAGAGGACTTTGCAGACCTTTGCCACAAATACTTTTGTTCTTATCAACGTTCTTAAGCTTTAACACAACAAACTTGAAAGGTCATAATTATAACAAAGATGTTTGCTGAGTCTGCTAGTTACTGCAACAGACTCAGTTGGCAGTTGCACCGCGAAATAGCAAGTGCCACAAAGCTGATTAAACAAGGAACTGAGAACTGAAACAGTTTTATCAGAGCTGACCCCAAAATTCAAGCTATTAACTCTTTCTCTGCCAGCGTGTTAATAATAAGTAACCAGTCAGTGCCAGCCTTTTTGATTATACCCACTTATCTTTGAGGGTCTATTGAAAATGTTGTGTTAGAGGTATGTGAACACTGAATAGATCAAACGAAAGAACAGAACTTCAGCTTTTAAAGAGAAAATCATAGAATTTATGTGTTGAATACCTAAACACACCTCCACTCTGATCAACAAGGTTAGGGGTTTAAGTTTTACCATGACAATTAAACGTCTGATATAAGACCTGTGACTATGTTCATGAGCTCACAGGACTAACTAGACATTATAACATGCACAGGAGTATTCTGGATTAAAAATAAGAATAGAGAGAGAGAAAATGGAAAGTCAAAGCTGTTCCTTGAGTCTGTGTGCATAAAAATAGTGAACAATAGTGATTTCAGTTGGAATTGGTGTTGATATGACATGAATGTTCATGCATCTTTGTTCACTAGTTTGTATCCTTTCTTGTCCTCAGGTGTGCATAAATGACATATTTTAAAATATGGGGGTAAAATCAGTTATCTTGTGGGTGCTGACCATCAAAAGCAGGTCGCTATCATTTATCAGCTGATACAAAATCCATGATGTTCATCCTGCATATTTACCCAAAATGTTACCATATAAAAGAGAACTCTTTTTATTCTTTCCTGATCTTACACAGTGTACATTTGTGGTTTCTTTACTTGTGCACATTGTACTCATTAGATATTCTCCAGAGATTCATTATATCAGACATTCAGCTTTTGAGTATTCTGGACTTGGACTATCATGAGTTTCCCTCACTGCAGGCCTGAGTGTTGTGCCGTAAAAACCCTCACAGCTGCAGCTTTCATCCCCTCACTCAGGAGAAGGAAAAAACACTCTGCAGTGGAAAAGTCTCTCCTGCAGTTTCCAGGTCCCACATCCATCAAGGTGAGAGGCAAAAAAAGACATGTACCACATAAACACTGAGCCTGTTTTATTTCATAATTCACCTCTGCTTCCCAGTGTCTCATTTATGTCGTTTAGCAACCTCCTTTTTTTATTCCAGTGTGTTTTTGTTATATGCAAAACTCCTGGGGTGGAAAACCATGACCAGAGCTCATGAGTCATGGCACAGCTAAATAATGCCTGCATGTAGATAAATCCCTCCATCTGGATCATAAACAACACAACATGAATGCTATAATTCTCTCACACTTCAACATTTTTGTTAAAACCTAAATCCTTTCATCTTCTAGTTTTTCAAATCACTGATGCACAGGATCCACTTTAATTTATTTTTTTGTCTAAAATTCTACAACAACTCAAAGTGGAGACAGTAACACATGGTAAAAAGCCCATATAACTGCGTAATGTGTTGTTTGCCAAACATTTATGCTGCCCAAAATAATTGAAATACTGCTTGAATTAGCGCTGCACAAACTCACTCTACTCTCTGTCTTCTCACATTCACATACTAACTCAAACAGACAATCTCCACTCGCCTGAGGTCTTCTTTCTCAATGCACTTTTGAAAACAAAGATTCGTTGGTAATGTAATCAAAGCCCTGTTTACATAGATGTCTCAGACAGTAAGTCATCAACACTGGCCATGTGCCACCTCTACCTTTCCACAGTGCAACTTGGAGAGCTGAGTAATTGGTTGCAGATCCTATAATGTGGAGAAAGGCTTACCTCAAACTAACTAATTTTGTATTTTTCTCCATGTGGCTGCAGTGCAGGAATGAGAGCATGAGTTTGTGAATATCCAACTGTCATTATTAATTTGTAAACACCATATTTGTATAAAAGTCCCAAAGAATGGCGTTGGTCTGATAGCCAGTATTTGAGTTGTTTTCATCAGCTTGTTCATTTGTGCAGCACACCTAAAGCACTAGTGGAAGAAGTGGTAAAATTCGGGGCAGATTTTCTATTTGCCTTTCTTTCCTTGTTACCTTTAGTTGTTTTACTTTGTGTTACTGGGCTGTTTCATTTACTTAAATGATCAAAAAGGCTGCTATGTTATAACGCTTTGGTCCAAAGTTCTACCTATAATTTACCCTCTCATGCTGATAGCAGTCAACAACCAAGGCTCCAAACATCATGGGCAATTCGCAATTCAGCTTCTTGCCCAAGGACCCTTTATGTGGAGAGCCAGTGCTGAAGATCATTGCACCTCCATGCATTTTCATGATAGTTTATCAGGTTTGACAAAGTAATCATCATTATAATCTGAATGGACGCCTCCAGATTTGTTAAACATTTCCAATGACTGTTGCCACATTGACCTCCTATATTCATTTAGTCTGTTTGTTGTACAAGCGTTGAAGCCTGAGGACAATAACAAGGTTTGATTCCACTATAGGAGCCTCTACATTCTCATGTTTCCCAGGCCACATCCTGAACTCCACATAAACTCCTGTCGTTTCTCTCTTATGGTTTTCCTTGACACTATGTCTATACTGCATCTGTTTGGCATTATATGCTTGTTCCCCTCACACTCCTATAGAGTACAGTGTTCATGAACGAGGAGCCAAGGAATGAGTTATTGTGAGGAAATATGTCAGATCAACACCACTCACTGACTTGATTCCTGGACAGTAAACAGCGAGAACTTGTGTGAGCGGCTGTGGCTTAGAGGTAGAGTCGATCGTCTCTCAGTCAGAAGGTCAGGAGTTTAATCCCAGGTCCTGCAGTCCATGTGAAAATATTCTGTAAAAAGTACTTTGAGCTATTTGTATACTCACTGATTCAGTTTTTCTTAATTTTTTACACATGCATTTTCTGATTTTTATTTTTCCATTTTATTTGAGTCACTATTTAGCTCATCCTGTTGCTGTGATCAACTCTGATTAGAACCAGTAATGCCTCATTTCTGGTCAATTAGTCACTTAATAAAACAAACTCTGGATCTTGAGTCACAGAGAAGATTGCAATACTGAAGTAATCTGGACCGCTTTAATCAGGAGCACATGTGGAATCAAACTAAAAGTGAAACCTTTGCTCTCTGTGAACTGATGAAACACTCTTTCAAGCTAACACTCTGACCCCAAGCAAGTTTTGTCATGTACGTGGGGTTTAAGATGTTTCAAGAAAGGATGTGTGTGTGTAGCAGGTGAGGACTGGTCCTGATCAATCCCCACCCAGGGCCTTTCTACCCACATAAAGGATCCACACTCTGGTGAGGAATGAGTGTTGAAAGAACACTTTTCAAGACAGACAGTACGAGGGAAAAATGAACAGCTCACTGATGCTTAAACCAACAGTGGTCACAATACACGTGTGTACCTTATTCACTGAAGTCCACCTCCTTTCTTTGAATTTGACATTTTCTTATTGAATATTTTGTTAATGACAGTTTACCTGATCTTATTTATGGTGCATTGTTTTTATTTCTCATATCCAAAAGGCAAGAATGTCACTTCAGTTTTTTTGATTAGTAGAGAGGAACACGCTGGCACCTCAAAGATCAAATTTGAAGTGTAAAAAAATAAGATATTATTCTCAAAAGTTGTTATTCATTTCTGTCAACTACATATTTTTTCATGTAAGTGCAGTTTTAAAGTTAAAGTCTCACAATATACTGAATAGTAGTACTTCTGTGTAACTGTCCTTCTGTAGCATGTCATCCTTACAATCTGCAATCCTGCTCCTCCCCCTACTGTACAATCAGGGGACTTCAACCTACCTGTGTGTAAACTACATTCATTTTGCAACAGCTGTGGTCTCAAGTAAATAATTTTTGTTTGCTGCTATCTTCTCCTTTTTGAGCGTGTTTTATAATTTTGAAGAATAAGATCTGATAACTATTCTTTTTTCCTGTATTAGGGTCCCTGTTTGCACCAGTATTAAGAAAATGAATATTCTTCAGGAGTCCAACACAGAAACAGTCATATACACACACAAAAACTACAACAATGGGGAGAAAAAGTGGTCCAGTTGTCTCCTTTTTAAATGACTCCTTGACAGAACATTAAATAAAAGACTGTAACAGTAGTTGTCACCACTACCATGTGTGTCCTTGGACTTACAAACTTATTTTTCATCACTCCCCTGCTGACCCGTCTTCCCTCAAATCTGACAGAAACTTACAGGAAAGAGCTTTCATATATCCACCCTGTGCAGATGCAATTCTGTGAATCTTTGCCAGAGAAAATGCCAACAATGGCTCTTTCAGCAAGGTGTAAACCAGCTCATCAAACAACAACCCTTTAGCTAGTAAGGCATCACAACTTCAAAGTAGGGGGTCCCTTTGCTGATGGTATTAAAATACTGACCAGAGCTTTTAGAGCAAAAATGAACACCAAAGCAGCTGTACCAAGATAAACATTGTATTATTGTGAAGACACAGTTAAATAGATGAAATGTGCTCTTACTAATTGGAATTAAAATAGTATTAAATATGTTAAGCATGCACAACTTACTCTGCATTGTCCTAGGCAAGAGAGTCCCAAGCTGTCAGTGCAATAAATAGTTAGTGCAAAGCTACAGATGACAAGATGGAGATGAACTACTTTGACATGCAGATATGGCCTTGTGTTGCTTGATGAAGCAGATTTAGCCTTTCTCCTGTTAGCTCATATGTGGGACTAATTTTGCTTGTTTGATGCACATTACCATTGTTATTATCATTAACAGATACCAGCCACAACTTATGGGCTAGTAAGCTGCCTACAAGAACGTAGGTAAGAACTTTAGGACCTTTATGCATTAGCCATGAACAAGTGACACTAAAATTTGTACACATGCTTTGATTCACTGATTTTGGTTGAGGTGTTAGGGATAGTTACAGAGAGAAAACAGAGGTAATTGACCTGAGGCCTTTTGGGGGTTATTAATATGGTGATCGAACACTGCCACTGCTGCAAATAAAAAAAGAAGTCACAACGGAAGTTACTGATGCAAAAAAGAAACCGAAGCCCGCTGCAAATAAAAAAAGAAATGGTGCAGATTAATAAAAAAGGCACAACGGAAGTTAACAAAGCAAAAAAAAAGTGGTGATGGGAAAAAAAGTTACTTACTGCTAAAATAAAAGTGAGCTGCCGGGACCAATCATGATGATGCACCAGTGTTTTACGATCTATGCACAGAAGACAACGGCGAGAAGACAAGCAAAGAAGTAAGTGGAAAGGTTATTGTTTAATTTCGCTTTTTATGCTTTTCAGTGTGTCATTTGGTTAGGCCATGTAGCGCCTGAGTTGATATGAAGTTGAACTGGAGCTATCACTACACTGGCAACCTTTAGTTCAACTTCATATGGACTCAGGCGCTACATGGCCTAACCAAATGACACATTGTAAAGCACACAAAGTGAAATTAAACAACCTTTCCACTTATGTCTTTGCTTGTCTTCTCACTGTCGTCATCTATACCTAGATCGTAAAACACCAGTGCATCATCATTATTGGTCCCCAACAGTTTAGACAGATAGATAGATAGAATGTTATTGTCATTGTGACAAGCACAACGAAATTAAAAAGTACCTTTACAGTCAGTGCATTAAAAAGGGGGACAATAAAACATCAGACAGTAAAACAGTAAAACTAGTGCAGAGTTAAAACTAGTAAACGAATTAAAACTACACCCATGCATACATAGGCAACACATTATCTGGCTTTCATGGAGGCGTTGATGGAATGAACAGCGTTTGGGGAAAAGCTGTTTTGCAGTCTTTTTGTCCTGGCTTTGATGGCCCTATAACGTCTGCCTGACGGCAGTGGCTGAAACAAGGGGTGGCCCAGGTGGGATGAGTCCTAAATGATGTTGGTGGCTCTCCTGAGGCAGTAAGAGCTGTGAAGGTCCTCCAGTGTGGACAGAGAGCACCCGATGACCTTCTCAGCCATCCTAGTGACCCTCTGGAGGTCTTGTTCCTCACTGTGCAGCTGGAAAACCACGTACAGAGGCAGTACGTGAAGAATGCTCTCTATGGTGGAACAGTAAAAAGACACGAGCAATCTTTGGAAGATGTTGTTCTTCCTAAGGATTCTCAGGAAGCGGAGTCTCTGCTGAGCTTTTTTTTACCCACCTGTGTGGTGTTCATGTCGCATTATTTCTGTTGTGTCTCTCTCTCTTTTTTTGGCATCCTTTTATTTTCGCAGTAAGTACCGCCACTTTTTTGCACCGGTAACTTCTGTTGACTTCATTTTTTGTATTTTTTTTTTCAGCAGTGGCGGTTCTCGGCCACCGTATATTAATAAATCCCTAACTGTGTCGATTTAAAAACAGGTGTGAGTCAAAATACCTGATTCTAGTTCAGGATCTTTGTTTATTTTCAGAGAAAGTGTGACACAGTTGTTGTTTTGTTGGAGCTCTACATAAGTCGTCTCATTTCTCATGCAGGCATCAAACATAAGTTGTAAAGTACGCGGTTACGCAGGCTCCGCCCAACCCCTAAACCGGAAGTTTAGCTGTTGTTGTCACACTGGAAGAAAATGGCTGCTGCTCCGACTTTTTTTCAATGAAGACACCGATATTTCAATTTCATTTCGTTTTCTCGCACCGGAGCTACAGGCGACCGCTATGCAACCTTGAAGGCAAGTCCGTCCTGTTGCTCGAGAACGACGTCGCTTTGTCGGTTTGCGTCTCAGACGACGCAACATCATTAGCGTGCCTCGTAACTTACAACCTGCTAACGTTAGCCGTGTTAGCCTCAACGGTCAGGCATCAGCGAGGCTTGTTGCTACTGATACAGACTCTGGACTGAGCCCCCAGTCATCACCGTGAACCAGTATCACCCACGCAGGTTTATCCCGACCTGTGGGCATACTTTAAATGTATTTATTCACTGAAACATTTACAATATTGGAAAATTGTTGACTAACTTAGATGAAACAGTTGTCGTCCATCAGCCAACTGGGATGTTTGTGTGATCTCCAGTGAGGCTTCTTGAGACCGGTGCTGGTTTTATTCTCAATCTACCATCCACAAAGAGTGTATCTATGTCATATTTCTATCATCTGTGCCTGCTTGTCCACGCAGGGTGTGAATGGTCACTCTAGGAAGGTGACAGCGTGGGGCAGAAAGGACAGCATCGTCTACCGTCACTCGCCCTGCAGCTGGCGGTGGACCACAATGGTGAGTTTAATCTCCTTAAAGTCAGGACTCTGAATCCTCTGTTTACACCCACAGTCACACCTTGTACCTTTTGAATGTGTCTCACTTAAAACAGCATGAACACTTGCACGCTTTAAGGGGTGAGGAAATCCCAATCTGATTGATGCGTTTCATTTTGCTCTTATTCCACATAGCAACAAGTTTTGGAATATGCATTGGATCGAGCCGAGGTAAGGACTGCTATTTCAGCCTTGTATGCTTGTGGATAGAGAAATGAACAGCTTGTCCTCACTAACAAAAAAAAGTCACACTCTGTCTGTCTGTACTGTCTTTGATGAATACTCTGTTGTGTTTTCGCAGTACATTGTTGAAAGTGCTCGACAGCGACCAGCCAAAAGAAGACTCTTGTCGAGTGGGAGGAAGAGTCTTTATCAGAAGCTCTATGAGCTGTACATGGAGGAATGTGAGAAAGAGCCAGAGTTAAAGGTTTGTGCTGAGCATCGAAACCAGGGGTGGGCAATTAATTTTTACATGGGGCCACATGAGAAACCTGAACTGTGTTGGAGGGCCGAATCAGAAATAATTTAAACTTCAAATCAGGGGGGTTCACACATACAGAAAAGCAACTACTAGTTAAAAACAAGCCCAAAAAAGCACACCCGCGACTCACAAGTTTTACAAGTGACTTCTGAGAGAAACAAGCCTAAATCTTTTATTATAAGTGGACTGAGCAACTATAAGGCGTCTACGAATATTTTGCCGATGTTTAAACTTGTCTCTGTTCACGATGCAGATCTAGGATGTACACTCCTGTGTCCAAACGGAAATAAAACAACGGCTTGGTTCAAAATAAAAGCAATACACTTGTATAGCATGTTGATAATTAGTTTGACGGACCTCACGAAGGGCTGGGCAGGGACATCCAAGTGGCCGGATGTGGCCCTCGGGTCGTAAAATGCCCAGGTCTGATCTAAACTCTCAGTAATAACTGTGTATTTACTGGCATGCATGAAATCTTTGTTATTTTTCAATCTGGTGAGAATCATGGAAGTTTTGGCAAAATCAGCATACATTCATTATGGATTTGAAATATGCACATTGATCTGATCAGCCAAGTGTGTGAAGGCAATTTATAGTAGTATGTTATCGCAAGCACCGTAGCAATTTTACAACACATTTTTTATTCCATTTTTGAAAATTTTTTTCTTTTGGTTGTTTATCTGAAGAATTTGAGGAGAAATGTGAATCTACTGGAGAAGCTTGTGTCTCAGGAGTCCGTCTCATGTCTGGTGGTCAACCTATACCCTGGTAATGAAGGCTATTCTCTAATGCTCAGGGGCAAAAATGGATCTGGTAAGAAAGGTCAATCAATCATATAGCATTCAGTTATGTTTTTCAGATTTGTGTACCACACTTTTCATCTGTTTCATTCCTTTTTTTTGTTTTACTTTTCAGATTCAGAAACCATTCGGCTGCCATATGAAGAAGGAGAACTGCTGGAGTACTTAGATGCAGAGGAGCTGCCTCCTATTCTGGTGGATCTGTTGGAGAAATCACAGGTTTACATGCATACAAATATAAACTTCTATATGCATGAATCACTTTGTGAGTTAATACATATTTTTCTTTGCTGCATATTTTACTGAAAATAATGTCATAGCTATTGCAAGCATTTTTAAAGGCATCAGTGATGTTTCATGTTTATCTTTTTGAAGTGTAAAAAAGCTGCTGTGTGTCTATACTCTTAACCTGCATCCCTGTCATCAGTTGGTTGACATCCATCATCCAATGTGTTTTAGGTGAACATCTTTCACTGTGGCTGTGTAGTAGTGGAGGTGAGAGACTACAGGCAGTCTGGTAATACAAAGATGCCCACCTACCAGAGCAGACACATCCTACTGCGGCCAACCATGCAGGTAAGTTAACCAATAAAAAGTAAACTAAACCAAAACTGTCAAATTTGACAAAACTCCCCTTGGGCTGGCATGTTTTTGATGTAGAATAGGTGGAAAAAAGTGTTTACTGACAGTTGGGATGGAAAGTATTGTTCATTTCTATGTGTTTGTCCTGCAGACTCTAATCTGTGATGTCCATGCCATGACCAGTGACCACCACAAGTGGACGCAGGTACATTACTCTCCTTATGTCAGCTTTACAAGTCACTATGCAAATGAATAATTACCATACCAAAATGGAGATCAGTCTGTCTTAGATGTCAATATCTTTGTTTCTTTTGTACTAAGGACGACAAACTACAGCTTGAGAGTCAGTTGATTCTGGCCACAGCTGAACCTCTGTGCCTGGATCCTTCCATCTCTGTCACCTGCACAGCCAACCGTCTACTCTACAACAAACAGAAAATGAACACTCGCTCCATGAAACGGTAGGTAACACACTCACAAACTCACTTTGAAATCAGACCTGCTAGGAACAAAAATCTCATCTGTGAACATGAGAAAAATGTTAAGCACCGTGGATCACTGTCTTGACTGTCTTGGTGCTCATTAATGGCCATATTGTAGACTGTATAATTTATCAGTTGGGTTTAAATACTGCGATGAGGGTTGGATGAAATTAGTATTTTTACAGAGTGCTTATTCTTTCATTAGAGCACAAGTATCACATGATTTACATTAATGAGAGTAATATGAAAAAGTGAGGGAACCAATAATGGTTTTAAGACGTGCACTTGTTTGTTTTGTAGGTGTTTCAAGAGGCACTCGCGTGCTTCCCTGAACAGACAACAGGAGCTCTCCCATCTGCCCATGCCACCACAACTACAACTCTACGACTACCTACAGAGGAGAAAGGAAAGGAAATCTGCTCCTGTAATAGACCTGAAAATCTCCAAAATCGGAAACGTAAGTGGTCAAAAGTTGGCATTTTTACTCTCTATGGAAACAGACAAGATGAGGTTGCAAGAGGCATTTTGCTGCTGGGTATTGGTAATCTTCAATATGCTTTAACTGTGCTTTTCCACTTGCTTTTGCTCATATAAGTTTTCCCCCTTTTTGCCGCAGTGTGTCGACATGTGGAAGCAGAGCAACTGCCAATTGACGGTACCGAAGGAAATTGATGTAAGTAGCTCAGTGTTTCTCTGTGACTTGAACACTCGAACTCAAACACTTAAAAAACCACCTCACTCATAGTCTGGCTCTTACAATATAGAGAATAACAAATCAGATTGATATGTTTGTTCGTTTGTTTGTCGCTCTAGGTGGAAAAGTACGCTGTGGTTGAGAAATCTCTGCAGCTGGAGGACTCCCAGCCCACCACTGTGATCTGGCCTGCTGAGGTAAGTGTGACAGCAGCAATAAAACTCCTTGTGGGTACAGATCAATGATGGTTGTTTGCCATTAACATGAAGCAGAGAGTAGTTATGTGTAGAGTAGAAGTGATAAATTCCCCTTGCAGAGTGAAAAAGTTCAATGCTGCATTTTAGTAGGGTCAACAACGATAACTGAAATACCTTAATCATCGCTGAAAACCAGAAACATAAAGCCACAAAAAAATAAGCAACACCAGTGATCAAAACTTAATGAATTTTGCTGCAGAAGAAAATTAAGAGAGACAGCCTTTCATTTAATTGGCTGCAAAAAATGGGGTGATCGAAGACATGAGGAGTTGGCCAGTATGAAATTCAAAAACTTGTCTACCTAGTTTGATAGCTTCATTAATATAGAACACATAAAAGCTTCAACCTGCACATCATCAAAACTCTCCTCCAGTTCAGTCGTCTTTTTCTGCTTTTTTAACATAGGAAGTTGTAGACGACTACACTTTTGAGTGCGAGGTGGGGGGCCAGGCTCAGAGGACCAAGGTCTCTATCTTCCAGTCAATGGGGGACCCGCGGGTGTATGGAAAGATCTACTGCGCTAAAGAAACTAAAGCAGAGGAGGACAGCAATGACCTGAAGCTCATACATCCCCCGTAAGGACAAAACCGAGAAGAATTCAGTATGCAAGAACTAATTTAAGAACTGCAGCAGAATCACGTGTCTCTGTCTCCTTTCTCTCACTCACAGTTTTCTCATAGGCTCAAAGATAGATGCGGATCGGTGAGTCACCTTTCTTACAGCTAGTCTTGTTAAAAACACAGTTTTGAGGATCAGCTGTGGAAGAGTGTTGAATAAACAATGTTTTACGTGTGTTTCAAAGGTTTCTTACTCAGTACAAAGGAGTGTATGAGAAAGACGTGAAGTGTCAGGTGAAGATGTCCCATAACTCAGGCAACTTGGGGCAGGGGCCGCCCTCACCCAGCAGAGATGAGGTAAGGGTAAGTTCAAGGATGCTCTGGGCTTGTGTGATTTCATCATACAGAAGTATTCATTTAACTTTTTCTGACATGATTCTTCTTTCTTCTTCTATTCTTTCATTTTTTCTCTGTTTGCTTTTTTTATTCATTCATTCATTTTGATTTTTTGAGATACGGGGAGTTGAGAGCGGGGTGGGACATGCATTAAAGGGTTGTGGCCGCTGTATTTGGAGTGTCTGCTAAAACCTCGACCAGCAGCAAACCTTTAAGATTTTCAATTAATGATAAGACAAAGATAAGTTTTGATTTTTAGATTAAAAACCACAGTGTTTACAGAGTATATCTGTGCTGTTGTGATTTATAATATGCATCGTAGGGAAATGTTTTGAGTCGCTGTTTTGACGTGCTCACTGTGGATTACAAACTGGTTCCAATGTCCTGTACAGGGTGATGGTATTACTCCACTGGTCCAGACATCTGTTTTGGGGAAAGGTGTGAAGCACAGACCCCCTCCCATTAAACTGCCTTCTGGGAGCAGCTCCTCAGGTATGTGTGCTATCTCTGAAAAAGAGTGCGACCCAAGCATGCGGTGGCCCCATATGTCTTTCTTAAGTGGTTAGTTTAGGGGACATCTGGTAACTGTAGAGAGAAAGTAGACGAGACAGGTCAGAGGAAAATGAGTACAGCGAAGTCTTACATGGAAACTTCTGGACTCCATCAAATGTTGTCGCTGTATTAACTTAAGCAGGCAGAGAAGTACCATGGTTGGATTTCCCCCTTTCATGGGTAGCATTAAGACTGCTGGGTTATGTTAAGGTCAGGTGCTCCATCACCCTTCAGTACAGAATGCTGTTTCTCTGTTTGCTAAAAAATTGTCAACATCCAAACTCTAAATCACACAAAACTCTCATTTCTCATCTCCTCTCTTTGCTTGTAAGGTAATCCATACAGTTCCACCACCAGTGGTCTTCTCAAGTGTCCTACGCCCCCTCCAGCCAAAAGCCAGTCTCTGAACAGGAAGCACTCCATGGAGCTTGGCCAGGTGGGCCTACTGTCGCCTGCCTCCCTCTCCCCTATGGGCTCTACACAGAGTGAGTACAGCTGAGTCTGACTAACTGTTGGCCTTCTTGCTTTCATCAGACCCAGATGTGAGAGAGAGGGAGAGTTGTTAACAGAGAGTCTTACATCAGTCCTCCCCAGGCCTCAAAAGTTTCCATATCTGGGATGAATTTCTGACCAGTTATGAATGATGAATTTGTAATGGTTTGAATAAAGAATAGAACTACAGGGACATATTGAAAAACTTGACATGTAAGTAGAAGAGGGTTTGGATAATACTGGCAAAATGTGGATAATAAGTTCTCAATATTTTACCTTTTTCCTGCTCAAGGATCGGGGACCCCAAAGCCATCCACCCCAACACCGACCAACACGCCGTGCTCAACGCCTCACCCCGCCGACTCCCTCTCTGCTCCTCTCTCAGTGACCCCCAGCCCGTCAGACCCCACCATGGTACAGAGCCAGACACAGCCCACCCTCCTCACGCCCTTCGCCCAGCAGCAACTTGCCCTTAGCCAGCCTCTGCCCGTCATGACTATTCCCCTGCCCACCATGGGAACGTCCATCACCACGGGAACCACGTCATCGCAGGTCATGGCCAACCCGGCGGGGCTCAATTTCATCAACGTGGTCAGCTCAGTGTGGTAAGGAAATAGCTCCTGATTCAACAGTGTCACTTACTGGTCAGTGTCCTTTTTTTTTTCTTTATAACAGTCCTGTTCTGTTTGTGCAGCAGTCCTCAAACCCTGATGAGTGGCTCTAACCCCATGCTGGGTACAGGTCTTAACCTGAGTGGACTCCTGCCACCTGGAGGGTTGATGCCCACCATGCAGTCAGCAGCACAGACTGGTGAGACACAGCTGCTATCATTCATGGGGAACAAGTCTGAATATTATCTTGAGAAAGACTTCCTAAAAGTACCAGGGTGGAGACTAGCCTCCAAATTAAAGGGATATTACCGCATTAAATTAGGTTAGGGTCAAACACACCATAACACCGAGTTAGACACCCCATTGAGAGATGAATGTTGCCCACTGCTTGCTTCTCTAGTTATACCAACTTAAGTAAGGACCACAGATAGCAATACAGAGAGCCAAGCGCTCAGCCAAAACGCCACTATAGCCACAAATAATGCTCAGAACAGCACCTAACTTCATCAACAGTACATAGAGGGTCTTAACCACAGCACTAGCCACCAAACATCTTTTTAGCTTTGCCTGTTTTCTTTAGCAAAGAGACTGAACACAACTCACCTACTCTCTTCCAGCAGCTGCTTGTTTGTAGCGAGACCTCCGAGCAATTCCATCGACTGCTGCGGGGTGTCACAGCTCAAGGAAGAACATTTATGATCATTTCTTCATGGAAATGCAATCAGAAGATGATAAAGTAATGATCATAAATGTTCTTCCTTGAGCTGCGTCACCCCGCAGCAGTCAATGGATTGGCCCAGAGTCTCGCTACAAACAAGCAGCTGCTGGAAGAGAGTAGGTGAGTTGTGTTTAGTCTATTTGCTAAAGAAATCAGGCAAAGTTAAAAAGATGTTTGGTGGCTAGTGCTGTGGCTAGGACCCTATATGTACTGTTGATGAATTTAGGTGCTGTTCTGAGCATTATTTGTGGCTATAGAGTGGCATCTTGGTTGAGCCTGCTGCTCTCTGTATTCCTGTAGTCATTACCAAAGTTGGTATAACTAGAGAAGCAAGCAGTCTGCAACGTTCATCTCTCAACAGGGTGTCTAACTCGGTGTTACAGTGTGTTTGACCCTAACTTGATTTTTCACCAGAATATCCCTTCAAATCTGTTGTGTATCCAACTTACTGACAAATCTGTGAGTGTTGAATTTCCCTCTGTGTTTATGCTGTTCTGTGAGTACATGTGAACTCGATCTGTGTTGCAGGGAGTCCATTTGGCCTGAACAGTAGCGCTGGATTAAGACCACTGAACCTTCTGCAGGTTTGTTTTTACATGTAGCTCTGTCACACACTGTTAGGGGCATGCACTTGGCATTTGTTTGACATAGCGACATACCAGATCCTGCACCTGTGTTACTGTATTTCCCTATACACCTTACCGTATGTGTAGAATACATACATAGGATCTCCAAACTGTAGTGTAGCAACCCTGTGATGTTTGACTGCTTGTTAATCGTCCCCCTCCTCTCCTCTCCTCATCCACTCATTCCTCCCCCCTCTGCCTGTCCCCTCTCCCTTGTTTGTCTCTCCCCACATCTCTTTGGTGGTGTGTGTGTCGTGCGTTTTTGTGTTTTACCCTCCAGATCCCCACCGGTCCTCTCATCTTTAACTCTCTGCAGCAGCAGCAGCTATCTCAGTTCTCGCCACAGCAGAGTCAGTCAGCCACCTCCAGCCCTCAACAGCAGGGGGAGACGGTGAGGCGCACAGTCACTTATGCAACACATGCAAGAATAGCAGGAGGGAAAACATCTGGGATATATGTAATCACATTTGGAAGTGTAGAGCGCTCACAATGCCAGGGTCAGTGAAAGAAAACTGGCAATGTAGCTCGGTTAGGAGGGTAATAAATGAGCAGAGCCACACCGCAGCCAAACTTAAGTCCATCAGAAGTTGTTCCAGTCTTCACTAATTGGCTGTAATTGGCTAAAAGTCAAAAGGGAACTTCCTTGTAATAGATTTTGAAGAGTGTGTGGTCCAACAGAAGAGCTGGGGACAAATGTGACACCGAATCAAGAACTTGACATTTAAGAAGTTTATGAAAATTCCCTGGAAAGAAACTTAATGCATTCGTAAAGATGATCATCGCACACGAGCAAGTTTGATCAAAACAAAAGAAACATTCAGGAACCAACAGCACTGAGATTTTTTTCTGTAACATCTTTAATTTTGACACCACTGCACCACTCAAGGCTTTGTCACTGAAGGAAAAGTATTCATGTCATCAGCTCGCTGCCCGGTGTTACCTTTGACTTTCTTTGCAGGGTGATCAGGGCTCCGATCAAAGTCTAGGAAACCAGCAAACAGCGGTCATCAACCTGGGAGTGGGGAGCTTCATGTCTCCGCAGGCAGCAGGTATGAGCCGTGTACATACACACAAGGACACACTGTGATAGTATGTGTCCCCGCGTGACGCATTTCACATTCGGATCTCCGGAGAGACAATTCTCTTTGCACATCCTCATATCCTAATGAGAAACACTCGACACCATACCACTCACCAATATTAATACCGTAAGATGTACTCATGTGTGTCCATTTGATGGTTTCTGTTCAGTACTGTGACTAAATGATGGTTTAACTGAATTGAGCCGTTGTTCCTCTCAGTGGAGCATGTAACAACTGACAGGAAAGACTCAACCTCCCCTTCTTCTCTGCTACATCCTCTCTTTTTATTTTTCCTCTCTTGTTTTTCCCCCCACCCTGATTTCTTTCCCCCCCTGACCTGTCCTCATTTTCTCCATCTCGACCTGCTGTTTGTCATCTGCACCCTTTTCTTGTTAACTCCATTCTGTCTGTAAAAACATGTCCATACACTCACACACACAAACACACACACAATCTCGACAATGTCCTCTCGTTTCGTCTCTATCATTTCACTTCCTCTCCTTTTGTGTGGCTTTGCATCCCCGTACCTCCTCCTTCAAACTCATCAACGCCTCCCCACACACCTCTCTTTTGCCTGTATGTGCACTTTTCTCTCTTTCTACCTTTCCCTTCCTTCCTTCTTCTTTCTGCTCTGCTCCATCTTCCCATCACATCCCTCCCTCTGGGATTCCCTGTCTCCCTCCTCCCCCCCTTAGTGCTGTCCCAGTTGGGCTGTGGGCTGGACGGGTCTGGGCCCCCGCTGCCTTCTCCAAGGCTTCAGCAGCAGCACCAGCCACAGATCCAAGTAATACAGCAACTTTAACTTCTATACTTACATTTACACATTGACTAAATAGATCTGTGCTAGATTCATCCGCCTACCTTCCAGGCAGATGCTTCAAATGCTGCATATTGAACTGTCACAGAATGAAATCAGATAACTTTGAAAAAGAAAAAAAAAAACATTTCTGTCTTCTAATTTGTGTTTTCATCAGATCTGGATTATTTTAAGTTCATTTCAGAAGAACTGAGATATTTTTAGGAGCTTTAACATGTGGAGTTTGGTGGTGGTCATTTTGGTTAACTTCTACTTTTCCTATTTTAGATCTCTCAATAAACAGTTAAAAATATATTTAAAGGGATATTCCGGGTAAAATAAAGTTAGGGTTAAACACATCGTAACACCAAGTTAGACAACCCGTTGAGAGATGAATGTTGCCGACCGCTTGCTTCTCTAGTTATATCAACTTTAGTAACCTCAATCAAAACGCCACTCTATAGCCACAAATAATACTCATAACAGCACCTAACTTCATCAACAGTACATATAGGGTCCTAACCATAGCACTAGCCACCAAACATCTTCTTAACTTTGCCTAATTTCTTAGGCAAAGAGACTAAACACAACTCACCTACTCTCTTCCAGCAGCCGCTTGTTTGTAGTGAGACCTCAGGCCAGTCCATTACAGACTACAGCGGGGTGACGCAGCTCAAGGAAGAACATTTATGATCATTTCTTCATGGAAATGCAATCAGACCGAGACACTAAGGCAGAAGAACTACTGCATCTGCAGTGTAAAATGATTATTATGGTGATTATTACTTTAAGGATGATAAAGTAATGATCATAATTGTTCTTCCTTGAGCTGCGTCACCCCGCAGCAGTTTTTGGTTTGTTTATGGCTCCTCAGACAGCTGTGTATTGCTATCCTGCGGTCATTACTAAAGTTGGTATAACTAGAGAAGCAAGCAATCGGCAACATTCATCCCTTGGGGCGGGGTCTAACTCGGTGTTACAGTGTGTTTGACCCTAAATCAATTTTACGCCAGAATATCCCTTTAAAATACCCCAATATTATTCATGAAAGACTTTTCTTCTCATGACTAGTTTTAAAAGTTTTAAAGGCAGCATCACCCCAGGTCTGATTTTCATGAAAAACCTGAAAGAGCTCTTCTTTTTCTGTGCTGTGGATCCATTCACTCCATCTTGTGTTGTATGTTTTGTTAAAATGTTGTCTGAAACAGCAGTCCTAGTACTCCTAGCCAAACCTACACACACAAACACAGAGCTTCTGGCACTTCCAGTGGCAGCGACTAACATTATATTGAGCTGGGAGGCATGCTCTTAAATAAGGGACAGGATCTGAAATCTTGTCATCGGGGAACACTCTGTTATTATTGCTGACTGCATCTTGGCAGGTTATAGAGGACAGGCTTTGAGCATGGTAACATCAGGGTTTTTTTTCTTTGTTTTGTTATTTCTTTTTGTTTCCTGCCCAGTTGAAGTTGCTGACTTACTCCAAGCAGAAAGCACGGTTGCTGAGCTGCATGTCTATTGTTGCCAGGATCACAGCCAATTATTTGTGTCTCCAGATCGCCACTGGTGCTGCTTGACTGTATCCTGCCTCACTCCCCAACACACACAAACCCCTGAACCTGACCCACTCCCCACACCAATCTCTATCTCTTCCTTCTTCTCCCTTCCCTCTGCAACCCATTAACCAGTCTTCTGTGTTTCTCCACACATTCCTCCTGTATGTCCGACCAGGCCATAGTCCAGCTTCACTAACACATGCCACTGTAAGACTATTAAAGGCACAAAGCGTCCCGCTGGTAATCCGAGAGATATTTCAGTTTCAGCACCAGGACATGTTGTTTTTACAAGTTGCTTCCTTTATTATCAGATCCACTCAATTATGCATATTATTGGCAGTAATAACATCTCTCTTTTCATCTTTCCTTCCGTTTGGACAGTTGCAATTCTTGCAGCACCAAATGCAGCAGCAGCAGCAAATGGCTATGGGAGCAGCAGCTCCTCAGGGGGGAGCACCTCGGCAACATACCGCCAGCCAACCAAGAAGTAAAAGGAAGAGGAGCCTGCCACAGCCGCTCCCGAAGTCATGACAGACTAGAATCACACTAAAAAAACTTTCCCCCAGCTACACAAGGACGTGAATGATCCATACTGTGCTCTTTGTCTGCCTTACTGTGGAGCCTGCAGACAAAAAAAGGACTTTTTGTCATATTTGTGTCTTTTTTCTAGCTGACAAATTTGTTTGTAATGGTTGCCAGAGGGTTTTGGACAGCCAAAATTATGTCCATCTTTGAGTAGGTGGATTTTAGAGACCTACGCCTAAAGAACCATAGTGATATTTTTTGAGATGAGACAGCAAAGATGGTTCTCGTAGGTAGCAGGCTTTCATAATTACAAATCGCCCTGTCAGGGAGGCTTTTCTCCTCCCTGTGGACTGAGAGGATCGTGAATGCGCAGTCTCAGAGGAGTCTTCATGGGGGGGGGCCTGATCACCCTGCCTCTGCTTGGTTGAACCTGGTAGAAGCTGCTCTTCATGACTGGATCACAGACACCAAATTCTCTACACAAAGCATTTTATGTGAAAATGCAACATCTGATCTTAGAGCAGGGCCTGGGGGCAGCTCTCTACCTCTCAGCCTGATGGAAGTTTTTCTTCCGTCGGCCATCGTGGTCTGACGGAGGGGACTCGAGGTCAACATGCAAGACAGTGTATCTGCTTTTGTACAGCACATTTGGAAAAGGCATTTCCTTTTAATGAGTTCAGGAGCCATGAGAGTATTCTTACGAGACATCAAACGGGTGTGTGTGTGAGACGTTTCTGGACACTGAGAAATAATTTTTTAAGGAGTCTTTGTCAGCAGTTTTATTGTTATTAAAAAAAGAATATATATTGACAGTGGAAAATACAGCTTTTAGATAAAAAAAAGAAAAAAAAAAGCTTTGTCTGAGGCTCTTTATTGTGCTGCCTTCACGCTGTTTATGACTTTGTCAATGAGTTTCTGGATCTCCCTCTGTCGCGTTGCTGCTCTGGTTATGCACTCCTGCAGCTTCTCTCCTGACAGTGATGTCCCTCCTGAAACAACAGAGGGGAAGATCGTGAGCAGTGATGAAAGATGAAACATTAGATGTGGCGGTTTGTTTTGATGCTCACAACTAAGATGTCTAGAAAGAAAACTCCAAAACGGCAAATAACTACATAAAAATCAAAAAGTATCTGCACAACAAAGATGCAAAGAAAACTAAACTTAAATTCATCTGTTTCGTAGTTCAGTATTTTAATATGGTACAATAGCAACGTATTTTACCTTTGACATTAGGAAACAGTCAAGAGAATAACACTTGTGTGTTTTAAATTATTACTTATTACACTGTAGACAAGACTGCACTTAAATAAGGAGAGATTTATTAAGCAAATTAAGTCATATTTGCTGTCATTTAACCTCTGATTCAAAAGTTTTCATATCATTACGCATTTTTTCTGACCTGGTTTGTGTACAGCACAGAGTCGCTCCTCCTCATCTGTCACCACAGTGAGGTGAGCGGTACACAGACTCTCCTCCTCAGACATGGGGTCTACAATCAGGATGGAGCTGCACACAGTGGGTTATAGAGCCATTTGTCAGCCACTCAAACTTTGAAACCATGTTTTCTTCTGGCTTGATAAACTAAAAATCCTGCACTCACTTGTCAAAGATGCAAAAAGAGGCACCGACTGGATGTTTATGAACATGCAGCTCACGTCTCTTCTCTAAATTCACCTCCGGAGAACATGTCTCTGTGTTGATGGTGACTTCTGGGAGTTTCGCTGTAGGGGGGCAGGGAAACTGGCATTCATAAATGCTAAAAGATTAAAGTTTAGGCTTTAAATTATATTCTCATCAGAGGAGAGTAAGAAGCTGTAAAGTAGCACATACTGTTTTTTAAAGCAGCAAGCAAGGCGATGATACATGCATCCAACAAATTTCCATCATAGTCGAGACACATCAGGTCACAGTAGAGCACCCAGCAGAGCTAGAACCAGAATCAAGAGAATCAGGACCAATGACCCAACATTATGAACAGCACCAGTGCAGTCACTGTTATTTTTTTTTATTTTACCTTTCCTCTGTCAATGCATAAGTCCTCTGTCTGTATCACTTCAGAGCTGCAAAAACAGCAAAAAAAAACAGGTTAAGAAAAGCAGGGAGGAGTTTCAAGAGTATCATCAGGTTCCGAAAGAAAAGCTGAAATGTGTTTTTGAGATAGTGACACCTTTCAATGACATCAGCTATAAACTGGCTGGCAGCCTGTGCTTGTTCTCCTGGAGGACCCGGACGAAACCGAGAGGAACACAGAGGTGGGAGGTCCACGTTTGGTACTAACAAGAACAGAAAGTGTCCAGCAGTTAGAGTCCATTTATTTTGTTCACTATTATTTTTGAAGGAAAGGGGTTGATGAGAGTAAACACTGCACAGTAAAAAGACATAGGCCTGAAAATATTACTGAGAGGGTGTTGGATAGGGAAAGCAGAGACTTGACATTATGACATCTTTGTATAGGCTACATGAACACATGAAATATTGCATTTGTTGTCTTCTTTGCCCAGATTTATGTACTTGGTACAACCTACTACACATTTCTAGTATTTCACCAGTTCCCCTTTATATAGGTCAACATGGGTCTTTATAGGTCTTTATATAGTGTCACTTTAACAGCAAAAACATCACAAAACAATGTAACTTAATTTGTATTAAATGATTTAAAGTTCTTTAATTTTAGGAAGGAGTGGGGAAGGTTTAATCCTAACCCAAAGTGCGTGTTTGAAAACCAAGAGTTGTACTTACCTATGTAACCTTTACCTGGTGCCTCAACTGTAGGGTTCGCCAATTCCTGCAGATGAAGACACATGAAAATTCAGTTGTTTATGTAGTGTTTACCACCTGAAGGTTTAAAAGGATTTTCCCGCGTAAAATGAAGTTAGGGTCAAACCATAGACTGTATATACTATGGACAACCTGATTCCGCCTTCCGCCTGTATACGGATTTGAAGCCAAAAAGCTCTCTGTAATTCCGGGTTTTTCTCCACTTCCTCGAAACCAGAGCTGCGCAACAGCGATGCACGCATTCGGCCGCGCAGTCGCCGAGAGTCCCTGTGATGACGCTCGGCTCAAACAGCGTATCCCCCCCGGGTGAGCTACGCAATCCCTGAACGCCCATAGGCTGTACCAGGTGTCAATCATAGAAAACATGAACCCCCTAATAACTTTTAAAAACAGAGCTGTACAGAAAAAAAAGGACTTGGGCACAAACCAGTCTGACAGTAACTACATGTCAACATCACAAGCAGGGGGGAGAAACATTTATGTTCTGTGTAATAAATTTCTAAAGTTTGTCCACAGTCCCATAAGCTTTGCTGGTGGAGGCGGGATTTATGACCTGTACTGCAGCCCACCATCAGAGGGTGCTGTTCTCGGAGTGGCTTCACCCAGCGAGGAGGCAGACTCTGTCCATCTTATATACAGTCTATGGGTCAAACACACCGAAACACTGAGTTAGGCACCCCGTTGAGAGATGAATGTTGCCAACCGCTTGATTCTCAAGTCATACCAACTTTAGTTATGGCCGCAGATAGCAATACACAGAGCCACACGCTCAACCAAAACGCCACTCTATAGCCACAAATAATGCTCAGAACAGCACCTAACTTCATCAACAGTACATATAGGGTCCCAGCCACAGCACTAGCCACCAAACATCTTTTTAACTCAGCCTAGTTCTTTAGCAAATAGACTAAACACAACTCATCCACACTCTTCCAGCAGCCGCTTGTTTGTAGCGAGACCTTGTGCCAGTCCATTACGGACTACAGTGGGGTGACGCAGCTCAAGGAAGAACATTTATGATTATGATGGCTGAGCACGTGGCTCTCTGTCTTGCTATCATACGATTCTTACTAAAGTTGGTATAACTATAGAAGCAAGCGGTCGACAACATTCATCTCTGGAGGGGGTGTCTATCTCTGTGTTAAGGTGTGTTTGACCCTAACTTAATTTTACGCCGGAATATCCCTTTAAATCCCTGTGTTCACAGCCATTTACCGCTTTAATCCCGCAGATGACTGTTGTATTTCCGAGTTTAACCAGGGCGGAACCGTCTGCTGTGGATATGGACCCTAAACACAGAAAACAGAAAAAATAGCTGAGGTGAGAGACGAAAATGTGAAATTAACTTATGAACACTTTATTAACGAGCCTGTGCTTTTTCCTCACCAATGTTTAGTGTTGTTGTTCTAAATTCAGACAGCTCCCGTCCATCATGTCGACAATTTTCCTTCTGAAAAGTGCGAAAGTTACATCACTTCTATGAAAATAACGAATCACAGCTGTCACATTGCAAAAACAGCTCTGGTTAATGTTGTGACGAGATTAAGGTCGTTTGAAACTCACCAGATAGCTTCTGTGGTACTCCAGAGGCTCAGCAGTCCTGACAGTGTGTAGAAAAAGAGGGAAAGAAAGGCATTTTCGTGGATTAAAGCTGTCACAGACACATTTTACCTTATATCTCATCTCCTACAATCACAGTTAGTCATGTCACGAATAAGAAATACACAAATCAGCCGATTTACGTTTATTTTTGCTATAAACGGATCTAATTCTGGTCATACGATAAACTGGCTTCAGAAAATAGGATACGACACGTGAAAGGTATTATTTTACACATTTTAGCAACAGTTCATTCTTACTTGAAACCAGCCGCCATGATGTTTTGGTTGACCACGTGGGTTTGGTGTAAGCGCTACGGTAGCCGATAGGAGGAGGCTGACCTGAGACACATGTGGTGTTGAAACGCGGGTAAATGAGCTCCCACCTTGTTTCTGTAAAAAAATAACGACATGTGTTTTGGAAGGTCTTATAATTTTTTGTCTGTGTTTTTCTTTCATTCCTTGTCAAATATTTTACCCTTCATGTTTTGGTGGATTTTTTCCCCTAAATTCCACAGTAGATACAGACGTAGGAAATTATTACAATGCTGGGGTCATCTACCTTTAGAATCAGTTGACAAACTTCAAGGGAGATCAAATCTGACCTCTAGGGGGCGGTCCAAAGTTGGCAACTTTGACATGATCCACTCCATGCAAATTCCAATTATCTGAGTCAATTTTTACCAAAATTCCACAGTAGATAGAGACATGTAGGGTATCATAACAATTCTGGGGTCATTTACTTTAAGAATCAGTTGACAAAGTTCAAGGGAAACCGTATCTGACAGATAGGGGGCAGTCCAGATTATAGGAATCTGCAGAATGTGAATGTTGTAGTTCCCAACTTTGGACTTCCCCCTAGTGGTCAGGTTTGATTTCCTGTAAAATTTTTCAACTAATTCTGAAAGTAGACGACCCCAGCATTGCAATGATACTCTACATGTCAATATCTACTGTGGAATTTGAAAATGGTAATTCACACTAAGTGGATGTCAAAGTTGCCAACTTTGGACTGCTCCCTAGAGGTCAGATGACCATGCCGATTGGCAGTCTAGTCTCAAACTTTAGGGTTAGGGGCCTCTTTATATGGCTTCTTTATATGGCATTTTTAATACTTTAAATTAGTCTCTGTAATATAAAGGACACTACGGTTTAGAGCAGTAATACAGTCGGTGGGTTGTTATGGTCCCTCCCACCCCTGTCCACTAGAGGGCAGTGTCTTTGTCGCCGTGGACAGTCTTGGGGTTCCCGTCTTCTCTTCCCTCAAACTGATGATGTGTCGAGAACCAATCTGTCACTTCCGCATCGCCGTTGTGTTCAGTTGTGATTGGAAGTAAACTGACTACAGAGTGATGGAAAAAGGGGGCTCTAGTTAACTTCATTTACCTGTAAACTACATCACTGGGTTGTTTTGTCTTGAATGTTTTTGGAGGTTACAGTACCGGCTACAATATAAGAAAGTAAAACACAGAGAGAGATAGACAGCTAGCTGTGCAGCTAGTCTGCTGGTCTGTCAGGGTCTGCAGCTTTTTACTGTTGAAGATGGATTTCCTCTGCGGGATAGTACAAGCTTTGGTTGCACTGGCAGCTTTTGGTCTCATTATGGTAAGAAGCTTCAATTTTGTGTCATATTATATAAGATCACATACTCATCTCTGTGTGTTTTAACCCACAGAATTGGACAGATATTCTTAAAAGCACCAAAAGCTTAAACAATTCACTCATAAAGTACATTTATTTACAGGTGTGCTCTTTGTGGGGGGGATTTACAGCAGTGGATATAAGAGCAAACACATTTCTTTAGTTGTCATGATGTAGATACAGAGACCACACCAATAAATCATACATACAGTCAAACACTAAAAAAACAAAAGGCCATTAAACACTTGATCAGTTGCTGTTTATTCCAGTTTCAGATTGGATCTTGTACCTTAAATCTTTTGGTCATTCTACCTTCAATCGTGTCTCGGTTTATTTGTATTTTATTTTATTTCTTAACATTTTATTCTATAACAAAAATACAATTTCAAACATAGCAGAACCAGTTCAATACAGTAATTTCAACATTAAAATAACATATCACTGAGAAATACTAAACAATATGAGAAACCACAATGCTTGTTTAGACATGGGGAAAAAACAGTAGAGCAGTAAAATAAAGTAGATAGTGAAGAACAACAAGCAAACAGAAACATCAAAGTAACTTAAAATAAATAAAATAATTTATGCTATGCAAAACTTTTTAAGGGTTTTCTTTCCTTTTTCAAACAAACCATTCTTGAAGTTATCATGTAACTTTTGTTCCTTCAAACCAGTTTACATTTTAAGAGATTTCAAATACATTTTAAATTCGTTCATGAAAACAATAAATCTGGAGGATGATCCCATAACTGTTTTCTTTTGGATGAAATATTTGGCAAGACATAAGATTACAATGCTACAGAGTTCATCAATTTTATTTGATGGTATCATTCCAAAAGTAACATTATCTAGAGAATTACATTGTTGAAATACTGTAATTTTTTTGTTTAATCCATTTGTAAATGTTAACTCAGAATGTTTGTGTTATGTTACATGAGAAAAATATATGCTCCGTTGTTTCAGTATCATTTTCACAAAAAGTGCACATGCTGTCTTCTATATTAAATCGCAGTCTAAGTAGTTCCTTTGAAGGATAGATGTTCATAATTTTAAAGTGGGTTTCTTTTGTTTTTGTCTTGGTTTGTTCTTTTGACATTGTTTTACTTCCTTTAACCTATAGGCGGATTGAACCTTTTTGAGTTGTTTTATTTCTTATTGTCTTGGTGGTCATTTAGTTTTATTTTCCTCAGTTTTTTTTTTTCATCTAGCTCTAGTTTTTTTTTTTTCTTAAATTCATTTTTTTTTTTAAGTTCTAATATTTTAGCCATTGTCTTCCACACATTTTTTCTTATATTTCTTTCTTTCTTTTATTATTATTATGTTTTGTTTTGTTTTTCATTTTAAAATTTCAATATCATAAAAACAGGCAGAAATAGACCACAAATACAATCAACAACAGGGACGATTACATATCCACACACATATCAGAGCTATTTATACCTTTGTGAGAATAGATGAGTTTGGGGTTAAATTAGGATGTAGAGATATTTGTCCTAATGTAGTTCACCTTTCACAAAGCGTTTGTTGATTCATCTTTGAAACAGAGTCATTCCTTCTTACAAAAATGAGAAGTTAAGAAGTGCCTTAGAGCAAGAGTGACAAGAGAAGCATTCTCATATTTCTGTCTTTTCAGGCGTTCATTGTAGCTCATGTAACTGCAAAGATGGTGAACCTGACCCGCCATGAAAAAGAGAAATATTTCCTCACGGTCACAGGAGAGAAAGAGCTTTTCCCCAGCCTGCACGATCCCAACTCCAGGGAGCTCTCAGTGGTGATCCCAGCCTACAATGAGGAGCTCCGAAGTGAGTGTTTTACGGGCACACACCTGTCTGTCAGGGATGTCGACACAGTGCTTGTGCTGATTTCTTTTCCAGCGTTGTTTGAGTTTAGGAACATCAGACTGTAAACTGCCTTCTTAAAGCGCCTGAGAAAGAACTTTATTAGTTTATCACACTGCACAATACATTTATAACTGCAAGAATGTATTTGATGACCCAGCTGCACAGCTGCTAATAAGTGTGTGACTATGTCTATGCAGTGCCCGTTATGCTGGATGAAGCTATGGAGTACCTGGAGAACAGACGGGTAAGAAATAAATCTATTTATGTAAGTATTAAATATAGATATCTATGATTTAATCGATTATTTAATGAGAAAATCATTTAATTGTCCTCTAAAAGACAAAGCAAAATAAACTGGACTTCAGGCTTGACAAGTTACTCTCCATTTTGCCAGTAGATGGCGACATTCAACTAAAAAAGTTCTTAGTGAAACATGTTCCTCCTGTTTTTTCTCGTCCTGCAGAGAGGGCGTCCCTCTTTCACCTATGAGGTCATTGTGGTTGATGATGGCAGCAAAGACAAAACCACAGAGGTGATCCTTGAAAATCTTTTTTTGTAGCAGCATGTTACCAAGTGTTGATTTTGCTCTGCTTTGTTTGAGAGTATTACCAATATTTACTTGTGGTGTTCTGCCAGGTTGCTATGCGGTACACGAGGAAGTATGGCGCCGATAAAGTGCGAGTCCTGACACTAGTGAAAAACAGAGGGAAAGGAGGCGCCGTGAGGATGGTGAGTGGGAGGCTAGCAAACTGTGACGCGTGTGAATGCTGCACAAAAACATCATATGATAATGACTTTGTGTTTTTCTGTCTCTCTAAAGGGGACTCTGAGCTCCAGAGGTAAAGTCATTCTGATGGCAGATGCAGATGGAGCCACAAAGTTTTCAGATCTTGACAAAGTAGAAGCAGCACTGAATGACCTCAGCCCTAAACCGGTGCAAACACATTCACTGATTTTCGTTATTTTTACACATGCTTGTCTTAAGAGACTGCTGTTGATGTAGTCCCTTAAAATCAACATGCCTTTCTATCCATTTAGGAGAACATGGGCATTTCCTGCGGTTCCAGAGCTCATCTGGAGAAAGATTCAGTAGCTCAGGTAAATATCTGTTTAGAAACCACAGTGCTGTAGTTTTTCTCAGTCTAACCACAAACTAACCCCCTGTGTTGTGTCTCTTTTAGCGATCCATGTTTCGCACCTTCCTGATGTACGGTTTTCACTTCCTGGTGTGGTTCTTTTGTGTGAGGGGGATAAAGGACACACAGTGCGGATTCAAACTTTTTACACGTGAAGCTGCTCTTAAAACCTTCTCCTCCCTCCATGTAGAGCGATGGTATGGACTAGCACTTGACCTCGCAATCACTTTGAAAAGCCTCTGCTAAATGACATTGCAACCACTGTGCATGAAGTTTAAGGTAACATAGTTCAGACATTACTGTTTTATTAAAAAAGGATTGATTTAAAAAGGCTTTCTCAGTCAAACAAGTGCAGACATGATAGATAAATAATAGCCTCTATGTTGTTTAACATGTATGACAAATTACACTTAAAGTGATGCTGAAGCTTTACATTGACTGAAGGAAGGTGTCCAATTGATGATCCTTGGGCACTAACCAATCTAAAGCAGATCATCATTAACAAATAATTTTTCAAATCTAGCCAGACTCTTAAAAGGATTTTCTGGCGTAAAATTAATTTAGGGTCAAACACACCATAACGCCCAGTTAGACACCTCCTCAGGGGATGAATGTTGCCAACCGCTTGCTTCTCTAGTTATACCAACTTTAGTAACGTCCGCACGATAGCAATACACAGCGGTCTGAGGAGCCATAAACAAACCTCAACCAAAAAAGCCACAAATAATGCTCAGAACAGCACCTAACTTCATCAACAGTACATATAGGGTCCCAGCCACAGCACTAGCCACCAAACATCTTTTTAACTTTGCCTGATTACTTTAGCAAAGAGACCTAACACAACTCACCTCCTCTCTTCCAGCAGCCGTTTATTTGTAGAGACGGGGTGACGCAGCTCAAGGAAGACAATTATGATCATTACTTCATGGAAATGCAATCAGACCGAGACGCTAAGGCAGAAGAACTACCGCGTCTGCAGTGCAAAATGATTATTATGATGACTATTACTTAAAGGAAATGATAAAGAAATTATCATAAATGTTCTTCCTTGGGCTGTGTCACCCCGCAGCAGTCTGTAATGGACTAGCCTGAGGTCTTGCTACAAACAAGCGGCTGCTGGAAGAGAGTAGGTGAGTTGTGTTTAGCCTCTTTGCTAAAGAAATAAGGCAAAGCTAAAATCATGTTTGGTGGCTAGTACTATGGCTGGGACCCTGTACTGTTGATGAAGTTAGGTGCTGTTCTGAGCATTATTTGTGGCTATAAAGTGGCGTTTTGGTTGAGGTTTGTTTATGGTTCCTCAGATCGCTGTGTATTGCTATCCTGTTACTAAAGTTGGTATAACTAGAGAAGCAAGCGGTCAGCAACATTCATCTCTCGAGGGGGTGTCTAACTTGGTGTTACGGTGGGTTTGACCCTAAATTAATTTTACGCCGGAATATCCCTTTAATGCCAGGTTTTAGTTAGTGACAGTGTTCAATATTTGTTGCTGTGGAAACGTTTGGATCGGTACCAAATATGTATTGATTTTCCATCCCATGCCCTTAATACCAGATCACTGTGTTATTTTGTAGCTGCAATGACACATGAATGTTGATGCAACCTTTGAACATCTGCTCTTCACATCTATCACAGGGCTTTTGATGTGGAGCTTCTGTATATCGCCCAGTGTTTCAAAATCCCCATAGCAGAAGTTGCTGTCAACTGGACTGAAATAGAAGGTAGGTTTTTTTTTCTTCCATCGAATATGTGGATTTGTTTGCTCGTACAGTACAGCCTGTACTGTGTGGCTTAATTTTGAACCCTATTGTTTGTGAATGTAATTGTATTGTGGATACGTAAAGGTGTTTATATTTGAGGGAAACATATGTTGTGATCCAGTCACATGAACTTCTTTATAAGATTATAAAAATCTTGTTCATATCCTCTACCAGGGTCCAAGCTGATCCCGTTTTGGAGCTGGCTGCAGATGGGAATAGACCTGGTTTTCATTCGCCTGCGCTACATCACAGGGGCCTGGAAGCTGCAGTCGCCACAAAAGACTGACTAGCCAATCAGATGAGCCCTGGCATCATAGCAGCAGCCTATGATAGGGCAGTCAAACATTTGTATGAGGTGGGATTAACAACTGTTCATCAGTCAGAGAAAAGTGCAGTATTTCACATCCTTCCTCACTGCAGATTTGATCAGACTTGAAGTAATGACACGGTTGTGAGTTCCCGCCATCCTGCCTTTCAAAAAAAATCCAGATTGGCTTGTGATGGCCGTTGTTACATGCCCAGTTCTGTTGCAACGGATACAGAATGTCTGGAAGACTGAACCTTGTACTGAGTTACTTTTTTTTATTATTTTGTGGCCAATCAGCTGTAAGTGAGGGAAAACATGTACTGAAATGTGAAGGATCACAGGTAGAATGAATGTTGTTTGTGAGATTGGAGGGGTTGTATATTTTGGGGGGACATGGCTCTGGGTCAGCGGACCTGATGACTTGAACAAAATAAAATAATTTCAGTGATTTATGATTTCAGTATACTGTTGCTGATTCTAACCGCATTGTGTCAATCAAAGGTCATACAAATATCAAATCTGTATTGATCAAGCATCAATTTATCAACCCTTATTTTAAACAAAAACACCCAACATGTCCAAATACATTACTGTTTGTCTTTTCTTCTTGTGTACTAAATAATGATAGTTATTTATATTATAAGGACACTTAAAGGGATGTTCAGGCATAAAATTAATTTAAGGTCAAACACACCAAAATGCAGAGATAGACACCCCCTCGAGAGATGAATGTTGCCAAACCGCTTGCTTCTCTAGTTATACCAACTTAAGTAACGACTGCAGGATAGCAATACACAAGGACTGCTGCGGGGTGACGCAGCTCAAGGAAGAACATTTATGATCATTTCTTTATCATTTCCTTGAAGTAATAATCACCATATTAATCATTTTGCAGACACGGTAGTTCTTCTGCCTTAGTGTCTCGGTCTGATTGCACTTCCGTGAAGAAATGATCATAAATGTTCTTCCTTGAGCTGCATCACCAGCAGCGGTCCGTAATAGACTGGCCCAAGGTCTCGTTACAAACAAGCGGCTGCTGGAAGAGAGTAGGTGAGTTGTGTTTAGTCTCTTCGCTAAAGAAATTAGGCAAAGCTAAAAAGATTTTTGGTGGCTAGTGCTGTGGCTAGGACCCTATATGTACTGTTGATGAAGTTAGGTGCTGTTCTGAGCGTTATTTGTGGCTATAGAGTGGCGTTTTGGTTGAGGTTTGTTTATGGCTCCTCAGACCGCTGTGTATTGCTATCCTGTGGTCGTTACTAAAGTTGGTATAACTAGGTAAGCAAGCGGTCAGCAACATTCATCTCTTGAGGGGGTGTCTAATTCGGTGTTTCAGTGTGTTTGACCTTAAATTAATTTTACGCCAGAATATCCCTTTAAAGCAAAAGTTCTTGAAATCTCTCTGTATATCATACTGTTCAGTGTGATCTTACTTATATATTGTTACATAATATTCATAGAAATCATCAGGCTTTACCAACAAGCTCAGGCTGGAAAATGATCATTTGGATCCTAAACTATCAGTGATATCAACATAAGGAAATTTTATGAGTGCATTATCAGTATTTTTGTCATTTATTAACAACACTTAGAATTAACAGCATTAATAACGTCAAATCATCCTTGTGCCAGAACAGTGTAGAAGCCCTCCTGTAAAGTGTCTTGCAAGTCTTTCTTTTGTTTTTTTCTTTTCCGTTGCAGTCAGACTTCATACTGCTATTGTCTGATACAACCCTCTGGTCTGGGACTGATGCTGGTGTCTGTGGCCTCTTGAAGCCCCAGGGAGGGCATCCTGTCTGTGAATCATAATGTGACTGCTCCTTTTCTCATTTCCTGTCCCAAAATTCAGATCTTAAGAAAAAAAAAGTGAATGGGGTGGCATCTTAATCATCTAAGTCCAATTAATTCATAGAGGAAGTGGCCTAGAAGCTTTCCTAAGTTTCTGTGATGCCTAAATTATAATTCCAAGACTAGAGCCTGAATCATCCCTCTCATATTTGACGCCGGAAGCGTATGGACGTGGTTATTATCCTTTCTCTTGGACTGATCTTTCAAACTCTGAAGCGTCCCTCTCATCACCTCTGTAAACTGGAAGACTGTCTAAATTGGACCCCCACCTATTTGTGGCGCACCGGCACTTTCTCCTAGTGGTGCTTTCTGCTGATGCACCTGGTGGCGGAAATAAAAAAAGAAAAATGATGATCTTTTTTTTTTGACAGGAGGATCCTCAGAAAGGTTTCACTCGGTTGGAGTATTGTTACGCTCCACAGCAGTAAACTGAAAATGTCAAACTTGTAGACTCGCTGTCGCCAGCCGGGTTTGCGTCATTAACTGGACCAGTCAAGGCACTCCCGATGAAGAATGGTGTCCATCCGCAATGAAAAAAAATACCCCTGTGTCGCTCCACATAGCAGATGATGAAGCAACTTCAGTCTCAGGCGGAGGACAAGGGCTGTTTTTTTCTCTGCAGGGTTGAATGTCTCCCCTCCATCCTTAGGCTACAGATGCAATGAGTGCGCGTGTGCACGTGGATAAAATGCGGATAATTAACCCATATGAGAATTACCAGGCTCCATATTATGAGTATAGTGTGTACCATTATATGAAAACATGAAATGGCTGTAAAGGCTACCATGTTGCACCAGGCTCTTCTCAGGTATGATTGAAGTTGACTCAACTCTGGCAAAAAGTAGATTGATATTAACACAGAAATACTTAAAATGTACATTTGTAAGACATATCTTGAGTATTACATAGAAATATCGCAAAAACTCTGTTCAACGCTGTTAAAACGTTGTAAAGCGATATAATGTTTGTTTTACGTGCATCGTTTCATTCAGGACTGAAGGAAAAACGACCAACAGGTGTGTCTGTTTCTCCTCCCGGCTTCCGTCAGTCGGACCCAGCTCTTCTCGCCTGACTGGCAGACCAGACACGGCTCAGGTGGGACCCAGCTGACGTGCACGCGCGTACACGCACACCTGCATCTGAAGGGCCTGACTGACTGAAATCCCTGAAATCCTGCTGAAGTTCCAGGAGAGAGGGAGAGAGAGAGAGAGAGAGCGGGAGGCGGAGGGATCTCACATGCAGGCGCTGCGGTTCCAGCCAGGCTGACGCCGCTGAGGCTGTGTGGCGCTCGGCTGGAGGAGCGGAGGCTCCGGGGCTCGTCAAACCTGCGTCAAGTTTCACGTAGGGTTAAAGAACGAACCCGGATACGAGTTTGACTGCGCCTTCACAATAAAAGCGGAGACTTTAGTATCCCAAATAGGGGAGAGTGGGGTAAGTTGAGCCACCCTCTGTTACTTGGAAATGGTAAAAGAAATTGATCATGTGACCAAATACTTAGGAGATGGGCATCAATTCATGATTCATGATCATTCAATTATTCGGTCCTGGTGTGTCAGTACCATAGACTGTCTATAGAATGGACAGCGTCTGCCTCCTCGCTGGGTGAAGCCACTCCGAGAACAGCACCCTCTGTTGGTGGGCTGCAGTATAGGTCATAAATCCCGCCTCCGCCAGCGAAGCTTATGGAGCTGTGGACAATCTTTAGAAATTTATTACACAGAACACAATTTTTTCTCCCCCCTGGTTGTGATGTTGACATGTAGTTGCTGTCAGACTGGTTTGTGCTCAAGTCCTTTTTTTCTGTGCAGCAACGTTTTTTAAAGTTATTAGGGGGGTTCATGTTTTCTATGATTGACACCTGATACAGCCTATGGGCGTTCAGGGATGGCGTAGCTCTCCCGGGGGATACGCTTTTTGAGCCGAGCGTCATCACAGTGACTCTCGGCGACTGCGCAGCCGAATGCGCGCATCGCCACTGCGCAGCACTGGTTTCAGGAAATGAAGAAAAGTCCCGGAAATACCGAGAGCTTTTTGGCTTCAAATCTGTATACAGACGGTAGGCGGAACCAAGTTGTCCAGAGTATATACAGTCAATGGTCAGTACCTTAAGAATGACAATTTGGCAGGAAATTTTCTTGGGGATGACACCTTGCGTCGCATACGTTTTCCAAACGCTTTATTTTGAAGCTCAAAACCGGATGCAGTCTGTATCGACTCCGACTCTACACCTCAGCGCCAACACACGCTCGCAGACACAACTCACACGCATACAAATAGACACACACCTTCGGTAATTCAGTGAGCTGGCTTGAAACTCCACAGACACGCACGAGACTGTCTGCGATGCACTTGTTATGACCACAGAGGTGAGAAAATAAGCACTTTTTACTCCCAGAAATTTCTATCTTTTTGTGTCTAATGCTAGGGGTGGATTTATAGCTGTATTTATTAAACAATTTCAGGAAGTTGTTTCATTCTCGTAAAATCAAGCCGAATGCGGGTTTTGGGAACTTTTTAGGCGCAGTCTATTTATTTCACCGCTTAAATATAGTCATGTACGAGTTTAGTTCATCAGGATGCAGCCTCATTATAAACACCATGGAAACCATAGAATTATCAATTAATGGATCTACTTAACAAACCTAAACTTAATGTCTCTTAAAAGTAACAAGAGTGCGCTAAATGTCGTTGTCTGACATTTTTTCACTCATGTTTACATCGACATGTTGTTACATGAAGAAGATAAAGATTGAAATGATAAGTTTGTGGTGACACACCGTTTCTCTTCGTGGTTTGTATTGACGGGTTTGAGCACAGCCCGGGTTTTGTATGGGCTCAATGACTCGCAGTTGTAGTAGTAAAAGGAAGCTGGCGTGTTTACTTTTTTGGGCAGGGGTGTCCTGGTGATAAAGTATTAGGTAATTAGCCTATCTGAGTCTGCAGACTGGGTGACGCCAGTCTCCATAATAAAGCAGCAGCAGCAGCAGCGGTGGACTGATGCCGCATTGAGCTCGTGCGCGTTTGCTGTCATTGTAAACCTCAGCTGTCTGCTCGTGTGCGGGAAACCGGGGTCGTCCGCGTGGGACAGAATTAGGCATGCTGATTCACTCTACTTTTGACATGTCTGTATTGTTGAAGACATCTGATTTTATATTGACTTGTTGTGGAGCTACTGTAGAATTAAAGGACAGAATCAGACACGTGGGCATTTTTCTCCTCAAACTACTTCCAGTATATTCCACTTTAATTTTCTATCATGTCACGTTCATCCACGTGAGTTAAAGGAGGTAAAGCACTAAAACTTAATAGATTCTGACTTGGTTGAATTTATATAAAAAAGGAAACATTCTGTTTTAGTGCTGCAGCTATGCCTATTACATGTCACCCAGTAATGACCAGGACCACTTTGATGTGGTGAAGTCACATTTTACTGTTTTTTAATCCAACACCTTGTTTTGAGAACAGCAGAATAAGACAGGCAGCTCTCTCTCTCTCTCTCTCTCTCTCTCTCCTGCTGTCTGCTTCCCTCTCTCCCTCCCTCCCTCCCTCTCCCCCTCCTGTCCTGTGATGTGTTCTGGCCAGACAGTATGGCTCCTGGGCGTCAGTGGCATGATCATAGAAACAGAGGCCAGAGAGGACATTCCTCATTGTTGGTGAATCTAGAAATGAGCTCTGCCATCTTGCTGAGCTCTTTCAGAGACACTTTTGTGACTCTTTATTTTCTCCATAGAAAATAATACCTTGGTAGTTGAAAGTTATCAGTATCCCTCTGACTATTATGATAGAAATCCACTCCCCATGCCAGGATTGTGAGGTATGAGAAGGTTTTGTTTTGTTTATTGTTCTGTTTAACTCCAGACCAGCTTATCATTTTATCAACTATGACTTAATTCCCTGTAAAATTGAATCTTTGAAGTATCCTTTGTTCTCAAACGATGAAGTCTTTTCCTCTCCTCCTGCTTCAGCAAAATTAGCAGCTAATACTATCTCTCACTTCTCTTGCCAGATGATTGAAACTTGACCTGGATATCCGACTGTGCGAGGAATAACCTTCCCAGCAGGAGGCTTTGAATCCTGAGCTGTCAGATCTAACCTGTGCCAACACTGAGAGGAGAGACTTAAAAGGGTTTACTGAACAAATGCTACGAAACTGTACCTAACAGCACTAAACCAAAGTACCAGGGTTCAAGTACACCACCAGTGCAGCCAGGAAGTACCAGAGGAGTACAACAAAAACAAACTCTGTTTACACAGACTCGTCACACTGCTTCTTTTATCCTACCTCTGCCCTGGCTTCTCATTATCAGTCTCCACGCTTCGGCCCTCGAGGGAACTTTTACCCCCTTTAACAGCAGCATCCATCAGCTCATCACGCCGCCCATTTATCCATCTCATAATGAACTCGTCTGCCTCCATTACCTCCCTCTTCTCCTTCACCAGTCCAGCTGTGAAGCGCCTTCTGGGCTGGAAACAAGGAGACGAGGAGGAAAAGTGGGCAGAAAAGGCGGTTGACTCTCTGGTGAAGAAACTAAAGAAGAAGAAAGGGGCGATGGAGGAGCTGGAGAGAGCCCTCAGCTGCCCTGGACAACCAAGTGAGTATGACACTGTCCAAGATAATGTAATAACACTGTGCAGTCATTTCCAGTGACAAGATTGTAGGGCTACACTGAGCGACTTTAGAAAGTTCGTACAATAAACACAATCTGTGCAGCCGTACTGAGGGCTTTATTGTATATTTCTCTGTTAGGTAAGTGTGTAACGATTCCTCGCTCGCTGGACGGGAGGCTGCAGGTGTCACACAGGAAGGGTCTGCCTCATGTGATCTACTGCAGGGTGTGGCGCTGGCCTGACCTGCAGTCTCACCACGAGCTGAAAGCCCTGGAGTGCTGCGAGTTTCCCTTCGGCTCCAAGCAGAAGGACATCTGTGTCAACCCGTACCACTACAGACGCGTAGAGACTCCAGGTACAAATGTAATCAGGGAACATCTTCTGAATTAGCTGTAAAAAAAATGAGGTTATTGTTGGACTTTAATATCATAATGGTAAAGCCTTTGTGAGCTGCAGGACATCTGATCTAATGCAGTGTTCCTGAGTCAAAGGATTGTCAGTAATATGATCTTTTCCAGTAGCATCTGGTTCTGGCTCTGTCTTTGTCTACCTTTGTCTTCTCTTTTTTTTTTGTCCGCTCTCAGTGCTGCCACCTGTTCTGGTCCCTCGTCACAGCGAGTTCAACCCTCAACACAGTCTGCTGGCCAAGTTTAGGAACGCCTCCCTTCACAACGAGCCTCTCATGCCCCAGAACGCTACCTACCCGGACTCCTTCCCTCCGCTGCCCTGCTCCTCCTTCTCCTCCTCCTCCCCTTCCTCCTCCCTCACCCAGTCTCCCACCTCACAGAGTTACCCCAACTCCCCCAACAGCTCTGCAGAGCCTGGTAGTCCTTATCACATCGCAGGTAGGAATCGAAGAGAGCAGGCTGATACTTCTATTATTGTTGGGCTATATTACAAGAGGAACTAGAGAAGCACTCGGAGAGCGCAGACCTCCGCCAAGCAGCTCATGTCCCCCCCTTATATTGTGATTCACACCAAAACTTTTAGTGTTACTTGTCTTTTATTAACTTTAATTTGTGTTTAAACTGGTGTGTTCACTGTTCATAATGTTCCTAAAACAACAAAGCTCATATTAGATACATAAATGCATGATTTATTATGCAATATTTGTAAGCGTACACTTCCTTGTATCTTCATTGGTTATCTTTCAGCATTGAAAATTCCAACGACGCCCTTATTTTTGTGTGTTCAGGATCAACCTTTGACACCTCATAAAACTCATTGAGATCCTTTTGTGTAATTTTTCACTGAAGACTCTGGCCATTTTTATGGAGTTAAAAGCAAAAATTCCAAAATTTGCCCTATCTCACAATGATAAAGAATCCTTCAAAAAATTCCTGGATCCAGAAGGCGATCTGGATCTCCACCAAAATGTAATGGGATCCTCCTGGGGCTGAGACGCACCTCTGGTGAAAATTTTAGGTCAATCCGTCTGTAACTTTCTTCGTAAAGTTGCCAACAGACAAACAAACAAACAAACGCTACCAAAAACATAATCTCCTTGGCGGAGGTAATTACAGAAAAATCCTGCAGCTGTCACAGAGAAAAGCACCATTTTATATTTAGGGTTAGAGTAAAATGTTTCTCTATGCTCCAAATCAAACAAAACCAGAAACACATTGCACACATTGCCTGCATATTCCATCCGTTATATAATATGATGTGCTTTTTCCAGCTGAGACCCCCCCTCCTCCATACAGCATGATGGAGACAAGCCCACAAGAAGACGTGAAGCCCACCAACTCAACAGAAAACATCAAACTCACATTTTCTGCCCCACACAGAGGTAACTAGACTTTACACCTGATGCAGACGGTAGAATCGCGAGTTAATATTTGACAATAAAGACTAAATCTGATTACACTGCTCTTATAGAGGCAACATCAATTTTGAAAATATACATTAGCCCAGTTAATGTGATTCTATCAGGTATGATTTTTAGTGCCATTTTGTTGAAAGAGAAATACAATAGTAAGGTTAGGACAGATATTATAACATTTAAGAACGAAAAATATGCACAGCAGTAGATGATAGAAAAAAAGAGGCTAGATTTGGGTGAGAAGTGAGCCACAATAAACACCCAGCTCTCCCACAGAAGAGTTTACAGAGAACCACAGAGGAGGAAAATGAAGAAAGGGGGACTCTTAACCACAACACTTTTACACTGTGCAGTTAAGTCCATATTGGTTAACCATAAACACAAAATAACACTAGATAAAGATACATAAGACCCTGATACATGTGTGGTATTACTGTGTTAACAGGTAAGAGGTTAGATAATGTAATATGTTTTAAATGCACCTTTTTCTATATACTTGGTTAGATTTACGGCCAGTATGTTACGAGGAACCGGAGCACTGGTGTTCCATAGCGTACTACGAGCTCAACAACCGGGTGGGCGAGACTTTCCACGCGTCGTCCCGCAGCGTCTTGGTGGACGGTTTCACAGACCCGTCCAACAACAAGAACCGCTTTTGCCTTGGCCTGCTGTCCAACGTGAACCGCAACTCCACCATCGAACACACACGCAGGCACATAGGCAAAGGTAGGTTGATGACAGAGACAGATCAGAACAGACTGTTTTTTTGAGGTTTCCAGTATGAATTTCTCTTTTCATGCAATTAGTGCAAGTTTTCTCTCTTGAACCTCTTTCATTTCAAAGATTTCCATTGTGTGTGTAGATCTCAGTGAACAAAGAAATCACCTCAGGCTTCCCACAGAGCTGTCGTTTGTGTGATAAACACCTCAGGTCACATTTTATCCTCTCATGATACAGCAGTTTAAAGAGCCTGTCTTTGTTACTTAGACATGTGGCTTTGAATGAGTGGAGCAAAGTCTTGTTGGTTGTGGTTTTTCTCTGTCAGAATATGAGAAAACACTGTTTTCAGGAACGTACAAAGCAGCCATTGAACAAATCTTCGATTGCAAGTTTTCGTGAATGGATAAAGTCTTTTTCTGTGGTCTGGATTGTCAGAGTGGACACTTTTTATGGTCAAATAAAAGTACACTTCAGAGGTGAGGAAGGCTGGTAAAAATAGAAGTACTGATTTAACAATATATTGAAGCAAGAGTGGAAAATAACAAGCTCTGAAATGGCTAAAAAGGTAAAACTGGTCCTCTTGTTGTATCGGGAAAGTAACTCCACAAAACTATTACCTGTGAAAATAATGAGTGATGACTTCGCCCCTCAGTGAAAGTCAGCAGAAAGATGAATGTGTTGATTCCCTCTGTCTCCCCGCTGTTTAAAGATCTCACTTTCACTAAAGGAACCATCTCTGTTTTTAACTTTTCCTCTCTTGTCTTATCTCATTCATGTGATTCTGTTCATCTCCCATCTGTTTAGTGTGATATGCGCTGGTCTTGGATAAATTCATTACACACTTGAAGTTCTGTTTATGTTCAGGGACAAGTTATTCGCACTTGATGACTTCCCAGCTTTTGTTAAGATCTTTGTAATGCTGTATTCCAATTTCATCACATTGAAGACTCGTGCAGTTTGACAAAAATTGAACAAAATCCATCTTTTTTTTTAACTTGATTAGACAAACTGATCTTCTCTTACCTCTTCTCAGGTTTACACCTGTACTATGTTGGCGGTGAGGTGTACGCCGAATGTCTGAGTGACAGCAGTATTTTCGTCCAGAGCCGTAACTGTAACTTCCAGCATGGCTTCCACGCTACCACCGTCTGTAAGATCCCCAGTGGTTGCAGCCTGAAGATATTCAACAACCAGTTGTTTGCTCAGCTCCTCGCCCAGTCTGTTAACCACGGCTTTGAGGTTGTGTACGAGCTCACCAAGATGTGCACCATCCGTATGAGCTTTGTTAAGGTAGGTGTACATTATATTCAAGTTGGAGTTTTTATCCTTGTGCTCTTATTTCTTTTCGATACATATCCACCCGGAAATGTCCGACTGTAACTTCAGATGTTATTAAAAGCTCAGTTCTGCTCTGTCAAGTTGTATTTTGGAATTTGATTACTCTTAGCATTTGTTGACGTGAATGATACCCGGTGTTGTCTACCATTAGAGATGATACTCTGCATACCTTGGTGTAACAAGTGGTTATTTGACTTAATCTTACCTCTCTATCATCTCAAACCAGTCTGCCTTCCTCTGACTTCTAACATAACAAGGCATTTATGTCCACACAACTGCACAAAAGGTGGTTGTGCATTAAGATCCCAGTAGATCGGTGGTTCCTGAAATACTCAGACCAACCCGTATGTCACCAACAACCATGCCACATTCGAAGTCTCCTTCTCCATTTCTGATGTTCAGTTTGAACTTAAGCAGGTCGTCTTGACCAGGTCTACATGCCTAAATGTATTAAGTTGCTCCCATAAGCTGCTTTTGTGAGTAAGAAATTGAACAGATGTACCTAATAAAATGGCCAGTGAGTATATGGAATAACAGGTGGAATAACATTCATTATTAACTCTGGTACACTCACATGGCAGCCACTTTTTTAACGGTCATGCTATTAATGGAGATCAAGTAATGTCAAAATATCAAGCTGCTGTTTACCCGGTTTTAAGCCATTTCAGTGCAGGAAAGCCAAAAAGAGAGATGTAACCATTTACCATAGAGTGAACAGTTAAAATACCATGAGACTATTGACTGTATATGTGTTGATGTCTCCCAGAAAACACAAAAAGGGCATTTAATTATCGACAAAATATCAAAGATCAGCTAAGTAAGTCTGGATCAGAACGGATTCTTTTGTAAGTTTGAAGCAAACACTCGTAGTTATGGAAATATTTACGTCCCGGCTGGTGATCTGACAGGTGGTCTGTCTACAGGAGGATTATTGGACCATTTAACAAGAAAAACTGACAACCTGCCAACTACCATCACACAACAGTGATGCCAATCATGATCTGACACTACAGTCAGCCAGCAGCTTTTAGTGTTTATTATTATATAGTGAGGCACTATCAAATGGTAATTTTATCATTCACCTTGTTTCTTGCTATTTTAAGTAGAAGCTAATTAATCACCAGTCATTCTGTTTTATAATCCAAAACACATCAGCTATGTCAGCTTCTTACTCTAATGTGTCCTCTTGTTCTTTCTGCCTGTATTGTGTCCTCTCCTCAGGGCTGGGGTGCTGAATACCACCGTCAAGATGTAACCAGCACCCCCTGCTGGATTGAGGTGCACCTTCACGGGCCCCTGCAATGGCTGGACAAAGTCCTCACACAAATGGGCTCCCCTCACAACCCCATTTCTTCAGTGTCGTAACATGAACTCCTTCATCGGGGAGGTGGAGATGTTCTGTATCTTCTGCTACATCCAGTTTTGTCCTGTGGTCCCATTTTGACTCCTTTAACTAAATTAAGAAAACGCCCATGAGCAGCTCCTTTGTCACTGACGTTTCACGTGATAGACTGAATTTGATGCAGGTTATTTAAAGCTTACGGAGTAGAATGATCAATGTTCCTTAGTTCAGTCAGACAGTCATTACGCATTTCTCTGTTCTATTCATTGGGATCTGATCTGCACTCCAAGACCTGAAACAGTGGGATACATCTATAGGTACCCAAAAACAGCTTTATTTTATGTTGTAAATGTTGATATGATAGAATGTACTGTATTTACATGTGATGAATTGTTGTACTGGTTGCTTTTTATTTGTTTGATTACAGTTGTTTTTCCCTAAGAAACCTTTTTTTCTCACATCTAAGAACAAAACATAAGGTTGAAATATACAAAAACAATCAGACAGCGTCAGTATTAGCGTCATAATTTTACTCTCCACAGTGGGTAAAATACACTTCAACTCAAAAACACACAAATAACACACAGTACTTCACAGCACAAAAGCTCATCATGACCTTTATCCATCACAACAAACCCAATTTGTCACTTTCTCTGTTTGTGCAAGAGTGTCAGACTCTTCTGTAAGATACAAAAAGGACTTGATGAGAGGTTACCAACATGCACAACACGATTGTCACATGTAACAACATTAAAAGAGGAAACGGTGGTGGGAGCACTCAAGAGAAATTACAGATTTCATACGGAGTACTTAAAGTAAAAGACAAGAATTAATGAGTTTATATCAGGGATTACAATCTCAACTTCTGGACTGAAGCAGATCCAAGCAATTTGTCCATGATCAAAATTGGCAAATTGAGCTAATCTTTGTACTCCACTTACTCAAGCAAATCACAAATGTACGGTATGCACATTAGCAGCCCTGTGGCAAAAACAGCAGTTTTTAGACAGTCCAACGACCATTTACAAAAAGGGACAATCCAAAAACTTGTACGAAGTAACTGGTGGAGAAGGCAGTCAAGGTTTTGTCTCCCTTCTGATGAGACCTGAAGAAGATTGTGAGTGCAGAGCCTGCATCACTGTTGGTTTGATCCAATAACAGCTCTGTATTCCTCACCAAGAGCAGACCACTGACCAGGGAAGCAAAGATGATAGAAAGCACTTAGGGAGAGACCTTAATGACACTAGAGGGTGAGATGAGCCACTGTAGCCTCTACATTCATGGATCTCAGATACAAGGACAACCAAGTAATGTACCTTTTGAATGCTATTATCATTTTGTGTCGCTTCATAAATAATCAATAATCATAATTTGAATGTTAACAAAACAGTGTACACCGTTATTCTCCAGGCAAACATGAATATTGGCTCTGGACTCCATATCAAAAAAACCTGATCAGGATCGGGGACTAAAAAAAAAGCTGACAGTGATATCCTTAGTTCAGCAACTACAAAGTAAATAAGAACCAAAAGGAGAGCTTGTATTAAAAACAGCACTAGCCATGGTTTCATTGGATGGTTAATCTGCTATTTCAGAATTTTCCATCTTCTCAAGGGCTTAGATCAGTTCACTTCCCTTCAGTCCGCTAGTTTCACCACACCTTTAATATTTCAGCCATGAAGTTCAACTCGGTTCCAGTATTAGATATTAATGCATCAAGTGCTTCTTCAGTGCATTCCATTCAAACACTCGCAACCCTTGAGAAGAGCAACATCTGCTTTCATGTCACAGTCTCCAAACTCATGAAAAAGCTGGTAGATTTGTTGAAAATAAATCGCTAGGGGAGGTTTGAAAAGTCGTTAGGTTGGCAACACCGTCTTCACCAACAGTTTCCTGGACCTGCCAGCGTCAGCAGCCCTGAAACTGCTGCTGTGATTGGCTGCGGCTCTGTGCAGCGAGGAGTTGCTGCTGCTGCTGCAGGAAGCTGATCACCTCTGGACTTCTCAGTAGAGACTGAAGGGAGAAAAAAAAAGACATTCAGATTTTCTATAATTTAATTTCACGCCTTTTATTATTAGTGCAAAATTCCCTCTGCCAAAAATGTCTCAAAATAATTAAAACTATTTATCTTTTTGGTGGTCTTCTTGGTGGGGGGACCTTTACTAACACAACAAATAAGGACATTAAAAGGATCATTAGGATGCACTTAACTGCATAAAACTGAGATGATGGTACATGGCCTAAATAGTTAAAGCCATTTGGATCAAGTCACAGAAAGCTCTATATATTGACATTAGGTCTGACCATCATTTTGTTAATGCTGTCCATATAATTTTATTCCACCTTAATACAAAAGAATATGTGCAGCTCAATGTCTAGATAAATAAATCTCAAAAAAAATATGTGCAATTCTGTGAAATTCAGCATTTTTAATCTCAAGTATTTAGATTTACCACAAATTAGGTGGTTGAGCCTCAAAGTGTGCCTGGGCTTTATAATCTGTAGATCTTCATGACAAAGTTAAATGCATTTGGGGGAAAGGTTTAAGCATTTACAGACTGTCAACATCATTCGGATACACCTGAGCTCTTAGTTGCTCTGAAAGCCTCCTCTCTTTCCTGGAGGTTTAGCTACCTTTATTATCCCTGAGGAGCAGTTTGTTTACAGGTAGCAGCACCAAACAGCCATCACACACACAACAGAAAAGAAAACCAGCACATTAAATTGACTGGAAAGACAATGACATTGATAAACAACACATCAGTTAGGACAAAGGATTTTTGCAGACTGTCCTGATTTATGTTTGAGACATTTTATGAGTTTTAGTTTCTCACTCAAATCCTTTGAAATCGTGCTTGCAATTCTGCACATGTTTTGGTAACACACATAAACCTTTTTTGTGGAGAATTAAAAGACTTGGAGATTCTTCTTGTTTCCATCTTCTGTTTCTTCCTTCTTTACTTTTTAAAATTAGTTCTTCCTTTTCCAAAAGGAAAGTCAAAGAAGGGAGAGTATCTTCAGTCATCACTGATGTTCAGTTTTTGTTTTATGTGTTCATACCAACCTGCTTACGGTAAGGAAATTGACAGTCTGGCTATAATCTCATGTATTTATTTCCAACTTTCATTAATGCATCTTGTCCCATTTTTTAAATCTCAATCTCAAATCTCAGACAAATTTGGGATTTGAAATCATATTTGAAAAACAAAACTCACCAGTCTTTTCTGATTGAGGACTTGCTCTATCAAAGAGGGTCTGGCAGGCCGGTCCCCCATAGCACCCAGACGCTGTTTGTTCACTGAGACAGGACGCTCTTCGGAGTTTTCCTAAAGGACACAGAAAGACAAATACAGGAAAATGACTGTGGAAGTCCAATCATGGATTATTTAAGGGCAGCATGTGTTTTTCAGTCTTTCCCTGAGTTGTGAGCTACTATTACATACTTCACATTACTTTAACCCCAGAACACTTTCACCCATCCAAACATGTTTATGTGATTTTCATTATGTTGCGTTAGTCTGAGTATCATGGGTCCCTGGGACATCTTTGAAGGCATATTTGTTTCCCTGATCCAAAACCCGTTTTTTTTCCTACAGGCACGTGTTCGGGTGATTTTCACCTGGCAATAGTAATAGAGGGTAAGTAGGTTTGGGTGGATTTGATAGCTGCATGTAGGGAATAAGATCAGTAAGAGTGGTCCTGGAATTTGCATGCTATCTTTATTTAGCCCGGTGGTTATGAATAACTATCAAAAAGTAGTGATTTTCAAGGGGATTCATATGGTGATAACTATTTTGGTCAGCTGGTCATTTTTACTCTCTCCTACAGCTGTTATTGTGCCAAGGACCCTGAGTCTTCACCAGGGAAGACTTACATGCCCCAGGAATGGGTGGAAAAGAAACTAAATTTACAGTTTCTTTCTTTCTGAAGAATTTTTTTGTTCATGAATGCCTAATTTCAGTTACTTTGTTGCATTTTTATATGGTCACCTCATGGCACTTTTTTCCCCTCACTTTGGACAGTGCCCAGTTAAAAAGAAAACTGTCATGTATTGTCCTGTTTTGACATATTTTGATGACAAGTACTTTTTCTTGGGTATAGTATTTCGGCGACAGTGATGGTGTTACTGATTTTGGCGATAGTGTTCTAGGGTTAATCTGTAGTCACAGTCTGTGTATAACGTGCAAAGTTCACATGTTTTGGTTTGGAATATGATGATATCTTTGTCTTACATCGAGTTTCCCACTGGACATGGCCTGATCGCTCTTCTTCTTCTTGTACTTGTCTTTGTACATCTTGTTTCGGTGTTTCTTGCACATCCAGGGTTTCCTCTGCTTGGCCACCTGTGTTGTGGTCTCCGTGCAGCCCTCATAGGTGCACTGTTTGGGGGCGTTGTCTCCCTCTGAAGCCTCCTCGTCGTTGAGCTCCTCCGGGCTCGCTGCGCTGTCTCTGGGGTCGGAGGTGTCCAGGACGTCGCTCTCCTCGTCCGGATCGTCCAGGTCGTACGAGGAGGCGTTGTTCTCGGGTTCGAGCGGTGTGGTCACATTTCTGCTGTCCACTACTCCGCTCTTGTTCACATAGTACCTCTGTCCATCCTTTGTAAGCAGAAGAGTTGCGTCTTTGTCTTTGGTTGTTGGCGCTGAATTGTCATCTTCGCTCATGATGATAAGAAAACAGATGCACGCTGGCTAAGCTAGCAACTATCCCTTCACAGTCAGCTCACGCCTGGTTAGCTATCACAGATACTTCCTGACATTTGCGCACTAATTTCCCGATAAAGATAGAGTTTCTCTGCTATTTCAGGACGGACATCGGAAGAAAAGATAGTTTTGTGTCTTAAAAAAAAGCTTCGGTGATATTTTTAACGATTTAAGCTGTCACTGTCGCTACCCGATCCGTACCGAAAGCCATTTTTTTTTCGTAGGATGGTAGGGGAAGGTCCCGCCTCCTTCGCCTCTGATTGGCTAGAAAAGCCGGAAACGTCATCACACGCTCAAACCGAGCGCGGGCTGTCGTCTCTGTACATCGAACAGAACATTATTGCACTTCTGAATCTCCTCACTCTAACCCGACAGACGATGACGTTTAACAGCCATAAGGAATAACTTCTTCTTTTTCCTCTTTGGTGTTGTGTCGTTCGCGAACCATTCGTTTAAAAGAACCGAATCTTTTAAGTGAATTATTGAACCGAATCACTTCCTCACATCCTATCATTGCAGCGGTTTGCGAGGAAACGGTGCATGTTCAGAGTAAATTCTTCTAAACGCTCAGTGAACGAATCACTCACTGACCCGAATTTACTGAGCAGACCTGATAAATAGCATACCATAAGACAGTACACTTAAAACATCAAGACTTATAAACAAGTTCATTTTTACAAACCTGTTTGCCAAAGCAACACAGCCAAACACTCTCGTCTCCCGGTCCCAGAAGCAATGAATCAAACTGAATCCTAAACCGTTCAGCTGTTTATCAGTTCAGGAGGTCAGAGTCGCAGACTTCTCCCACCAAGCGCTACATGATTTAGTGATTTGATGAACGAATCTTTTGAACGAATCTTTTTAGTGAACTGTTTCTAGTGATTCAGTACATCTAAAAGAACTGCCGTGCCCACCACTTCGTTTTATTGGCGGTTGACAACCAACTTAAGGAGCATTACCGCCACCTACTGGATTGGAGTGTGGCACAGGAAATTGTGTGTAACACAATCAGTCAGTACATGTTTTACTGTTTCCGTCGTCATACAATAATCACAAAGTCCTGTTGAGTGTTTTTTTTAATCAAATACAGGCTCTGATTGAGTCCTGTTTGCCCAATTCTTAGACGGGTAAATACTGAATGAGGAATAACCAATCGGAGCCCAGCACTTCCATCCAATCAGAGGCGAAGTAGGCGGGACCTTCCCCTACCATCCTACAAAAGAACTCGCCGATTTGTACTGCGCATGTGCACAACATACGTCACTTCCTCTACTGGACGTCGACTGCACTTGTTCACACACAAACATAAGTAGACAGACACCTATATATGTGGACTTCACTGTAAATAAAAATATTAACTTTTGGGGAAACAGCAGTCTGTCGAGTTGCCTTCCTACCACCTTCCAAGACCCTTGAGCCCAAACTACTTTACAAAGACCCTGAAGAGCTGAGCCAACAACACAACCACCAGGAGGGACCCACAACTTTATAAATAAAAAAACACACGAACACACTGTGACTCTGTGTCTCTTTATTTTAATCAGATCCAGATCCAGGTCACAGTGAACATTTAAGTCCAGTGTCTAGAAAGAGGAGTCAAAGAGGAAACAAGCAGATTACTCCTTTGTGTCTACATGACTCAGAGGATAAGGAGACTGACTGGGACTCCTGAGGTTGTGTGTTCAAGACTTACCTTACCCAGGTCAAGGTGAATTTTAAAGTCTAGTGTCTTAGTATAGTATTCTGAAAATTTCAAATTTTAGTATGAAAACAAAAATCATATAAAAGTTTGGAAAAAAGGTCATAGAATAGTATGCTGAAAATGTCAAATTTTTGTTTGAAAAAAATCATATTAGAAATAAGACAAAAATGCTCATAGTATAGTATAATAAAAATGTAAGAACAGTATAATAAAAATTTCAAAATTTTAGTGTTAGAAAAATCATATTAGAGTTTGAAAAAAAATGACTCTGCTAAGTTCCCTCAAGGCTGTGAGCTAAATAATTTTAGATTGAATTGGAAATATTTATAATTTATTCTTTTTTATAGATTGTTAATTCAGAGTCAAAAGTGGATGGTCCCGTCTAGAACCTTCTGTTCCACTCAGGCCTACACAGGCCTTAGTGGAACAGAAGTTGGAGCTAGGGTTAGGGTTGGAGCTAGGGTTAGGGGTAGGGTTAGGGTTAGGGTTGGAGCTAGGGTTAGGGTTGGGGTTGGAGCTAGGATTTTTTGAGTCCAGTGAACCAACTACCGAGTCGCTAGGACGTTCCTAAATAAAAGTTGATTTTTTCCCATAGGAATGCATGGGAACAAAAAAATTGAAAAATTTTTGAAGTGCCGACCCAATCCAGAATTGTGTTAGGAGCACGTTTCAGGCCATGGGGAGTCTATAGAACCTAATTCTGGGGGACGTTTTTTGAAAAGTTTACTTAGGGTTAGGGTTAGGGTTGGAGCTAGGGTTAGGGTTAGGGTTAGAGCTAGGGTTAGGGTTAGGGTTGGAGCTAGGGTTAGGGTTAGGGTTAGAGCTAGGGTTAGGGTTGGAGCTAGGGTTAGGGTTAGGGTTAGGGTTGGAGCTAGGGTTAGGGTTAGGGTTAGGGTTAGGGTTAGAGCTAGGGTTAGGGTTGGGTTAGGGTTAGGGTTAGGGTTAGGGTTAGGGTTAGGGTTGGGTTAGGGTTAGGGTTAGGGTTAGGGTTGGAGCTAGGGTTAGGGTTAGGGTTAGGGTTAGAGCCAGGGTTAGGGTTAGGGTTGGAGCTAGGGTTAGGGTTAGAGCTAGGGTTAGGGTTGGAGCTAGGGTTAGGGTTAGGGTTAGGGTTAGGGTTGGAGCTAGGGTTAGGGTTAGGGTTAGGGTTAGAGCTAGGGTTAGGGTTGGAGCTAGGGTTAGGGTTAGCGCTAGGGTTAGGGTTGGGGTTGGAGCTAGGGTTAGGGTTAGGGTTAGGGTTGGAGCTAGAGTTAGGGTTAGGGTTAGGGTTGGAGCTAGGGTTAGGGGTAGGGTTAGGGTTAGGGTTGGAGCTAGGGTTGGGTTGGAGCTAGGGTTAGGGTTAGGGTTGGAGCTAGGGTTAGGGTAAGGGTTAGAGCTAGGGTTAGGGTTAGGGTTGGAGTTAGGGTTAGGGTTAGAGTCAGGGTTAGGGTTGGGGTTGGAGTTAGGGTTAGGGTTAGGGTTGGATGCCGACCCAATTTTTCACCTTCCAGAATTGTGTTAGGAGCACGTTTCAGGCCATGGGGAGTCTATAGAACCTAATTCTGGGGGAAGTTTTTTGAAAAGTTTACTTAGGGTTAGGGTTAGGGTTGGAGCTAGGGTTAGGGTTAGGGTTAGAGCTAGGGTTAGGGTTAGGGTTAGGGTTGGAGCTAGGGTTAGGGTTAGGGTTAGAGCTAAGGTTAGGGTTAGGGTTGGAGCTAGGGTTAGGGTTAGGGTTAGAGCTAGGGTTAGGGTTGGAGCTAGGGTTAGGGTTAGGGTTAGGGTTGGAGCTAGGGTTAGGGTTAGGGTTAGGGTTAAGGCTAGGGTTAGGGTTGGAGCTAGGGTTAGGGTTAGGGTAAGCGCTAGGGTTAGGGTTGCGGTTGGAGCTGGGGTTAGGGTTAGGGTTAGGGTTGGAGTTGGGGTTAGGGTTAGGGTTAGGGTTGGAGCTAGGGTAAGGGTTAGGGTTAGAGCTAGGGTTAGGGTTAGGGTTGGAGTTAGGGTTAGGGTTAGGGTTAGGGTTAGAGCTAGGGTTAGGGTTGGAGCTAGGGTTAGGGTTGGGGCTAGGGTTAGGGTTAGGGTTAGGGTTAGAGCTAGGGTTAGGGTTGGAGCTAGGGTTAGGGTTAGCGCTAGGGTTAGGGTTGGGGTTGGAGCTAGGGTTAGGGTTAGGGTTGGAGCTAGGGTTAGGGTTAGGGTTGGAGCTAGGGTTAGGGTTGGGTTGGAGCTAGGGTTAGGGTTAGGGTTGGAGCTAGGGTTAGGGTAAGGGTAAGTGTTAGAGCTAGGGTTATGGTTAGGGTTAGGGTTGGAGTTAGGGTTAGGGTTAGAGTCAGGGTTAGGGTTGGGGTTGGAGTTAGGGTTAGGGTTAGGGTTGGATGCCGACCCAATTTTTCACCTTCCAGAATTGTGTTAGGAGCACGTTTCAGGCCACGGGGAGTCTTTAGAACCTAATTCTGGGGGAAGTTTTTTGAAAAGTTTACTTAGGATTAGGGTTAGGGTTAGGGTTGGAGCTAGGGTTAGGGTTAGGGTTAGAGCTAGGGTTAGGGTTAGGGTTAGGGTTGGAGCTAGGGTAAGGGTTAGGGTTAGAGCTAGGGTTAGGGTTGGAGCTAGGGTTAGGGGTAGGGTTAGGGTTGGAGCAAGGGTTAGGGTTAGGGTTAGGGTTGGAGCTAGGGTTAGGGTTAGAGATAGGGTTAGGGTTGGGGTTGGAGCTAGGGTTAGGGTTAGGGTTAGGGTTGGAGTTAGGGTTAGGGTTAGGGTTTAGGGTTCGAGCTAGGGGTAGGGTTAGGGTTAGGGTTGGAGCTAGGGTTAGGGTTAGGGTTGGAGCTAGGGTTAGGGTTAGGGTTAGGGTTAGGGTTGGAGCTAGGGTTATGGTTAGGGTTAGGGTTAGCGCTAGGGTTAGGGTTGGGGTTGGAGCAAGGGTTAGGGTTAGGGTTAGGGTTGGAGTTGGGGTTAGGGTTGGAGCTAGGGTTAAGGTTAGGGTTAGAGTTAGAGCTAGGGTTAGGGTTAGGGTTTTGAGCTAGGGTTAGGGTTAGGGTTAGAGCTAGGGTTAGGGTTGGAGCTAGGGTTAGGGTTAGGGTTGGGGCTAGGGTTAGGGTTAGGGTTAGAGCTAGGGTTAGGGTTGGAGCTAGGGTTAGGGTTAGGGTTAGCGCTAGGGTTAGGGTTGGGGTTGGAGCTAGGGTTAGGGTTAGGGTTGGAGCTAGGGTTAGGGTTAGAGTCAGGGTTAGGGTTGGGGTTGGAGTTAGGGTTAGGGTTAGGGTTGGATGCCGACCCAATTTTTCACCTTCCAGAATTG